TTTTTCAAAGTCAATCTTTGTCAATCTCAATGTTTTTTCAAAGTCAACCAATGTTTTACGAATTTTAAGAAAGTGATCCATGAACATTTTTCTATTTAATAATGATACTTTATTTAGATGAAACTCAATAAATCTAGACAATCTAGACGATTTCAAACATAAAACACATCTAAAGCAATTGTCTAGCTTTTCTAGACGAGGTGAAAGATCAATGGCTTATGCAAAAATGAAAAAAACCTTGTCGTGAATTTGTTAAAAGTGACTTCAAGTTGTCTGATTTCAAGTTCAAGGGAAAACACTCAATCACATCATTTTACAATAGTTTAATCAGTTTTACAATAGTTTTTAATCAGTTTCATCAGTTTTTAACTGCAAATTTGCTGTTAAAACGAACCACAATCAAAGTGAAGGCATAAACTCGGTAGAAAGATGCCTGGAAAAAGGTTTTATGGCTGAGAATGCAAATGATTAGGGAAAAGTTGAGAATCGCCGACGGAATCCCATAAATACAGTAGATGAGAAAGTCGTATTCCATATTAGACAGTGATCAAATTGTAATGAAAGAAATATTTGCAAGATTTCTACGAAAATTGATGAGGAAGTGTGAACTTGTTTATCGAATGATCTCGCGATAATTGGGGTAAGAAGAAAGAAAGAAGTGATACTTATTAAAATAATTGGACACTCGTCTAGGACACAAATTTTTTGACCTTCAATTTCGAGAATAGATTAGCGTCAATCATGAGGTGGTGATAAAAAGTGGCTAATTGCAAGTCTAGACGATTTTTGATGTGATTTGTGATGATTTGTGATATGCATGTGAAGGTATTTGGTACAAAAAATGATGAATTTTAAAGAATTGAAGAATTGAAGAGTCTGTGACTTCCTGCTCTCTTTTAATTTTGTCTTGAGCTTGGATAGATGTTGAAGAAGCAGTCTTCTCAAGGATGAACTCTTGCCCTAGGCTCGTAAACATTTTTGAAATCGCACAGATCAAAAGCGCGAACGAAAACTTGTTTAAATAAATTGAGAACAAGGGTTTTTATGGTATTTCTCTTTGGGTTTTTATGCATAAACCAGCCAAAAAACTCGTCTAACGGCGGGCTTTTTCTGGCTGAATGCTTTGCGGTTGACGCATAGATTTTATCGCCGGAAATGTTTTAATACAGAGTGCGCCATAATTATCGCAACAAAGTATCACGCGCATTCAAGGACAATCACTCGTTGATTTAAGCTTCATTTCTGGTTCTCTTGTGTTTTTTAGAATGGCTCAGTTTCAATTATATTTGGAATATAATTGAAACTTTTTTCATTTGTGTTGTTTTTTAGGATGACTGGATAATCCCCATCGACAATCGATCATCGAATTGCACAAGCGAGGAGTCTCGGCGCCGGAAATTCATAAGCGTCTTAAAGTCGACAGAAGTGTCATTTTCTGCACTATTCAACGCTACGAAGCTACGGGAACAATTGGCTGATGCACCAAGAAGCGGTAGACGCCCAGCTGTCGCCAAGACAAACAAGACAAACATCAAGCGAGTGAGGGACCGAATATACTTGAGTGTACCAGATTCAATCTCCCAAATCCGGACTGTCTTATTCTTGTTTTCTATTCCGTTCTGCCAATCTATTATACCAATCGCGCGCGTTCAGTTTTTAGAATGGCTGGAAAATCCCCATCGACAATCGATCATTGAATTGCACAAGCGAGGAGTCTCGGCGCCGGAGATTCATAAGCTTCTTAAAGTCGACAGAAGTGTCATTTTCTGCACTATTCAACGCTAGGAAGCTACGGGAAGAATTGCTGATGCACCAAGAAGCGGTAGACGTCCAACTGTCGTCACAAAGACAAACATCAAGCGAGTGGACCTAATTCGGAAGAAGCCATATTTGTTCCACAAGCCGTTAAAGTCAATTCCGATAGCTGCCTGGCTCTTCTCAAGGATGAACTCTTGCCCTGGGCTCGTAAACATTTTTGAAACCGCATTTTGTCTTATCAGCAAGATCCGCACCGGTCCACAGATCCAGGAAAGTCCCAGAGTTTTGCCAAAACAACTTCCCGAACTACATTTCTTCCTCTGGCCATCTAGCTCTCCAGACTTCAACCCAATGGATTTTTCAGTGTGTTCTAGAAGCCAAAGCTTGTTCAAAGCCTCACGAAACATCAAAAGCTTGAAGAAATCACTGTTGAAAGCGTGGGAAGAGCTCAATCCAGCCTATTTGGTGGTCGTGATCGCCACCGTTGACGCCTTCCCCAAACGCCTGCGAGCCTGCTCAAATGCTAATGGTGGTCAATTCGAATTTGATAGTTCATTTATAATTGTTAATGTACAATAAATGTTATCCAGTTAAAAATTTGTCTTTTTTTGCTCTTGTCTGCCTTAAAATCAGAACTTTATCTTGTTGTGACAATTATGGCGCACCCTGTAGAATTTTTCATCCATACCAGATACAGCTCGCAATTTCCGAGATGTCTAAAAGGATCATTGAGCCTGAAGAATTTCTGAAATGTACAAACGCTTTTGATAATTGTTTAATTGAATAACAAAGGTTCTTCTATGTAATCGCTCACAGGTATCGACAAGCTTTCGGATTTGCGACAAGGACAGCTGTGATCCCTTTGTTGACCAAAATAATGTTTTCATTGTAAAGGTATGGATCTGTTGGAATGACGAGAACTTTCTCGGATTCTAAAAGGAAATTATTCACAAATTACATTAAGGGAATAGTTTTATTGCGGAATTTCATCAAATTCTCACCATGAATCCATTCTTCTTGAATGGATTGATGATCTTGAACTCGAAATGAAACAGCAAACTCCACAAAAGTTTCATTTTCTCCACAGTTTACTATAAGTGCCTTTGTATTCCTTATTTACAAAGAGAATCAGGTGAAATTCTGTATTCGATTAACGTAAACAATTCTTGGCTACATAAAAAAAATGATCTTTAAAATATCAAACACAAATACAATGGCGCACCCTGTAGAGCCCTCCAAATGACAAATGATTCAATTGTTTCTTAAAATGTTTTTTTAAAATGGTAAAACGATATGTTTCTTGAGATTTTCTATATTTAAGCAAGTTCAAGTTGATCCAAATTTAATTCCTCTTTCCAGTAAGTCATTAAACGGCAATCTTGGCGGTTTTTTTGGTTCTCGATGACGTCTCGATGTTCACTTTCATTAAAATCAATGTTTTGTATTACTGTTTTCAAATTTAAAGCATTTCTTCAACAAATCAAAGAAGCGATTCGTTAGCGCCATTTCTTTTTTGCAGATTTGTTTTCCAATTTTGAATGTCATCATCAATCAAAATGTCATCATTTTGAATGGATTTGTCGTGTTTTTATCGTTTTGGAATTGAATAAATGGTATGTATTGGGTTGGGGAGAATGAGTCGGCGCCGAAAATCAAAAAAATGTCTAAAACTTCTATTCGACTTCGTCAAATAATATGCGTTTGATATCAGTAGAATGGCTAACTAATTCTCGACAAAATGACATTTAAAAGAAAATTCAAACAGCGCCTCCGCTCAAGAAAAAGCCATTTTTTCACAAAAACTACAAACTGTGATCTAGAAAAAACCATTGGTGGGATCTTCCTGCAAATTTGGCAACTTAAGTAATTGAATGTGCTCTATCTTTTTTATATAAACACCAAAGAAGGTTTATGTGAAAGAAACTGTTCAAATGATGAGTCGGACTCTTTGCCATTTTAACCAGCTGCGTTTGGAAGTTCATAAACTCCACGAAAGAAAAGCTTTGTGGAATCTCTCAAAAGTGATTTTGTAGAGAAATAGTGGATCCTTTTGATAAAACCAAACGTATGTATAAAGAAGGCTTTATGTGTGCAAAAAGTCCCTTTAAAGTTGGGCGCCGACTCATTCTCCCCAACCCAATAGAAGTGAAAATAAGAAGGCTTTGGTTATGTTTGTTTAAATGAAAAGATATTAAGCTAACGATTCATGATCAATTCAATAAAACCAAACCAGGAGCTTGCAAAAGAAAAACTCATTATGAATAGCGGTGAGTAAACAAAGTAAACAAAGTAAATAAAGTTTTTTTTTTCAAAAACTCCTACGATTTTGTTGGAACAAGTTACTCTTTTTTTACTCAAATTACTCAGGTTACTCTTTTGGTTTCTGTATTTGCGCAATCCGATGCCAAAAAGAAAACACTAGATGTGGTAGTTTTGTGATCTCATTCTCGACTTTCTAACCATTGGCTAAGCTTTCTTTTGAACAGTTCAATAGAATACCATTTTTTGAAATCTATAGTAAGATTTTATGATAAGCATTATAAAATTTACGTTTCATTTCAAATTCAGCTTTGAAATTACAATTTCAAAGCTGAATTTACAAGTTTCTCTTCGACAGCACCGTCCTGCCAGCATTCTGCTACGGGACCGAAACTTGGGCCACAACATCAACCAGTGAGCAAGCAATCAAGCTGACCCCGAGCCTTGGGACGAAACCTTCTCGGCCACAACAGGAAAACACAGCTGGACCAAGGCCTACGGAGCAATCTGGCAACTGTCGGGACTCAGAGAACCCTTGGAAGTGATATAGGGGCGAAGGCTTCGATGGGCATGTGACCAAAAGAACAGATGGCAGATGGACCACACGGGTCAGGGAATGGGCCCCACGAGATCAGAAGAGATCCGTCGGGAGGCCATCAACCAAATGGAGCACAAGGGTCGATCAAACACTCGGAGAAAGGCTAACAAGACTCCAGCCACCAGCACCCCAAGCATAGGCAACAACAAGACTCCGCTCGAAAAATACCCGAGATAGAACCATTGGATGTCCATCGCAAGAGATAGGGATAAATGGAAATTGGTTAGTGGTTTGTGATCAATTTATTGTCATTTGTTATTCGGAGTTGTGATTTGCGCTAGTAAGCGATGTCAAATCAAAATTATTTGACCTGCTTTTTTTAAAATTACAATCTCCTACTTCTTTCTTGTTGCAAAAACTTAAAAAGAGAGATTTCCAGTTGTTGATGCTTGTTTTTCTGCTATTAAGTATCACCAAACATATCTCAATTGCTGACAGTGGCTTTGTTTATGCGAATAATGGAGAATCAGGTGAAATTCTGTATTCGATTAACGTAAACAATTCTTGGCTAGATAAAAAAATGATCTTTGAAATGGTGATCAACTCTTTTAGATGAGTTCAACCTCTACATGACCAACTCTGCCAGTGTTCTGGACGAACTTTTCGCAAAACGATCGTACAACAAAAATCACCCACCAATTTTTGTGCCTATGCCGAAAAATTTCTCAGGTTTAACTTAGCTTAAACGATTGATTTTGTGATTTTCAGCAAGTAAAACTCGACGTATGAAGATCGAATTCATGCTCAACTACGTGAAGTTATTTGACCTGGTTTGAACGTTTGAACTAATTTGAAATTTGAACTTTGAACTTTCGAGCTCTTCTTTGACCTTTTTTAGGATGCAGAGAAACAAATGTTTAGTTCGAGATTGGAGATTCAAATGGTAAGTGATGAGTTTGATGCTTTTTTTTAGTTTCCGAGTTTCCAAGTTCCTCGAAATGTTTAGGCCACTTTTAGTCTAGTTTAGATCAATTTTAGTTTAGTTTAGATCAATTTTAGTTTAGCTCAGACCAAATCCGAGTTCCAATTGGTAGACTCAATAAAATGAATAGCTTCAATTGATTCCCGATCCCGAAAGCCCCCGGGTACAAATTTACGCCTGAATATCTTCTTCTTGAAAGCAAAAGAAGCAAAATAGAGCAAAGGAGAAATCCCCGATGTAAAAGGTGTTCTTTGTGCAGCCGCTTCATCGCTCTCGAACTGGCAAAGCGCTCGGGTATAGGGTTATTTCTTTTTGAAATCCGTAAAGGGAAAGGAGCGGTGAGCGACTGAACCTTCCCGCTTTCGGGTGTCTGGCAAACTGCCAAATTGCTGGAACTATGCCCAAATTCCGGGGATCATCTTTGCCTTAAGTTTGGCTGTATTCTTGCAAAAAGTCCCAAGTTTTATCAACCGAAAGCCGTGATCGATTCTAGAACTGGCGTGACCCGAGACTCACCTGGAACGAAACGCAATTTGGAGGGGTCACCTCAGTTTTGACCACTTCAGACATGATATGGATAGCCGATGCCGGGATTTCTAGTGCGTGGGTGTTTTCTCAGATTACTAGATTCGTTTAGAATCTTTATCTCCAGCTTTCTCAGTCAAGCTCCAATTTATTCAGCAAGACCCTGGATGTGGTGAGCGGTCTGGCCACGCAAACAGTGCAAATCTATAGCAATGGGACGATCTCAATGACAACGCCATACTACGCGGAAACGGCTTGTCCAATTTATGTGAGATTATTTTAAAAACTTTAAGCTTTAAGCTAAGATAATGCTCAATGCTCAATGCTAGTGAGAATCCTGTGCAAACGGTTAGCTTAACTAAAGAATTCTGTTGTGAACTGAAATACTGGTTTATGTCTAATAAGGTAGAAAATGATAGGTAGAAAATGATAGAAACGTGGTAGTTCCAGAGACTTTTTCTTGCCATACTTGAAAGGACATTTGAGACAACTTGGTGCTAGCGCTTCATTTTAATACTAGTTTATTTCTAATAAGGTATAAAATGATAGGACCACCCCTAAAATTTTACATTTTTTGGCTATGAAACTTAATAACGCTAAATAGCAATTATATCCTAGAAATATCTAAAAAATTGGCTTAAATATTAAATATTGAATAGATTTAAACAAAATTATAACGATTTCTTGATTAAAAACCTTCTGCAAAATAATAGGATCACATAAGAAAAACAATAAATCCGAAAATAAACTTGAAACAACGGATGTAACACTTGATGGCTCGAGAAAGAGTGCTTTTGTGGACGGGAGCTCCAATTTGTACCTTGACGTCCTGTAGCGACATCACCGAATTCGACAATTCGATTTTGTGCTAGGAAAGGAAGGAGTTAATCCGCAAGCACATCCTGGTAATCGTTCAAGTTCATGCGACAAGTCACAAATTCTAAATCAAGAACGTCATCCACATTGAAAGCGCCCCATATCATCAGTGATCCTCCTCCGAAGTTTCGACGCCCACAAAGCATTGGATCTTTTCTCAAATTGTGCCAATAGTACTTGTTGCCCTCGGGACCATCCAAATTAAATTTTTTCTCATTGCTGAAGATGACCTACAAAGAAAAAATAGTTAACAACTCAAGGCAAAAAGTTTACTTTTTTCCAATCTATGGTGATGTGATCCCGAGCCCAAGACATCCTTTTTTCTTTGTTTGCCGGCTTCAATTTTGGTGCTTTCTTCATAATTGCTCTTTTGATGTAACGGATGTAACACTTGATGGCTCGAGAAAGAGTGCTTTTGTGAACGAGAGCTCCAATTTGTACCTTGACGTCCTGTAGCGACATCACCGAATTCGAGAACAGACGTCCCATACGCCGTTCAGCCTGGACCATAAGCTTTCGATGACGTCGCGGAGACTTTTTCTTGCCATGCTTGAAAGGATCCTTCAAGAAATTTGCGACAACTTGGTGCGAGCACTTCATTTTCTTTGCGATCTTTTGATTCGACAACTTTCTTCCTTTCAAAATCGTAATTTTCATCTGTTCGATCCGCGAAAGTGATTTTCCGCGCCCCATCTTCCTAAAAATAAAAATTGGTTTGGAAAAGAAATAGAACAAGTAAAAATGGTTATGACAGGTAGAAAATGAAAAAAATAAATGAAAAAATGAATGAAAAAATGAAGAATAAAAAATAAAAATGGAAAAGAAACGTGGTTTTCCTATCATTTTGCAAGAAATGATGAAAAATTTGTGACTTTTAAAGTAAATGATTTCGTAAACGGTATTTGCGCGTACTTTTGTATATAAAATTTGAATTTAAACATCGTTTTGCATTTTTCGTTATATAAAGTCAAAAATCGCAAAAATCGACGGTGGTTCTATCATTTTGCAATGATTTTGCAGATGATGATGTGTTAAAACTGTGTGTCATTCTTGCTTCATAACGTTTATAATATAAATTAATAAAATTAATAACATGCAAATACCAAGAAGTATAATAGTTATTATATAAAGAAAGCTTAAAAGGCTTTAACATGTCTTTTTCTAGCCTTTTCTAGTATTTTTTTCTAGGCAAATGTCTTCCCGTTTGATTCACAGAACTGCAGCATCGAGATTCTTTCGCTTTCTTTAGCAACGTGAGTTGAATTTTTTATTCAAAGTACTTTGTGCTCAAAACAAACACTTTCTGGCATCTTCATCTTGAAATTGAGTGCGCTAGGATGGGAGTGTTTCGAGCAAAAAGTACACGCAAAGTTCAATAGAGCTATCAGAATCGAATCTGTTTAGTGAATGGATCTCAATGGAAGCAAGCTTTCTCAATTTACCCGGACAATTGGTTGTTAGTTTATCTTGAAGGAGGAGTGGAGGAGGAGTGAGGTTTAGGGAAATGGTGAATGGGACGTGGTGAATGCTTCGGCAGTCTTGTTTCCACCAGGATTGACCGAAGTGATGCAAATTGTAATATTCCAGAGATTATCTACATTTCAAGATCTCAAATCCATCATTTCTTCAAAATTTCAAATTTTAGGTCACTTTTCTGATCATTATCAAACGTGTACCAAACTTTTATGTCTACGTCATCGCTTTGCCGTGTTTCATTCTGACCGTTTTATCGATTATCGGAATGTTTTGGACACCGAATACGAAAAAGGAACAGTTGACAAAAGTTTGCGTTGCGGAAAGGTCACCAAATAACTTTTATTAGCTGAGTATCGGACTTACAAGTCTTGTCTCAATCACTGTTTTGATGGGAATGTTGGCGGATGCTATTCCGAAAACTCAAGTTTTTCCGTTGCTTGGTGGGTATTTGAACTTTATCAAGTTTTAGAATTAATAGAGTGTTAACGGAGTAAAGAGTTGTAACTTCAAGACCATGACATTCTTGTTTAAACCTCTTTTGGTTTAGAACTGGATGTTAGACATGTTAGACACGAGAAATTTTTTACCGGATCGGATCTGATAGGATTGAATCCGAAATCTCAACTTTTAGGATCGAATCGTATCGAATCAAAGCAACATTTGAAACTAGGTTTGGTAGAAAACCCGTAGAAAAGAAAGCCGGTAGAAATTTAGTCAATTTTGTCAGTATTTAGTCAATTTTTTATCGGAAACTCTGATGAAATACACCTTTGAAAGTGTAAATTAGTTCATGGCATTTCTACCGGATTTCTTTTCTACGGGATTTCTACCAAAACTAGTTTCAAAAGTGCAGATTGTAGTCAAAAGGTTAAAAATAAGAAAAAAACCCTAAGCTCTAGTCATTACTCAGCGCAAAATCAATAACATAACAAAGATCACTGAGCAAAAAACTAAATGAAGTATATAACTGAATTAGCTATTCAGATCGATAAATGTTTGAAAGCCTTAAATGGTTCAAAGAATAAAAAGCTACAATACGCACAAAGGTGATTAGTTGTTGAACTATTTCGAAGCGGATTTGAAATCTTAACTGTTCGGATCAGGACAGCTCGGATCGCGATTCGAAGGTCGATCAGAAGGCCGATCCGATCCGATCAGAAGGCTGATCCGATCCGATCCAATCCAAAGGCCGATCGGATCTAATCCGAGATCCGATCTGAGCTGATCCGAGGGCCGATCCGATCCGATCAGAAGGCCGATCCGACCCGAAGGCCGATTCGATCCGATCCGAGGGCCGAGCCGATCTTATCCGAGAGCCGAGCCGATCTGATCCGATCCGATCCGATCCAATCCAAAGGCCAATCCGATCCGATCCGATTTGATCCGTCGGATAGCATGTCTACTGGATGTGTCCTTTTGATCGAAGTGTGTTGCTCTCGATTATTGTCTTTTCTAAAAAGTGTCAACATGCAAAAATACCCTAATCTGAGCTTCAGCTTTATCCAAGTCACCTTTAGTTGCATTCGTTATTCAAAACTATTAGGTTGTCGGATTATGAATTGCCGTTTTTATCAAAAAGTAATTTTATTATAAAATCAATACAAAAATAATTTAATCTAAAAGGTATTCTCCATCGGTATCTATGACATATCGCTAACGTCCACGCAAAGAATGAATGCCCTTGTTGAAGAACTCGACCGGCTGTGACTCAAAGAAATTGGCCACCCAAATTTGGACTTCATCGCGGTTTTTGAATTTTTTTTCGACCAAGGAATGCTGCATCGACCGGAACAAAGGGTAATCAGATGGCGCAAGGTCTGGGCTATATGGCGGGTGAGGCAGAAGTTCCCAGCCCAATTCTTCAATTTTTTTGAGAGTAACTTTTGCGGTGTGTGGATGCGCGTTGTCATGGAGCAATTTTGTTGACGCTGTTTCCACTCCCTGTCGACGAAGCGATTGATCGACGCGGCTTAATTGTTCTTTGTAGAGGTCCGCATTAACCGTTTGACCAGAATTTAGCACTTCAAAATGCACCAATCCTTTGCTATTCCACCAAACACATAGCATCACCTTTTTGCCATGGATGTCTGGTTTTGGAGTCGGTTTTGAGGTTTGTCCAGGGTCCAACCATTGTCGTTTTCTAGTGGTATTATCAAAGGATATCCACTTTTCATCAGACGTGACAATCGACTCAAAAAACCACTGTTCTTGGCTTGACGCAAAAGAATTCCGGCCATATTGATTCGCGTTGTTTTGCTCAAATCGCTTAGTTCATGAGGCACCCATTTACCGCATTTATTCACCTTACCAATGGCATGCAAGTGGTCAGCAATGGTGGAATGATGACAACCGAACCTCTCAGCAAGTTCTCGTGTCGTTTGGGCAGGATCAGAATCGATGGCTGCTTTAAGTTCCTCATCGTCCACAGTTTTTGGTCGCCTCTCATGTTCTTTGTCTTCAAGGCTCTCGTCGCCGTCCCGAAAGCGCTGAAACCAATTGCGACATTGACGTTCGTTGATAACATCTTCTCCGAATGCATTGCTGATAGAGCGATGGGATTCTGCCGCTGTTTTTCTTTGTTTGAAGTCGTACAACAAACAAATCCGCATTTTATTTTTGATGTCGTTCATTTCCTAAGACAAATTTATATTAAAAATCTAAGCAAATATAGACGAATAATATATCAATCGACGCGGCATAAAACGCTCTTTAATATAGTTAAAAAAGTACCACAAAAATTTATTTGAAAAAAAATACAAAGCAAAAAAGACAACGGCAATTCATAATCCGACAACCTAATAGATAAACTGGATAAAACCTAGAGGCAAAATACAATAACTTTCCCAAGTTGACACGTTTTAAGAGACACGCTATTGAATTTGAATGTACAAGTCGATGACAACGTGTGCAGTTAAGTGCAGTTTATCGACAACGGAACAATATATTTCTTTATTTATTTATATTTATAGGTATCTACGTGGTAGCTTGTGTTGGAATTACCTCAGCAGCTTGTGTGGTCATCGTCATGTACTCAATACCGAAACCTGGCAAAGATGAACAAAAGAAAGAATCGGATCTCAAAAACTCAAAGCTGAAAGAAGCCAAAATTGGGTGGGTCAAGAAAATAGAATCACTAAAAAATAAATTTCAGATCTCTTCCATTACCTGTCATAATAAAGGCCACAATATTTCAACGCCACGTTTTCTTTCAACTCTTCTTTCAAATTTTGAATATCATTGGATTCATTGTCTTTTTATCGTTTTGGAATTGATTGAAAGGGAAGAAAATGGTCTGAAATTGTGAAATTTCCCTTTTCTACCTCTTTATTTAGGTAGAAAACTTTATTTTTCTACCTCTTTTCTATTTTATGCTTATTTTTGGGGATTTCTTTGGACTGACACATGACAAGAAATGTTTCAACCAGTAAAATTGTTTATAAACGACTTCAAAATGCATTCAACTCTTGATTTCTGACACTTTCTGACACAGAATGCTTTATTGGATAGTTATTTGAGATCTTGATATAACTTTTAACTATTTCTTCTTGAAGATAAGACATGAAGGCGACTCGTAGACGTCATCCAAAGGTAAACTCATTAACCGCGAGAGCAATCTCCATAATTATCGCTGCAGTGACTTATTATCTATTATGATTAACTATCTTGATTTCCTCAAAGCTGAAATTTTACACTGGGCACAAAAGGATTTCAAAGATCAAATTTGAACATTTCAACAAGACGAGGCTCCGGCCCACAAAGCCAAAAAAGTCCAAGATTTTTGCAAGTGTAGTTTCCCGATTTCATCTCTTTTTCTAAATGGCTGAGCTCACCGGGTTCTCAATCGAATCGATTATTCTGTTCTGTCCGTCCTTTAGGCAAACGCCTACTCAAAACCGTATAAAAATGTGGAACGCTTGAAGAAAAGTCTTTTGAAAGCTTGAGATAAACTCGATGATGTTTACTTGGTCGCCGTGAACGCCTTTCCTAAACGCTTGACAGCGTGCTCGGCTAAAAATAATGATAGCTTTGAATCTAATTGTTAATTTGTTGTTCATTGATATCAAATAAGGCTTTTAAAACAAAATTTTGCTTTCTAAAGTTTAATTTTGTTTACCCACAGACCTTTTTATCTGCATCAATAGGCCATATACTTTCAAAGTGTCTCCCTTGCCCGTTCAGCTGAATATCTTCTAGGGAATTTCAAACAAAAGGGGCAACCATAAAAAAATCTAGGCAGAAAGAGAGCAGAGCTTTTTAGCTTTCATAGCTGCGCAATTTGTTTGAATTCTCACGACATTTTGAATTAATAAAAGATTCAGAGTCCAATCTTCTGCTAAAAAAAAGGGAGCCACAATTTGTCAACAACATTTATTTTTCAGCTACTTTTTTCAGACTCTAAACATTGTTGGTTTGCCATTTTTTTTGTCATTTTGAAGCTGATCAGGTGTAATAAACTATTTAAAAGCTGAAATTGCTAATTTTCAAACAAAAAAGGATACTGTGAGTCTAAAAACATCGCACACTACGATGTGCTTCCTAAGCATAAAGATTCCAATTCCAGAAATTTGAGGAAAAACTTTTTGGCTCTATATTTGCACAACTTCGGGACGTAATAATAGTTGAAGAGAAGTGAAAAGATGAGAGAGAAAAAGGGAAGAAAAAGGGTAAAGATTAGAGAATTTTTCGGGATTCGGTCAATACACCCTATTGAGTTCTACCTATTGAAAAGTTTCACAGTTGTTTCTGAGGGAAATGTTCGTCTTGTTTTTCCTTTTCTTGGCATTTTTCATCAACGATCTCGGAAATCGATTACACGGAGAATGGGGATACAGGTAAATGAATTCTAATCCAGCTTAAATCAGCTCAAATTTAGACCATTAAAAATCTGCTCAAAGCTTTTTGTTGTAAGCTTATTGATGTGCCTTAAACTTACTATAGATATAGTTAGTTATTCATAAATTCAAGGTAGAAAGATAGAAAACGATATTTTCAGTTTGTAGACAAAATTTCAAAGAAATCGACCAAGAAAACGAAGGTGGAGTTAGGTCCGGATTGGAATTTTTCCATGTTTACTCTCCCCGAGTTTTGCCTAGTTTGAATACCGTATTTTCTCTAATAGTTTCTCTAATTTCTCGTATTTTTTCTCTAACCCTGAGCGTCGCTTAAATTGCTCGAAATCTCGAGAACCGCTTATCAGAACCTATCGATGTGGGGTTGGAAAATGTAGCTGATGATGAGATCTTGTGGGGATTAGAGAGTTGAGCTTGTGCGAAAGCTTGCAAACCGTAAAATAGTCATCAACTCGGCTCGCCGGGGTGCACTACTATTAGAGAAAATACGGTATATGGAAAAAGAACCAATAGATTGAACCAATCGATCGCCGGCGGGACTCTGACAAGAATTGGCTGTGGAAGTGTCTTGTGTGGATCAGAGACGACAAGGATTGGATGAGGTGCATTCGGATGTGGATCGGATAAGTGAAGGATTGCTTGGAGGAGGCTCTGGTGTGGATCCGATGAGACAAGGATCACTCGTTGTGGACTCGACTCGGGCACTTTTCCTGGGCTCCCGCTGCTCACGTGCATCTTCTCGCGTTGTTGTTGACTATTTTACGGTTTGCAAGCTTTCACAGAAGTTCAACACTCTAATCCCCCACTAGATCTCATCGTCAGCTACATTTTCCGACCCCACATCGATAGGTTCTGATAAGCGGTTCTCGAGATTTCGAGCAATTTAGGCAACGCTCAGGGTGCACTACTATTAGAGAAAATACGGTAACTTAAATTAAAGCAAGCTCCTCGTCTGATTAATCCTTTAAAGCAAAACTTGTTGACGCATTGTTAACTCAATTAAACCATTTTTCATTGCCATATTTGTCATTGTGATATCATTTGACAAACTTTGGTAGAAGTTTTCGAAATTTCTTTGATTTTCGGTGCCTTTTCATTCAAATCAATAGTTTTCTTTCCAGAACAGAACCATTCCGGAGAAGTATTCGGATTCAGATATGGAAATTCTTTTTGATAAACTATTCATTTGAAAGCTAAGTCTTGATTTGACCAAATTTCTAGTCGAAGGAATTGATTGATCAGTAATTGATCAGTATTTGATCAGTAGGACTTTGAACTAAAATTTATTCAACATAAAACCATAAATTCATTCCAAATAATTTCCATTATCATTGACGACTTCTGTCCATTTTACAGGCAATCTGCGGATTCCTCTTTCGTAGTAGGATTTTGGTTTGTGTGTGAGACAAGTGTGAGACTCAAAAATGGAGGACTGGAGATGTCCCAGTTTGAGCACTTTCTTCAAAAGAAACCCATTTTCGTGTCAATAGAAAAGTTGTAGAGAATCAAAAATTAGGCTTATAGCCAAATTTCCAAAAAGATACACTTAGTAGTTTCGCTTAAAATGCAAGTTTTGTGAAAATTCGTAAATTTGGCATTTATTGAAAACCAGTTTTTGAATCGTTCTGAAAATTTGGATATAAGCTTAATTTTTGATTCTCTACAACTTTTCCATTGACACCAAAATGGGTTTCTTTTGAAGGAAGTGCTCAAACTGTCACATATGACAATAGCCCGCAGTTTTCAATTCACCAATCCAATACTTTCAAACAAAATCTCACTACGCATTTGTCAGTTCAGAGGAATACTCAATCTATATGAACAACGCAACGAGCGTCGTCACAGAGCTTTTCACAAAGAGAGGCTACAACAAGTGGTTGGCACCAGTTTTTGAACCAATGCCTGATAATTACTTGAGTAAGTTTTTACTGTGCACAAAGCTAAATACTTTACTCTTTAGCCAGTGAAACCAAAAGAATGCAAATCAACTTTTCTCTCTTTTATGTGAAACTTTTCAATTTAGTAAGTCAAATGCAGTAATCGGTTGTACTGAGAGTTTAGGATACCGAGAATCAAATTTTCAGCGCCACTTTGGAAGTGAGAATGGTGAGTGAGTTTTCAAGCTTTAACACATTCACAAAAAAAGTGATTTTTGGCAGACTTTTGGGATGATAGCTGTAGAATTGTAGTTGTAGCTGTAGAACTGTAGAACTGTAGCTGTAGCTGTAGAACTGTAGCTGTAGCTGTAGAACTGTAGCTGTAGCTGTAGAACTGTAGCTGTAGCTGTAGAACTGTAGCTGTAGCTGTAGAACTGTGGCTGTAGCTGTAGAACTGTAGCTGTAGCTGTAGCTGTAGCTGGAGCTATATTAGCTGTAGAAATGAAAATTTGAAATCAATTCTGAGATGGAGAATCTTAATCAATTAGTTTTTAAGCCACTTTCATTTCCAAGCCAATACGATCATCAAAAAACTTTCTAAAACTTAGGTAATTAAACGAAATTGAAGAAAAAAGAGCGCTAAGGGGTTTATTTTTGTCTTATATCTCTAAAGGCCATGTGCCAGAAGCCGCACGATTACGTAAACATGTAAATTTTCACGTTTTTCGATACTTATGGAGATTACCGGCCTCAGTCATATCCACCAGAAAACCACTTTTTCTGGGGTAGTTTTTTGCGTAGATCACGAATTTCATAGTGGAAACTTGGGGAAATGCGTTTTAGACCGACTTTTAGAGGCTTAAAGTCTCTATAGTGTATTTCACTGTAATATTCCTATAAGAAGGGCTCAAAAGGGGCTTAATGAGTCTTTTTCCTGTTTAAAAAGACTTTTTCTGAGATAATTTAAAGTCCTCTCTTCAATTCTAAACAAATTCAAGTAGAAGATTCAAAAATTTTTTTTTAATTTTGCGAAATTTTCACTCATGTGGTCCCCCACATGGGTGAAAACTCGAGAAAAATTCAAATTTTTATTTTTGTTTTTTAAGACCTAGTTTTTTTGTGATTTTCATGTTCTGGAAAGATTTAAATTTGCTGTTTTCATGTTCTGGACACTAAATTAAGCCAAAGAGAGTGTTTTTGTATGTTGAAAAATCCTCTAAGGCCTTAGATGGGTCACAGAACAAGCCCACAGTGAAGTACGCTAAAGAGGCAGCGACTTCGGATCCTCGAAAGCCAATCGAAAACGCATTTTCCGAAATTCTCACTATGAAATTCGTGCTCTACGCAAAAAACTACGCCAGGAAGGTGGTTTTCGGGTGAATCTAGGGCCAGTAGTCTCCCTAAGTACCAAAACTAATAACGGATTCGATTTCCTCATCCTCGAAAACCCCTGATTACAAAATTTCAGCCGAATTGGCCTAAAAAAAGTGCGAAATCCACCGGTTGGCCGGATCGTGTTAAAATTTTGAAGAAACGAGTACTGTAGTTATTGTAGTACTGTCGCATTCTAATGAAATTCTGTAATTATTTGACCAAGGCAGGCGCTTTTTCGATTCAATTACACATTTAGATGCTTTTCAAACAGAACTTTTCAAAATTAGAGCTTTTAATGATTTCAAACGGGCATGACATGCTAATTTTTAGAATTGGCGAGATCCAAGACTTGCGTGGAACTCGACAAAGTTCGGTGGAGTCAAATCGGTCTTTGTCACGTCGGATGTGCTCTGGATTCCTGATACTCGTTTTGGAAATGTGTGAGTTTGTAGAAACAAAGTAAAACGTAGCTAGTAAAACTTAGTAACTTAGTAAAACCTAGTAAAACTTAGCAAAACTTAGTAAAACTCTCAGTAAAACTTCTTGGTCTTCGTAGTAAAACTATTAAAACTTTAGCGTTTACCAAAGTATTGGATTGGTGAATTGAAAACTGCGGGACTTTGAACTAAAATTTATTCAACATAAAACCATTAATTCATTCCAAATAATTTCCATTATTATCGACGACTTTTGCCCATTTTACAGGCAATTTGCGGATTCCTCTTTCGTCGTAGGATTTTGGTTTTGAATCGAAAAACTTTCAAAGCCAATTTTTGACTGCTTCTTCCGAATCGAAGTGTTCTCCCGCAAGCTCATTACTCATGATCCGGAATAAATAGTAATCAAAAGGGGCGAGGTCCGGACTGTATGGGGAATGCGCCAAAAGTTCCCAAACAAGGCTATTTATTTTAGAGCGAGTCAGTTTAGCAACATGAGGGCGCCCGTTGTCGTGGAGGAGAGCAATCTTTGAGAATGGAAGAACGGTTTCTCGTCTGACCCCACCCATTGCCACTTCCTCTGAAAGTTCACAGATAAAACCCATTTCTCATCTCCTTTCACAATTCAAGAAAGAAAAGATTTCCTTTTTTATTGTGAGTGATGGATGGCACTGATCGAGGCGCGCTGCCACTTCTGGGGGTTATTGAGGTCATGGGGCACCTAAGCCCCAAGTTTCGGTTTGAATCCAAGGGTATGAAGGTGCCTTAGTACAGTAGCATGATCAACCCCTAACTCTTCTCCCAATGCACACGATGATACCCGACGGCCGTTGGTAATGAGTTCGAGTAATTTGGAATCATCCAGTTGGGGTGCCACGCCACGGCCCTCTGCATCTTTCAAAGATTTGTCTCCAGAACGAAACTTGGCAAACGATACTCGACACGTTCTTTCGGAAGGGTGAGTTCTCCCCATATATCTCTTTAATATTAGCAGCTGCCAAGCCTGCACTGTGCTCTTCTAGGAACTCATGAAGCATGACATCACGAATATGTCCCGGTGGCAGATTGTCAAGTGCAATAGATGAAGTGAAGAAAAATACCAAAAAATAAAAAGCTGGAAGCATAATTTTCTCGCAATAATTTGAGGAAATGTTGAAGTAACCAAACCCCCTTTCAGCTAGTTCAATGCTGTTGTTTTTTTATCTGCGAGTCCCGCGAAAAAGCCCGCAGTTTTCAATTCACCAACCCAATAGTTTACTAATAGTAAAACCTAAGCCACAACTTTGAAAGTAAACTTTACTACTTCGTAACGTTTAGTAAAACGTTGGATACTGTCAATGGAATGTCAATGTCGATCGCTCACATTTTCAGCAATGGAACGGTTTTCATTACAACAGCTTATTATGCAGAGTCGACTTGTGGAATCAAGGTTTGTACTTTGGGCTCAAAAGCGAAAACACATCATTTCTAGTGCATTTACATAGCTTTAATAGTAAGAATTAGAAATTGTTAACCATAAGTTCATCAAGTTTATGCTTTAAAGTAAAAACTTTTTTCAGGCAAGCACTTTCCCTTTCGACAAGCAGAACTGCTCGTTGGCTATTTTGTCTCTGGGATTGGAATCGTTAGCTTTTTCTTGAAATTTATTAGGTTTTAAACTAAGTCTTGACCCCAAATTCTAAATAATATTTATTGATAACGAAAAGATCGAAATCGAAATCGAAAATCTTATCGAAATAGTCTTCATTATTTGCGATGAGTTTCGCTTATTTTACTGGCAATTAGCGGATTTTCCTCTCATAGAAATTTTTGTTTTTAAGTAGTCTGGGACTTTTAAGTAGTCTTGAAATCACTTTTTGAAGTCTTCTTCTTTTTGAAGTCTTCTTCTTTTTGAAAGTGCTCTCCATTTAGGACTTCTTGCATCGCTCGGAAAAAATGATAATCTGTAGAACTGAGGTCAAGAGAATATGGTGGACAAGAGAACAATCCAGGAGTTTAACCGAGAAATCTTATCCCACGGTAAGAGTTCTCAGTTAAACTCGTGGCTTCTGGAGCGGCTCAACTTTGCCGTATGTGAGCTGGCGTGTTGGAGAATGAGCTTTTTCAAATTGGGACGCTTTTTCTTAATTTTCTCATCGAGTTTTTTGAGCTTCCCACTGTATAATAGAGCATTGATTTTGTTGAGAAGTTCCCAATAAATACCTAAGAGATCCTACCATATGTAGCATGTACTTCTTCTGGTGAAAAACTAGGAGCACATTCTTTGCTGGTGTAACTCCAGGTTCCACCGATTGTCGTTTTCTCTGAAAGCTTGAAGTCATAATCCACTTCTCGTCTCCCACTAAACACAGCAAGAAAGATTTCCTCTCCTATCTGGAAAGAAGGGCAGCAGCAACTGATGACGTCTGAGAGTCGGTGAGGTTGTGGGGCACCCATTGACCGTAAATCGGTTTCAAACCCATAGTAAGAACGTGTGCAGAAAAGTAGCTCTTTTCTGTGAAATCTTATTTGATGCTTTGATTTTGAATATCCGTCCTTGAATCTCTGATTCTCTTGTCCTTCCTCTAAAGATCGTTTGTGTGATAAAAAGGGAAGGATCCCACTTTGTATTCTTTTCCTTCTTCTTTGGCTTTGAAACACTGAACCAACCATTGATTCTATTCATTGCATTTTCTCGCTAGATTAGTGATTCTGCTAGATTCGAAATCAAATATCTAAATAATCATTGCCCCAACGGCACTGCACGCAGTGCACATTTTGGTGCGCAGTCCAACTACGAAACCCGGTGAGACCCGTGAGTATGTGAAGATCTGTGAAGCCATACGGAGTGGCGACCCAGAATCGGCACTGCTCAGGGTGGATCACGTGGGCCAACTAGAACTACTCGATAGACGTCCGATCAAGGAGAGGCTCCAATCCATTTTCGAGCCACGAACGAGTAGCGACGAAGAGAGTGTCACAAGAGAGAAAACCGACGAAAAGAAAGGAACCGTCGAGAAGAGAGAGCCGAGCGTGTGTGCACAGTCCGGGAAGGTGTATTTCATTTATTATTTCAATCAATTGTTATCTGAAAGTATCCAATCTCAGCCGCAATTTCACACAAAGATATCCAGGGCTTTTCGCGAATTTTTTGAAGAATATTTGTCTTTTTATTTTCAACTAGGTCGTCCCGATCGGTTTTCATCTTTGAGATAAATATCCCCATTTCTGAATTTGTAGAACCAGGGCTTGGTTGTACATTCGGAAGAAGAGTCATTTCCATACACGGAGTATCATTTGGAAAGGTATTTGAATAAATAATCAATTAAAAAGATATAAAAGAGCAAGCATTTGCCCTTTCTGGATTATTTTTGGATACAAATGCTTGGATATAAAAGTATAAATTCTGGATTCTGGATACAAAAGTATAAAGAACTGTTAAGCCAATAATGGCCTCTCTCCCCCCATATAGGCTTTTACACCGGCTTTTGGGTTCGTTCGGGGATAGAGGGGCGTTTTTGAAGAAAAAAGGCCCTCAATAAACGTAAATCAAATTCCAAACTTTGCTACGGAGGTCAAGACTTAGTTTACAATCTAATAACACAAAAATCTTTAGAAAATATATCTCTTATGGAATTGGAATCGAAAATGAATCAACGGTGACAACGGTGAGTTCATTTTTCTTCAACAAATTCAAGCAAGTTCAAGCGTTCAAGCATTCAAGCATTCCAGGGAAATGGTGAATGGTTGATTACCGGTGCTTTGCCTAAAACTTATCCGCAAATTTACACAAATATGGATATTGTAAGCATTTTGACGGTTACTTAACCTTTCAAAGTCAAGGTCGGCTTTCTAATAATGATCAAAAGAGTACCGAATTTCTACGTCTACGTGATCGCTCTTCCGTGCTTCATTCTAACGATGATTTCAATTATTGGAATGTTTTGGTCACCGAATATAAAAAAGGAGCAATTAGTCAAGGTAAATGACAAAATTTAGCCACTAATTAAGCTTTGTGAAAGATCAATAATGTCAATAATGTGTAAGATCAAAAAAAAAATAGTGTTTTCCTTAAGTTGTGTTCTAAATCTTCTAAATTTTTTGAGCTTATTTGAAAAGAAAAAAGAAAAACTAGCGTAAATTCTCGTACCCATTCTATTAGGGTGGTGCAAAAGAAACTGCCGATTTGACGGTAAATTCAAAAGAAAGATGGTGTTCGATGGTGACATGATCACAATGGAATATTTTCGCAAGATCTCGAGCAGATTGGCATGGATCGGCCTGAATAACGTCCCTCAGCTTGGCTTCGTCCACGACTTCTGGCCTCGAACCGTGCTCGTAATCTTCCAAAGTCTCGTCTCCCTCTCGGAATCGTTGAAACCAAGTCTGACATTGCCTGAGAGACAAAGTGCCATCTCCGAAAGCAGCACAGAGAGAACGATGCGATTCGGCAGCAGACTTTCCAATTTTGAAGTTAAACAGTAATGCTGCTCGTAGCACAAACTTTTGCTCTGATCTAAATAAAAAATATAAGCATTTTGAAATAAAATAAACAACAACCAAAAAATTCAAATATCGAAATAAATAGCAAACAAATATGCGAACAAAACATTAAAAAATAATGCCGTTAGCATCGCTCGTTTAAAAATTACATTTATTGAAAACCAATAATGTGATACAAACAAAGGGTACATAATAAGACATAAAGGTTAAACACACAATTTTATGGCACTGCGGCCGTTCTCCCCTATTTACCCCTATTACCCAAATGTTGTGAAAGACCCCTTGGTGGGAAAAGAAACTTTTTACTGCCAGGTGTTGACCCGACCCGCTGAGAGACCTCCGGTCGGCCTCGCCGTTTCTGATAAATGAGAGCTGATACCCATCGGCAGTTTCTTTTGCACCAACCTAATACTTAATTTTGATTCAATTAGGTTTAAAGTTTGTTGCTTTATTGAACGAGATTATATTATGCTCATAAATCTAAATGAAAGATAACGATAGTTTATCCAACTTTTAGGAAGCATTTCAGCATATCAGCAACTCGCTATAACTTTATAGTTGTTGATTTAGACGATTTGCTCACCATTTTTGTTTACATCGATACAGATTTATCGATGATTTACACATCATTTTACACACCAAAACATTCATCGAGAGCAATAAAATGATACTAAAATCTTCGCTCAAATTTGTGTCCGCTCAAATTGAGTTAGCCGTTTGATGTTTGGCCAATAGATATATCAATACCACTTTTTTGTTAAATATAACAATTTCAGAGTATCTTTACTTTTCTTTTCTTTTCTGGGCGGTTATTTTACACCATAAAACTTGAGGAATAGCTAAGCTGAAATGGGTTTTTTCGGCAACGACCTCTCCCTTTGTGCAATCAATTTCCCAAAAAGTTGAATGAATTCAAGAACTTTTTTATTCCAAAATGTAGAGGAGATCTTCAGCTTTCGAATGATATATAACACTCATCTACATCTGTTCCGTATCTTGAGAAATTTACAAAATAGTAAAAACGCGCATTCATAACTGGACAACCCAATAGAAGATTTGCACACCATTTTTGTTTACATCGATACACCAGATTTACACACCATTTTACACACCAAAAACATTCATCGAGAGCAATTAAATCATACTAAAATTATTGCAATAAGTCAAAAACTACGAAAGTGGGATTTTTTTCCCAACTTTCCTAGTTTTTGATCTATTGAAATGATTTTTGTATCATTATGTTGCTCTCGATGTGTGCAACAAAATGGTGTGTAAATCTTTTGAAAAACAACTTGTTATAATGCTGATTTCAGCTCAGTATCGGTTTAACGAGCCTTGTTTCGATGACTGTTTTGTTGGACATGTTGGCTTCGGAGATTCCCAAAACTCAAGTGTTTCCATTGCTTGGTAAGTGATTTGATTGGCGAATTGACTTTGATTGACTAAAATGCAGATTAGTTAATGGAAAAGTTACCTTTCCTTGTTTCCAATGTTTCCATTGCTTGGTAAGTGCTTTGATTGACTAATTGATTTGATTGAAAATGCAGATTAGTTAATGAAAAAGTTACCTTTCCAGGAATTTACGTGGTAAGCTGTGTTGGGATCACTTCTCTCGCCTGTGTGATCGTCGTCGTGCACGCATTGCCAAACCCCGAGAAGTTGACGAAAAGGGAAATTGAGAAGTTGAAAGAAGCAAACAAGGGACAAACAAGGTATTATTCAATTTGAAGAAAAAACAGGCTAATTACAAGGCTTCAGGTTACGATTCGTGATTGAATCAATAAAGGAGTTCACATGGCATCGACATTTCTTTCTTCTGTGCTTCTTTGAAGCAATGAATGCTATTGGTTTCATCATATTTTTGTCATATTGGGAAGATTGAGCAATCAATTTTATTCAATCTAAATTCAATTCAATAAATATTTATTGCCAAAATACAAACTAATTCGATTGTTACTTCTTTTACAGGCATAATATGCAAGCTTCTTTTTGTCTGTTTAGAGTTTATAAGCTTTGGTCTTTGGCTTTGGTTAGAACTCTGAAGTTGGATTGGAAGAAATTGGATTGGAAGAAATTGGATTGGAAGTGTTGGAGAATTGTTGGGTTGTTGGGTTGGTTGGGTTGGTTGGAGTTGGTTGGAGTGGTTGGAGATTGGTTGGAGTTGTTGGGTTGGTTGGGTGTTGGGTTGGTTGGGTGTTGGTTGTTGATTCCGTTTACAAGTCCGAATTAGAGAATTAGATATATGAAAAGTACAATCTTGCGTTTATCAATCAATATCTCAGAGTTAAACTTGATAACTTTGGAACTTTTATTAAAAACCTTATTCTAAGATTAGTAACAAAATATGGACTAGACGTGGTTTTGGATCTAAGTTGAATCAGATCGAATCAGATCGGATCCGATTGACAGATCAATTGACAGATCATTGAATCGAATTGAGTTTGATTTGATTAAATCGAATTCAATTCAATCCGATTGAATCGAATTGAATTTGTTCCGATTGAATCGAATTGATTCAATTGATTGATGAATCGAGTTGATTCATGGTTTTGGATCCAAGTTGAATCAGATCGGATCGAATCCCCGGATCGGATCGAATCGGATCGAATCGGATCGGATCGGATCGAATCGATCGAATCGGATCGAATCGGATCGGATCGAATCGGATCGAATCGGATCGGATCGAATCGGATCGAATCGGATCGGATCGAATCGGATCGAATCGGATCGGATCGATCGGTCGAATCGGTCGGATCGAATCGGATCGAATCGGATCGGATCGAATCGGATCGAATCGGATCGGATCGGATCGAATCCTCGGATCGAATCGGATCGAATCCTCGGATCGGATCGGATCGAATCCTCGGATCGGATCGGATCGAATCCTCGGATCGGATCGGATCGAATCCTCGGATCGGATCGGATCGAATCCTCGGATCGGATCGGATCGAATCCTCGGATCGGATTGAAAGATCAATTTAATTGAGTCGAATTGAATTCGAGCCGATTGAATCAAATTTGAATTGAATTGAATCAAATCAATCAAATCAAATTTTTTTTACCTTTTATAAAGCCTAGAAACGCACTTAAGTTTACGGTAACATGGCGCAGGCTTTAGAGCGGTTTAAGATGTGTTTAAGAACAAGTCAATCCAGCCCGTAACCTTGGTGTTGATACTTTGGTCGGCACACCGATCGATAGCTGAATCGAATCGAATCGAATCGAATTAGATCCGATTAACAAGTCAATTGAATCGGTAAGTAAGTGAGTAAGTAAGTAAGTAAGGTAAGTAAGTAAGGTAAGTAAGTAAGGGGAAGTAAGTAAGGTAAGTAAGCTGGACTTGTATTTTTTCAACTTTCGTGGTGTACTTTGAACTTGGAAACAGTAAACAACCTTTCTGGCGCGCTCGATTCTTCTTTTTCTGCTTATTCTGTTTTCAAACCTCAACCTACTCCAATTTATTCGGAAATTGAAACCACTTAACATTTCACCAAATATTAAAACTTTTCCCTATTTCTTTCAAATTTTCTAGTCTCTAGTCTCTTTTCTGCTTAACTAGTGCCACTGAAAGATCAGTCAAACTTGAATTGCATATTTGCCTTTCCGTTGAATTCAAGTGAAAAAAGCGCATCGACTCGAAAACGGCCAAAAATTGATGGACAAAACTCTCGAATTTCTTTGTTTCCCTATTCCAATTCTAATCTTCCATTAATGAAATCACTTTAATCAAATGATTTTGATCTTCTTGCTTTGTTTTTCTTTCGTTGATTGGATCAAGGCTCAAATGGATTTCACAAAGTATGGAGATACAGGTGGGGATCTAGACGGAATAAAATTGGTTTGTACGAGGACTGTTTCCTTGGCATTCTTTTATTTCTTTATCCGGGCGGAGATGTTTTCTCCTTAATTGATCGTGATCTGATCACAATCGACAAACTTTTTCCCAAATTGACGTGCAAGCTGACGAATCAACTTGAAAACAATAGTTTTATTCGGTTTACTAGAAGTGTATCTCCTTCATATGAAGGAAAAAAAGAGATCCAAAACTCTGGCAAAAATTCTGGCTTTATCAAACACTTAAATAAAGCAAACAAAGTTATTCGGGTCAAGTACATGGCCTGGGTCAAGTACATGGCCTGGGTCAAGTACATGGCCTGGGTCAAGTACATGGCCTGGGTCAAGTACATGGCCTGGGTCAAGTACATGGCCTGGGTCAAGTACATGGCCTGGGTCAAGTACATGGCCTGGGTCAAGTACATGGCCTGGGTCAAGTACATGGCCTGGGTCAAGTACATGGCCTGGGTCAAGTAATGGCCTGGGTCAAGTACATGGCCTGGGTCAAGTACATGGCCTGGGTCAGTCTGGCCTGGGTCAAGACATGGCCTGGGTCAAGTCTGGCCTGGGTCAAGACATGGCCTGGGTCAAGTACTGGCCTGGGTCAGCATGGCCTGGGTCAAGTACATGGCCTGGGTCAGTACATGGCCTGGGTCAAGTACATGGCCTGGGTCAAGTACTGGCCTGGGTCAAGTACATGGCCTGGGTCAAGTACATGGCCTGGGTCAAGTACATGGCCTGGGTCAATACTGGCCTGGGTCAAGTACATGGCCTGGGTCAAGTACATGGCCTGGGTCAAGTACTGGCCTGGGTCAAGTACTGGCCTGGGTCAAGTACATGGCCTGGGTCAAGTACATGGCCTGGGTCAAGTACATGGCCTGGGTCAAGTACATGGCCTGGGTCAAGTACATGGCCTGGGTCAAGTACATGGCCTGGGTCAAGTACATGGCCTGGGTCAAGTACATGGCCTGGGTCAAGTACATGGCCTGGGTCAAGTACATGGCCTGGGTCAAGTACATGGTCATGTACATGAGGCCGTTTTCAATATTCAGATATTAACTAAACGGGCTAAATGCTCTACACGAAAATTGGCAATACAAAAGGATTGTTTAGATCCTAAATTTGAATTTGGTGTCGAATGTTTGGCACAGGATCAAACGAAAAAATAAGCTAGCTCTTTAAACCTAGACTTTTAACTCTAAACTAAATTCTTTAAAATGAAAGCAACTAATTTTCAGTTAACTACTCGACTTTCATGAACAACATGACCGAATTGTATAAAGAACTTTTTACAACGAGAAACTACAACAAGGCTTTATCACCGGTATTCCTGAATGGTGGACGAAAAAATGGTAAATGATCTTTTCACAATTTGATCAAATTCCTTTTTAGCTACTTCGAATCCTTTGGTCATTCACTTTACTCTCTTTTACATGAAGATGTTTTTCTTAGTAATATTTGTCAATCTTGCAGCAACAAAAAGAGTTTTAGGATGCTGAAAGTCAACAACTAAGCCTTTGTATTGAGCTGGTGCAAGTGAGTCAACTTTTTGAGCTGTCGTAGTCGATTATGAATGAGTGGGTCTAGGAGCGTCCAACTATAGAGTCCAAAAGGGTCCAACACGTCCAAAAGGTACAGAGTAAAGAAGATTTACAATCGTCGGGGGCCAATATGACTGTATTTCGTATGAATGAGTGGGTCAGGACGCGTTCAACTATCAAGTATTTGGTATCATTCAACGCAGAATCATTGATAATTAGGTTAAATTTTTTAAATTAGAAAGATCGGATAAAAAGAAAAAAAAGTATGGGGCTTCAAAGTTTTCTCTTGAACAAACAGTTTTTTTTGCTCTAATTTTTTTCTTTTTATCAAATCTTTCTAATTTTAAAAATTTAACATAATTATGAATGATTCTGCGTTGAATGATACTAAATACTTGATGGTTGGAAGCTCCTAGACCCACTCATTCATAATCGGCTACGGGGATCCCACCGATTTTGAATGAAACGTTGTAGCGCTGACAATTTTTAACCTAAACTCACAAATTTGGTACCAATCGACGCAGAATTTAATTCGCTACAAATTTGATATAATATTGTCCGGGAGTGGGACAAGTGCGACCTTTTTTTTGCGCACCCGGACATTTGCGCACCTTTTTTTCCGCACTGAGCGCATTAGCGCAGGTTTTTTCGCGTTTTAAAAAAGCTCTAAAAGCTAATATTAACCAATTTCTATTCCAAAAGTTGTTTTTCTAGGTAATTTTAGGGCGTAGAATCGAAATTTTGACATATCAGAGCGTGTGGAAACAAACGGACGGAGTTATACAAAGAGGAAAATCGACAATTTTCTGTAATTTGATCTAGCCGTTTTGTCTTTCAAATTGGTTCCACACGCTCTGTTATGTCAAAATTTGGATTCTACGCCCTAAAATTACCTAGAAAAACAACTTTTGGAATAGAAATTGGTTAATATTAGCTTTTAGAGCTTTTTTAAAACGCGAAAAAAGGTGCGCTAATGGGCTAAGTGCGGAAAAAAAGGTGCGGAAATGTCCGGGTGCGCAAAAAAAAAGGTCGCATTTGTCCCACTCCCATATTGTCCTCATACATTCAAGGGTTGCTCTACTAGAAAGATTTGCCAAAAAATTTCATTCATAATCGGCTATGACATAGCTTTGTGAAACTTGTACAAGTTTGTAATCCTTGTATTTAATACGTGGAGGGACGCAAGGCTTGCTTGGGATCCAGATGAATATGACGGAATTGAAGGAATGTATGTGAATGTGGGCGAGATTTGGATTCCCGATAACATGATCGGCAACACGTCAGTTTTTTAGAAAAAGGAAATATTTTTATTGTCTTATTTTATTGTCTTAGTTTTGAAAAAAGAGATATTTGCAAGATCGCATCATTTTTCTTTTGAACTTTGAAAGTTAGAATCATTTAAGGCTGGATTAAATCATTTAAGGCTGGTTAAAATCACTTAAGGATGGATCCAAATTGACTATATTGGCTTAAAAAGATGGGAAATTAAAGAATAAACATTTTTAGAGCACTTTTATTTTATTTAAAGCCCTTTTATTAGTTAATTAAATAGGGCAAATCATAGGTTAATTGGTGAATTTTTTAATTTTCATTGAAAATACGAAAAGAAACACAAAAGACTTTCTGGACAGCCTAGTAGATGTCAAATTGTATTCCGGAACTGATAACATCTAGCGGTGGGTTTTCATTAGATTGAATATGTCTTAAAAATTCGTTCCAATATTTTTCCAATTCGCTCTTTCAGCAAATCGTTAAACCTTGCACACGCGGATGCGATTCGGGCCGCAAAAATCGAAAGTGATGGAACGATAACAATGCCCACTGTCTATTATGTGGAAATCTCTTGCGTAATTTCGGTGAGTGGAAAATTTAGCTATTTTTGCTGATGCTTTTGTTCTAGGTGGATGTATTCCCGTTTGACAAACAAGCTTGCGAGTTGCCGGTTATGTCATTCGCTTATCTGCCGTGAGTTTGTGCCCTCAAAGAGTCTAAAAGAGACTCAAAGTGGAGTTTTAGAGCGGACGTGATCACAAATGGATCAGTGAGCCCGGAAGCTTTATCTCTATATGCAGTAGGTTTTGAAATACTTGAAAAAAAAATGATTTTTGAATCTGGAGCTATTGAAGATCTATTTTCGTCCAGTTTTGTGACAAATGGGTACCTTAAACTTTGTACTGGAGATGAGAAAGAAGTACTGGAGACGTCTGGAGTACTGGAACGTCTGGAGTACTAAAACGATGTACTGGAGAATAGATTTGAAATGTTTAAACTGCAGGATTTATACAGACAATGCAATTGATTAAATGTTTTTTGTACTTCTTTTTGTGTTTTTAAAGCCCTAGATCTTGATTTAACCATGACAAATTTTCCATTATTTCAGGGTAACGGTGAATGGAATGTGACACATGTGACGACAAAACCAATCTCGTTTGTAACCATGCAATTGGTGAGACAATCGGAGTTATAATTCTCAATTTTTAAACCTATAACCTTGAATTATTGGATTGGTGAATTGAAAACCCCTTTGTGTCACTTTTCCAACAATTTTCTGCAAGATTTGTTAGTTCTCCTGGAGCCGTTATCCAATTGCAGAATTATATTGGATTGGTGAATTGAAAACTGCGGGCTATTGTCATACGTGACAGTTTGAGCACTTTCTTCAAAAGAAACCCATTTTGGTGTCAATGGAAAAGTTGTAGAGAATCAAAAATTAAGCTTATATCCAAATTTTCAGAACGATTCAAAAACGGCTTTTCAAGAAATGCCAAATTTACGAATTTTCACAAAACTTGCATTTTAAGCGAAACTACTAAGTGTATCTTTTTGAAAATTTGGCTATAAGCCTAATTTTTGATTCTCTACAACTTTTCTATTGACACCAAAATGGGTTTCTTTCAAAGAAAGTGCTCAAACTGGGAGTCCAGTTTGAGACTCCAGTTCCAGACTCAAAAATGGAGGACTGCAGATATCCCTGCAGTTGAAAACCACTTTTTGAATCGTTCTGAAAATTTGGATATAAGCTTGATTTTTGATTCTCTACAACTTTTCCATTGACACCAAAATGGGTTTCTTTTGAAGAAAGTGCTCAAACTGTCACATCTGACAATAGCCCGCAGTTTTCTATTCACCAACCCAATAACAATTAATTAGCAATAAAATAGATAAATATTTCTAGTTATTTCTGGTTACCACGTATAAACAAAAAGTCTTATATGGGTTTTTTGCAGCTCTTATTATTATTATTTGAAAAAAACAGGGCTCTAGCAGTGCTCTAAACGCGATACGAAAAGGGAAAACATGAAACATAACTGCAACAAAGGAATGGCTGGGAATTGGTTTGGTTGTGTCCGATTGGTTTGGTTGCGACCCATTCGGGGTCATCCATTCAAAAAAGAGCTCAGGCTTTGTTGCAATTTTGTGAAAATTCGTAAATTTCTTGAAAACCAGTTTTTGAATCATTCTGAAAATCTGGATATAAGCTTGATTCTTGATTCTCTACAACTTTTCCATTGACACCAAAATGGGTTTCTTTTGAAGAAAGTGCTCAAACTGGGAGTCCAGTCCTTCATTCTCAAAGTCCAGTCCTCCATTTTTGAGTCTCACCCACAAACCAAAATCCTACTACGAAAGAGGAATCCGCAAATTGCCTGTAAAATGGGCAGAAGTCGTCAATAATAATGGAAATTATTTGGAATGAATTGATGGTTTTATGTTGAATAAATTTTAGTTCAAAGTCCCACAGTTTTCAATTCACCAACCCAATAAAATCTTCAGTTCTATTTTATCATCCATGTTAAACGAGTCCCCAACTTCTATGTCTACGTCATCGCTCTTCCATGTTTCATTCTAACACTTCTCTCAATTATCGGAATGTTTTGGTCATCGAACATCAAAAAGGAACAGTTGACAAAGGTAGAAAGAAAATTGAATCAAAAAAATCGTCTAAAGCTGAGTATTTTTAGCTGAGTATCGGTTTAACAAGTCTTGTTTCAATGACCGTACTTTTGGATCTCTTATCTACGTCAATACCAAAAACAGAGGTTTTTCCGTTATTAGGTTTGTTAAACGAATTAAATTCTGTATATAACTTGTGAGACAGGGGGGAAAGCTCAGACTAACCAAAGGGCTCTGCCCCAAATGGCGAGCGATTGCGTGATCGCTCGCCATCGCACAAAGAACACCTCGCGATCTCTTTACAAAGGAATTTCTTTTGTTACAATTGTTTTGTTACAAGGAATTACAAAGGAATTAAACATTGCTGAAAAATGAAGCCCAAAAGTTTGAACTCAGGGGTCTCTGGGATCATTTTTGAAAGATGTTTGGAAAAAATTATATGAAACAACCTAATATCAGCATTGATCGTCTTCTTTGTCATATTTCAAAGATGCTCTAATTGTAAGCATTGATACTAATAAGTGGGTAGAATAAGTACTTGATGAGCCAACTCTAATGTAAAAACTTAGTACACAAACAGAACTATGTAGCTTAATATACGCATAACATTTTCAGGCATTTGTGTAGTCGTTTGCGTTGGAATCATCTCAGCCGCTTGTGTCATCATCGTCGTTTTCTCATTGCAAAATCCAAGAAAGAAAACAGAAGCCGAGATGAAAAGAGCTGAAGAAGAAGAAAAGCGATTGACAAAAGGGTATGCAGCTTTGAATAAAATGAACAATAAAAGCTTCAGCGAGAAGATCCGCCACTTCTTCACCAGTGACTGCACCCGTCGACATATTTTCTTCCAACTTTGCTTTCAAGGAGTCAATCTGGCTGGCTTTATTGTGTTTCTTTCGTTTTGGGATTGATAATGATAATGATAATAACAAAAAGATATGATTTTGAATAAACAATGGTTTAAACCAATTGGGAAATTCTTTAAAATGCATTGGGCAAAGCTGTGCTGGCAAAGCTGAGCTGGCAAAGCTGAGCTGGCAAAGCTGAGCTGGCAAAGCTGAGCTGGCAAAGCTGAGCTGGCAAAGCTGAGCTGGCAAAGCTATCAGAAAAGCGCTAAACGTTTCAAAGCTTACAGACTTTCTTTTCTAAAGAAAACGTATCCTTTCAGCGTATTCCCTAAAACTGTTCTTTTTTTCATTTCAAAAACAATAAACAACATTGATTTTAACATTAAACAACACTTTTCACTCATTTAATCACTTTTGAGTTCAATGAAAGGTCAAGTTTTTCACCGTCACCGCCACTTCTGAAATTTTGAGTACATGCATAGACAAATAGGAAGCAAAAAAGTGAAAGAGCAAAAAAAATATCTCAAATTTCACACTGATTAACTTAAACATTCCGGAAATGGCGTTTAATAAACATTTTTGAATGTTCAATGTTTTTCTTGCTGCTGAAATTCTTCTTGTCAACAGGATGGGCTCAAGTGGATTTGACAAAATTTGGGGAAACAGGTGGGATTGTTTTTAGCATTAGAAGTTTGATAGAGTCATGGACAAAAATCTTCGCGGCTCCTGGGTGGCAACTTTCAAACGCGAATTTAGGAACCTTTCCGTTGGGCTATAAAAAAAGTTGTCACAAGTATTTTTGAGCATTTTTACTCTACTTTTAGCCATGAACAAGCATTGAACTCGAAAGTTTATTTTAAACAACAAAAATAAGCGTAAAGCAAAAAACGACAAAAAGGTCACAAAAACAATGGACAAAAGTCTTGGCAGACATAGAGGCAAAAAATTCAATATTTTGTAGGTCCGCCTTTAGCTGCAATGATCGCTTGGAGCCTCCGGGGCATACTGCAAACTAGATCGCGTAAAATTTGTAGCGCAATTGTCGCTCAAACTCGCCGTACGAAGTACCAAAGGTCCGCCTTAGAGCTAAACCGTCTTCCATTGAGTTTCGTCTTGATAAACGCCCATAGGTGTTCACTAACATTCAAATCGGGGCTGTATGGAGAAGCTGAAACGATTTGAACACGATTCGCGCGGAACCATCCGGGTAGTCGAGCTCTTCCTCCATTGGCAAGTCGAACAGTGCGGCCCACAAGCAACTGACTCTTATGGCAAGGAGCATTGTCCTGGTAGAGGAGCCATCCTTGTCCCATTTTTCTTCCCAAAAGGAAGAAATTTGTTCTCCAGGATCGTCTTGTAGCGCTGGGCATCAAGAGTCGAGTTGAGAAGGACCAATGGGCCCGGTGAACTTCTTGCCATAGCTCCTAAAAAACAAGATTAATATACATAACAAGAGAGAGTCTCTTACCCCATACCATGACCGCTTCACCACCAAATACACCACAAGTATTTAGAGCTGAATCGTTGTCCCACAGGTCACCGAACCAAATGGTTCCCATCCGGTTGAAAAAGATTGACTTTTGACTCATCAGTGAAAAGCACATTTGCCCAATCGGCCCTTACTTACTTACTTACTTTTTCGCAAACTGCAACCTGAGTTTTCGGTGCCTGGCAACCATTAGGGCACTAAGCCAAGACTTTTGTCCATTGTTTTTGTGACCTTTTTGTCGTTTTTTGCTTTACGCTTATTTTTGTTGTTTAAAATAAACTTTCGAGTTCAATGCTTGTTCATGGCTAAAAGTAGAGTAAAAATGCTCAAAAATACTTGTGACAACTTTTTTATAGCCCAACGGAAAGGTTCCTAAATTCGCGTTTGAAAGTTGCCACCCAGGAGACTTTTGTCCATGACTGTATATGGGTAATGCTTTGATAAACGTTTAGAAGCCTACTCAAACTTTATCAACCAAACGCAACTGATCTATGATGAGATCTTTACCAATCGAAGATACAACCATTTACTCTCTCCGATTTTTCACCAAGCACGTAACTGTACATTGATATTTTTGCACTGTCTAGCGTTTCAGCTAACGATACAGCTCCCTTTGAAGTTTACTATTCAATGTTTTTCTTTAAAATGTTTCTATTAGATGCGGAGAGTCAAATGCTTGGGATCGATTTTGAGTTGAAAGAAGTAATGAATGAGATTCTTTGGCTGCATTTAGTAATCATTTAGTAATCAAGAAAAGAGTGTGTTCCTCGTGATTTATGCGCTTTCTAAAGCATCCGCTTCGAAGCTATCTTAGTTATGTAAATTTGTTTATAAACAAATTTCTTTATAAAAAAATTCCTTTAAATGCAAATTTAAACTTTTCATTCATCATTTTCAGTAGTCATGGACACTATAAACTATAAAAATGACGAACTGTCACACTACAAACGCTTCTAACTTGCTTTAAATTTGCCGGATTGATATGATTTATAGCGCAAAAGATAGAGAATCTCAAGAGCTTTCGATAGGACTAAAGCAAAGCGAATATCGAATACAGTGGTTTGTAGCCTGATTTGATCGCTTCAACTACGCGCGAGTTCGAGTCACGACACGACATTGATATTAATTATTTACGAGGACACACTCTAATCAAGAATCTTGTGCACTAATTCTTCAGACTTGGAAAGACGCAAGATTAGCTTGGGACCCGGAAGAATATGGTGGAGTGAACAAATTGTTCGTTAACGTGGACTCTGTTTGGGTGCCCGATAATCAAGTGGCCAATGTGTGAGTTTTCTTTCAAACTATTGAATGCTCATTGAAAAGATAAACTCAAACTGATCAATTCCACGTTTTTAACTACACTAGTCTTCACAAAATAGTTGCCATTAACTGTGTAGATTTTTCTCAAATTTGATTTACTAGGGAATGGCTTAGACCTAAGTGGAACTTTTGGCATTTAGGCATCTAATAGATTTGGCATCTATCTAATAGATTTTTTCTTGGCATCTAATAGAAATCGTATATAAGGCGGCCCTCGCTTAGAAGAAGGCATCTAAACAGTTCCAATATTCGTCAAAATAGTTAAACGGCTGAATATCTCTAAAAGAAATCGTATATAAGGCGGCGCTCGCTTAGCTAGAAGGCATCTAAACAGTTCCAATAAACGTCATCAAACAAGTTTCCAAAAAAGTTCCAGAATAAATCAGAATTCAGTCCGAATTCGAGTGTGTTTGTGTCTCAAAAATTACTCGAGTAAAATCTGCATGAGTGCAATTTTTACTTGATTAAACGACATTTTTCATCGAGTAGCTACGAGAAATCCTCTTTACACGTCGCGTAAATTGAATATCTTTACCTTTGAAGGGAATTTTTCACCAAATTAGTTAAACGGCTGAATATCTTTAAAAGAAATCGTATATAAGGCGGCGCTCGCTTTTCCCGCCAATTTTTTTGCATTAATTTTTGCTCAAAGTTTGGTAACTTTTTCAAGTGTTTGTTTGAAAAAAACGCACTTCTAATCCGGACCAAGGAACCAAATCAATCAATCAATCAAATCTATTCTATAAGTAAGCTAGCAGTTTGAACTATAAATAAGCTAGCACTTCCACAAAACGATTGCTCTAATTAGGAAATCACTTGACGCAGTGCACCCATCAACGTCAAGGGAAGTCGAAATCTCGCATGACGGTACTGTGTTGATGCCTACCGTTTACTATGCCGAGATTTCTTGTGCCATCAATGTGAGCACTACTTTACAATACTTTACAAACCGTACAAACCGTACAAACCGTACAAACCGTACAGACCGTACAAACCGTACAAACCGTACAAACCGTACAGACCGTACAAACCGTACAAACCGTACAGACCGTACAAACCGTACAGACCGTAAATACTTTAATAGAACGCCACCTCCACGTACAATCGCGTAGTCTAACTTCTTTTTAGAAAATCATTTTCTCAGCTCCTAGATTTTCCCAACTTTAGTACCAAAAATATTAGATTTCAAGGGCTATTATTTGATACCCAAGCGCACACTGTAGCATAAAGAAGCGCGGAGAATGGGACGTTCAAAGTTAGACTACGCGACTGTACGCCCGTCATTATGAGAGTAACGTTCTAGTATTTACGGTATCTTTATTTTAGGTAAGAATCTTCCCCTTTGACAAGCAGAGTTGCCGAATTCCGATACTCTCTTTCTCCTATGGAGTGTTTGTAAATTTTCTCTTGTTTTATCTCAAAATTTTAGACGTCAAGTGACGACAAATGGCAGCGTGGATAAAGTGCTATCTTTGACTACGGCTGTAAGTTTCGAGCTGACTTTAGCCTATTCCCAATTTAGGGCAATGGCGAGTGGGAAGTCACAGGCATCACCACGAATAGTTTCATCTATGGACCCGGGAATATTGTGAGTTCAATTTCCGTGTTTTTAGTTGGATGGTTGAATTTTTAGTTTAATTACGTGATAGGCTTAAAACGAGTCCCTCACTACTATGTCTACGTGATCGCTTTTCCGTGCTTCATTTTGACGACAATCTCAACAGTTGGAACCTTTTGGTCACCAAATTACAACAAGGAGCAACTTACCAAGGTACTCATTACTGAAGGATATGTTTGAAGTAGATGTCTGACCAGTGAATCGAGTTGGGTAACTGATTCCACCTTCTTTTGATCTTGCCGTCAACTCCCTTTGATCTCACCGCCAAACCCCTTTGATCTCACCGCCGAATCCAATTTGTCCGACTTTTCTCAAAAACGGATTGAGATTTTTCAAATCGAATTTGACAGGCCAAACCCCCGTAGTCGATTACATATTGTCCCAAAAAATTAGACCAAAATTCCCACTGGAACTCGAGTTATGAAGTGAACGGCCACACACAAGGAGCAACTTACTAAGGTACACATTACTGAAGGATATGTTTATCTGATGTCTGACTAGTGAGTCGAGTTGGGTAACTGATCCCACCTTTTTTGATCTTGTCGCCAAATCTCTTTGACCTCACCGCCAAATCTCTTTGATCTCCCCGCCAAATCCAACTTTTCTCAAAAACGAAACCCCCGTAGTCGATTATGTATTGCCCCAAAAATCAGACTGAAATACCCACTGGGACTCGAGTTATGAAGTGAACGGACACACACACAAACTTTGCGTCTTATAATTGCATATTTTTACATCTTACATATTACATCGTCTTACATTTCTAAAAGAACTTGAAGCGGGTAAGCAACCCGTTTGCAGACGATAACATGATTTCAAAGAGGCTACAGAACTAGCCACAGAACTAGCCATAGAACTAGCCACAAAACTAGCCACAAAACTAGCCACAGAACTAGCCACAGAACTAGCCACAGAACTAGCCACAGAACTAGCCACAGAACTAGCCACAAAGCATTGTAACTAAACCGTCAACTAACTGGAATATAATTGAACCAGTAACGGAACTTGTTGGCTGAGCGATTATAAGTTTGAGTAATTATAATTTGATTCAAAGTTCAAAGCACATATTCCTCCGGTTTACACTGTAAAATCTATAATTCAAGTTATACTAAATCAATCATTTTATAGCTGAGCATCGGTCTGACGAGTCTCATCTCTATGACAGTATTGCTGGATCTTTTGTCGAACTCAATTCCCAAAACGCGAGTTTTCCCATTGCTAGGTTTGTTCAGTACTTGATTTCAAAACTGATAAATCCGTAAGGAATCTATGTGCTGATTTGTGTTGGAATCATTTCCGCTTCGTGTGTGGCCATCGTTGTGTATGCTTTGCCCAATCCAAAGAAACCGACCGAGTCTGCGCTGAAAAAGTTGCAAGAAGAAAAGAATCTATTGACAACAAGGTAAACTTTCAGGAAATCAAAAATTTCTAATTAATTTTAGCCGAAAAATGATGCGATATTTGAAAGAGACGTTAAATCATCGTCACATCTTTTTTCAACTCATATTTCAAGCGATGAATTTCGTTGCATTTATTGTGTTTTTGTCTCACTGGGATTGATTGTAAAATTAAGAACTTTATGAGTAAACGAAAGAGATCGGAGTCTTCAATACTGTACCTGAAATTAGCTGTGCTGACCTGAATCAGCTGTGCTGACAATTGCAATATCTAGTGTAAGTTTGAGTGGAAAGCGAAACTCCATAGCTTGACTCGGTATCGCGACGTAGATCAGCTGAATTGACGCAACACTCCGCACCGTCATTATGGGGCTCGGGTACTATTACAGTATTTACGGTAGCCTATTTTATAGTAAATTTTTTTTACTGATTCTGAATATCTAAGTCGTTTTTAAGTAATGAGTTCTAATTTGAACTTAAATGAATTTTCGATTTAAATTCATTTAAAGTCTAAACCTAAGCTTTTGAAGTGTTGCGTTAATTATCTGACTGCACGAGTATCAAGCGATCTTACGTCCACCATTGACATGTTGTCGTGGCCAAGTGGTTAGTGCGCGGGCCTCTCAAACTAATCGCTAGCATTTTTGGTCCTAGTTCGAGCCCAACTTAGGTAAAACTTGGGTAAAGCTATTTGTAAGAAAATTCTTGTTAAAGCATAAACGCGAGTATGAATTTTACTAGTTTTCTTCGTGGATTCTTCTTAAATGGTCGAGAGTTGGAACAAGAATTTCCAATTTCCAATCCAAGAATTTTGAAACACTCAATTCAAGGATGCACTTTGATATATCTACGATCACAATCACAGAAGTACATTTCGGTTTTTGAAAGGATTGTTAAAGAGAAGCACATGGTGGGGTACAGAAACTTACTGTCTGCTTAACACTAAGTTTCTGTTAAAGCTAAGTGCTTAACACTAAGTTTCTGTTATTCTGTGCCACCGCTTAGAACTTTCCTAAACTGGTGAATTTAGATTGGTGAATTTTTGTCCCTTTTCATATTTTTGTTCAAATATAACAAATTCACCAATGAAACCTATGGTTTTCTCTAAACAAAAAGTATTTATTATTCAATTATCCTTCTTTTTAAGTCAATTTGGATCCTTTCAAGTTAATTTGGGTTTACTTTCAAGCGAATTCGAGAGTGAAAACACGTGTTTTTCGTAAAAATCGATAAAAATCTCTACGAAGAAATTGGCTGAATCAATTTCTCTACAAATTTGGCTTTGTATCAAACCTTTTGTGCTCTATCTTTTATCTATTGACACCAAGATAGGTTTCCTTAGCTAAAGTGTGTCTTTTCTATAGCTAAAGTGTCTACATCAGACACTACATCAGTCTACGCGACCTCAGGTCTCAAAAAAACCAGACATAGGACATTTTAAAGCGGTTTTAATGTTATTTTTAAGACAAATAGTTGGCCTTTCTAATGAAACAAGCAGTAGTTCAATTTATGCATTTGTTGATTTTAAACGGAAGTACGAAAAGGAACGAAAGGACTTAATTGATCATTGATTTGAATTGATTGATCAAAAATAGTATAAAACAAAGTATAAACCACACGCATATACCAGATGGGTTAAATTCTAAAAAGATCACCGAAGTTCGGTAGCTTGTAAGCTCTAAATGCAGCTCTAAATGGACAAGCTCTGCAGCTCTAAATGCAGCTCTAAATGGACAAGCTCTGCAGCTCTAAATGCTCCAGATTTTTGTAAAAACTCATTTGAATTGGCCTTTCTAATGAAACAAACAGTAGTTCAATTTATGCATTTGTTGATTTTGAACGGAAGTACGAAAAGAAACGAAAGAACTTATTCACCAACCAATACAGTGCGTCCCAAAAGTCGAGAAATTCTCCATTTTTTTGTAGAATCTCGGGATTTCTGAAAACAAGCGCTGCATTTTTTGATCATATCAGATGCAGAAGAATTGAAAATCTAGATTTATACAATTTTTATAGTTGTAGACAAAACTAACAGGCTTTAGAAAAGTAAATTTTAAAAGAGGCCACCCCAAATTTTTTTTTCAATGTTGTAGGGAGCGCTTTTTTTGAATTGTCAATTTTTGTGAATTGTGAATTCGAGGTTCTTACTCAAATAGCTTTATTTTGATCAGAAAACAAGGTATGAAAAAAACAGAACTTTTATTTTGTCATTTTGCCTGAATGTTGTTGTTGTGCTTGTTTCAACAATTATATTTGTAAATAGCTCGAAAAGAAACAGTTGATGTTTTTCTAAAGAAAGCAGAAGAAAGCATTTCTAAAGAAATCTAATGTGGCCCGAATAGGGAGATAAGAAAAAGAAACGAGACACGTCATCGAAAGTATTTCCTTTTTGAGTTGATTCCAGTCGTGAAATCGATCTGTTTTTGAGATGTTTTCATCTCGAATTTGGCTTCTTCGCCCAATCAACACCACAGAGGATCTACTTGTTAAATACTACAATGCATCTCGTCTGCGTTTCGTTATCATAGTATCATGTTTTGAAATTTACATTTAATATTATATCTTAGCCATTTTATCGTGGACTCTGGCATTTCCAACTTGGCATCGTTTCAACGATCTTTTTGTATGCTTTGATGAAATGCTTTGTAGGAGATGAGAATGTGATCGGTTTGAAAGGGGTAAAACTTTGTGAATTTTAAAGTTTTTTAGATATTACGAATATTTACAGAAGCATCAACTTATCATAAATTATCGGATTTCAAAAAAACCACAGCCCTTTTTTCAGCTGCTGGTCGTCAGTTGGATTCTTTTCACAACAATTCTTCATGTCTTTTCCGCATACAGTCTCAAACCATTCTACGCTCAAATACATGCGTATTTCTCTGTTAGAATTTTATTATTTATTATAATTTCACTTTTTCTTAGCCCCTCTATTGGTTTCCGATTCTCAATTCGGCCATCTTTGCAGCAACCATTTCAGGAGCCTTTCTTAGGTGCCAAAACAAAAAGGCCAAAAGTTTTTAAAGGCAAAATTTCAGCCGCAAAAATGAAAGGGATAAACACGATTTTTTCACGGATTTGTTCAGTTTTGGAATGAAAACCGAGAAAGATATGACCAGTGAGTTGGCCGTTAATAGTCGATCCAATCATGTTGTCATCTACTCTATATAAAAGAGCTGTGTTCGTCCGTCTGTCCGTTTGTCAGTCTGTCCGTCTGTCTGTCTGTCCTTCTATCCGCCCGCCTGTCCGTCTGTCCGTCCGTTCGTCTGTCCGTCTGTCTGTCCGCCTGTCTGTCTGTCCGTCTATCCTTCCGTCCGTCTGTTCGTCCGTCTATCTGTCCGTCTATCCGTCTATCTGTCCGTCCGTCTGTCTGCCTTCAAAATTTTTTTATGGTCACCCGGCTGCGATTATTACCCCCCAAATGCTTTGTATGTTAGCCCAATAATCAGCTACTTTAAAAGTATTTCAGTTGGCCTAATCTGCTCATCTCTGATCATTGGCTATTGCTTTTTCTATTACATGGTCACGTTTTATTATGCGCAGATCATTGTGTGAGTTTGAAATGAACAAGCGCCTATTTTTTTGAAACGATATCCTGAGCAAAGAAATAAATATTTAGCGGTCGTCAACTGAGCATCGAGATGGCCGAAAAGAACAATGCAGCCAACTCATCTGTTGATGAACTTCCAATTACCACCGAAAAGTCAAATTTTCACTACTCAAAACTGATGAATATTTGATTGAGCTTTAGAATTTCCTCGCTTTTAATTTATTGGTGATAAAATCTTTCGTAAAAATCATTTTTTGCTTTAATACTTTATTCATGAACAAACAGACTTTTTAATGACCAAGAAGAAAGAAGAAAATTATCTTTAATATTTAAAATACCAAACTTTCAATGTCTAACTATTGGGTTGGGGACTATGACTCGGCGCCGAAAATCAAAAAAATGTCTAAAACTTCTATTCGACTTCGTCAAATAATATGCGTTTGATATCAGTAGAATGGTTAACTAATTCTCTACAAAACGACATTTAAAAGAAAATTCAAACAGCGCCTCCGCTCAAGAAAAAGCCATTTTTTCACAAAAACTACAAACTGTCATCTAGAAAAAACAATTGGTGGGATCTTCCTGCAAATTTGGCAACTTAAGTAATTGAATGTGCTCTATCTTTTTTATATAAACACCAAAGAAGGTTTATGTGAAAGAAACTGTTCAAATGATGAGTCGGACTCTTTGCCATTTTGACTAGCTGTGTTTGGGAGTCCATAAACTCCACGAAAGAAAAGCTTTGTGGAATCTCTCAAAAGTCATTTTGTAGAGAAATAGTGGATCCTTTTGATGAAACCAAACGTATATTTAAAGAAGGCTTTATGTGTGCAAAAAGTCCCTTTAAAGTTTGGCGCCGAGTCATAGTCCCCAACCCAATACATTCAGGCAAGCAGTCTAAGACCCTATATGTTGTTAAAAAATAAAATTAAGATGTGACCCTCGCAAAATTGCAGAGATTGTTTGTCAGTTTGTCAGCTTCCGACGCTGTCGATGTCGATGTCGATATAATCTAAAGATAGGCGGATAGGCTAAAGAAACGTAAAACTTTAAAATTTTATCCAAAACTTCCAAATTCTGAGGTTCTTTTTAATCGAAATTTATTGAAAAGTAATATGTGTTTGGGTGATTTTAAATTGTATTGAGTGCGTCTGGTTGAAACCGAGCTACCGTGAATTCACTCAAGAAAGCGATTGTTGCAGCTTGGCACACTTCAAGATATTACTTCTTTTCGACTTGAGAAGCAAGATATGGCTGATCGAAACGCGTGCTTTCAGATTCTCGGTGCTCAATTCATTTGGAACCCATCGTTCATTACGATTGGTCTTTCCAATTATTTCCACATGATATTTATTGATATTGACATTCCAGCAAGACAACATCACTTTGTGCCCATGATAATTAACATCACTTTGTGCCATGATTTCAATTAAAAAGTGAAAGCTCTGACTTAGAAAAAGCTTAATAATAAAGTCAATATCGAAGAGTACAAATATGCAAAAGAAAATGAAACAAAATTTCCAGATTATAAAATAGAACACTTTATATTGACCGAAATTTCTTTTGCATCAAAGTTCATAATGATCTTTTTCGTTGCAAAGATGTTTTCAAATCAATAATAACTAACAGTGTCGATCACTTAAAACCGAGACGACAGAGGTGTGAAGCGAATGTTGACGATTGTTTCTGATGTCTTCAGTTTTTCGACTTTTAAAAAAGAGAAGAAAAAACAATCGTCGAATTTCTCGGAGAACTTCTCGTAACTCATCAATCGCGAATTTCTGATAGCTTTCATAAAGAGTGAACAGGACGATCGTGTTTATTGTCCCGTGCAGAGAAGCCATAATTGTCGGGATGATGTTGAGACCTGAATTTATTTGAGTTGAAAATATTTATCTCACTAAAAACCGGCAATATCATCGATTGAGAGGAAGAAAACAAGTCCAAACCAGGTGACCGGCACAACGAAAACCATCGAGAACACGCCAAACTAAACAATCAGACATTTCTGAGGCTTCATTTGTAAATTTGTAAATAATTTTGTAACTATGCATATCTAATAGTTCACAATAAAAAAATGCTCATTTAATCGACCTGAACATTCAAATTGTACAGCCACTTTTTCTGTAGTTTCAACGTTTTGGCGCTCATGATTTTGCGTTGTTGGTAAAGGCTCATGTAGGTCGGCACCATGAGCACTGAAATGATGATGCTTGGATCAAGTTTTTAGTTCTAACACGCTTTGTACATTGTACATTGTACATTATATACGATTAATCCTAAAAATTGTATTTTTAAAGAAATTCTCTTTTGCAATGATTAGCATTTCGTTGAAACTTTTGTAAGAAATTGTTGATTGTTGATTCTTTGATGATTAAGGATTTTTATGAATGTCTGTTTAGTGCCTCTCGCGACATTATGGCCATTATGGTCCGGGCTCCGGTTGGCATCCCTTTATAAGTCTAATATTTTGAAAACAAACAGCCAGAAACGAAGAGGATAAAGGAAAAGTAGAAAAGTGGTGGTGGGTAAATGTTGAATGGTTTCCACGAGGAGTCCATACAAAAGGCGGTTGGTTGCAAAATGCAATTCACCAAAGCTGGATAGTCCTGGAAATCGAGGATTTTTGTTGGCTCTATCAAAAGAAATGTCTATCAATGATGTTGTGAATATTAATTGTTCAATTTCGTTTTTCTGAGGTTAATTTCAGCTAAATGTTTAAAGCTAATGCCATTTGGCTTAATTTTTAATTTCAATCTTTTCAATGAAAGCAAAATCTTGAAATTTTTGATTTCTTTTTGGGATCGAGCCAAAAAACGATTGTCTTAAGCCTGAGCCTGGGCCAACAACGATTTCACCTGCAAAGCTTCTCGGACTCCTCTCGGCACATCACTTGTCACAAGAAAATAGGCAAAGATCGAAGCCGGAGTGATTGGATGCACAAAAAGGAACAGAAATCCGATAAAATATTGAAATTTCGGATAAGCACTGAATGAAAGCCAATGATCGTCGGGGAGAATCGATTGTTGACGCTGAAGAATGGCCAAACCCAGAAAAGAAAGCATTAAACTGATCCAGAAACAAGCAATAACCTGAAAAAACTTTGAATTTGGCAAACCAAAGCAAATAATGGCAATTTCTACAATTTGAAATAACTTACACCTTGAAATGTCAACGAGATTCCCAAAAAACTAGCTAATCCCAATGAAAAAGCGCATTTCGCTGGGAAACACGCGATCGGAGTGATGGATGTGGCTGCAAAGAGATCAAACGACAGGCAACAAATCTTTAAATTTAACTTTATCAATACAAGACAATGAGGTAAGAATTTTAGCTCAGTCTCAAAAGTCCAGAAGAAGAGAAGTTCAGATTCCAAATTAGGGTTATTTTTAAATATTTTTATAATTTCTTTTGAGATTTTCGCGTTTGCCATATAGAAAGCTATATAATGCTGCAAAAAATACAAAAATACAAGTACAATCGACTCTCTCTATAACGGAATGGAAGCCGCGATAAAATTCTTTCGTTATATAGAGCTTTCCGTTATATAGAGTTTTCCGGTACATAGAATTCCGTTAGAGAGTAAATAGACTGATTTTAAAATGCCCTACAAAACGTTGGATGCTTATAACTTTTGACAGTGCGCTATTGAGCAAAAACGGAAAGCAGATTTGGAATCAGCATAAAATTCTGCGTCGACTAGTATATGGCTCTCTCGTGTCATTTGGCCAGGACACGGTTGGCTTACCCTTTCGGAAGTAGATTCGGAATCAGCATAAAATTCTGCGTCGACCAGTATATGGCTCTCTCGTGTCATTTGGCCAGGACACGGTTGGCTTACCCTTTCGGAAGTAGATTTGGAATCAGCATAAAATTCTGCGTCGACCAGTATATGGCTCTCTCGTGTCATTTGGCCAGGACACGGTTGGCTTACCCTTTCGGAAGTAGATTCGGAATCAGCATAAAATTCTGCGTCGACTAGTATATGGCTCGTGTCATTTGGCCACTACACCCAAGCTCGGGCCATAATGTCGCGGGAAATAGTTCCCCTTCCTGTCCCCTTTATCATGCCATCATTTCACGGGAAAGTTCCCTCGGAAAAAGTTTCCCGCGGGAAAGATGATGGCTTATCGAATTGTATATAATGCTACAAAAAATACAAAAATACAAGTACAGTCGACTTTCTCTATAACAGAATGAAAGGGACGAGAAAATTCTTCCGCTATATAGAGCTTTCCGTTATAGAGAGCGCCGTTAAATCTAGCTTAGCGTCGACCGAGACCAAAATTCCATTCCGTTATATAGTTTCCCGCTATATAGAGTTGAGTTATAGAGAGAGTCGACTGTTTCTTAAAAAGAACGACTGAACGCAACTTGAGCGTTTTACAATCTCCGTCAAGTTTGTCGACTGTAATTATGAAACGCACTAGCAACTGGCAATCTCTGGCAAAACTGGCAACTGGCAAAACCAAAAATTTACACAACCTGATATCCGGATAAGCAATAACGATAGCTTTGCATTCTCTTCGGTGTCGCTTTTCGAATGGCACGATGACCGTAGACGTTCAAGGGAAGGCATAGCACTGAACTCTCTCTCTCTCTGATTTTCCATTTTCTCTTTAATTTACTGATTCTTTCATTAAGAATTAAGAAGAATTTAATTATTCAAGAACTCAATTTGTTTTATTTATCTAAATTTTGTAGAAGCTCTCTAAATTTTCAAACCTCCAAGACAGAAAAAACAGTAGTGAATTTTTTCGTATAAACTAACATCGATTATCATCTAGACTTGCTAGCTACTAGCGAAAAACTAAAATTTTAAAGAAAAAACAGAGAAACGAATGTTTGCCTTGATGTTTGACTTTTTTCACCTGATGGAGTTATTAGTGAGTTTTTAGATGGAACAAAAAAATGACTTTAACTGAGCAGGTGATTCAAATTATTAGTTCAAACTCGTTGTTAATGGTTACAAACTGTTTCCCAAGCCATTGAGCATCCACTTAAATCCAGCAAAGATTGAAATTTGTGATTTCTGTGTAAAAAAAGTGCCAAAAAATTTACAAATCGTGTTTTCAAGGTATTTGATTTAATTGCTGTGAAGCTCCGGCTGTGAAGCTCCGGCTGTGAAGCTCCGGCTGTGAAGCTCCGGCTGTGAAGCTCCGGCTGTGAAGCTCCGGCTGTGAAGCTCCGGCTGTGAAGCTCCGGCTGTGAAGCTCCGGCTGTGAAGCTCCGGCTGTGAAGCTCCGGCTGTGAAGCTCCGGCTGTGAAGCTCCGGCTGTGAAGCTCCGGCTGTGAAGCTCCGGCTGTGAAGCTCCGGCTGTGAAGCTCCGGCTGTGAAGCTCCGGCTGTGAAGCTCCGGCTGTGAAGCTCCGGCTGTGAAGCTCCGGCTGTGAAGCTCCGGCTGTGAAGCTCCGGCTGTGAAGCTCCGGCTGTGAAGCTCCGGCTGTTAAACGCTAGCGCACTTTATGAGAGATGACGGCACTCATCTCTGCTTCAACGTTTAAATGTCTTTGTTTTAACGTGCTTGCAAATTTTTTGATAAAATAAAAATTTATTGAATAAAATTTGTAGTCAGAAAGAAAAATTAGGGTCCCCATTGTGAATTCAATTGGTTGAAGTAATCATTTTGACTGGCACCGGTGTACATTTCCTGAAAGATTTTTAGCCTGTTTCGTTTAATGGATCAACCTGAAAACGATGACTTATAAGCAAAATCTACTATCTTTAAAAGAAAAGTGTCCGTCTGTCTGTCTCTCCGTCTGTCTGTCTGTCTGTCCGTCTGTTCGTCGATCTCTCTGTCCGTCTCTCTGTCTGTCTGTCGGTCTGTCCGTCTGTCTGTTCGTTCGTCACACTCTGGATCTTGGCTGCACATGAACCGATTTCGACAATAAAGTGCCATCATCAAAATGCAAAAATCTCGAACCCTTTGAATTTTTTTTGAAAAAACTTTTGATATCAAAAGCATCAAAATCGGTCAACTAGGAGAAAGTCTCTTTAATTTAAGTCTCTTTAACGTCGAAGTTGAGGACTCCTCAAAATGGTCGAGATTTGCGCTCTTATTTCGAGTACTTGGGGTTACGGTAAGTTAAAACTAACTTTTGTTTTGAATTCCTGGATTCAGAAAACCCCCGTATACAAATTTTCAGCGTCATCTGTCCATTGGGTTCACTAAATTTTGACCGGACCAACCGGTGGGTCAGGTCAATAACTTATATTCCCAATCGTTTAAACAAGAAGCCAATCTATTTTTCTATACACTATTTTCCACCAGGTTACTCGTTTCAACTCGACTTTTCCTTTAATTGAAACCTTTTGAACATCCGATTCATATTTTTCCCTAAAATCGATGATTCTGGGTCAGGTCGTCTCAGAGGCCAAGACGCACCTGACCCATTGGTGGGTCAGGTGGGTTGACAGACATTGGACAGATAGACAGACAGGCAGGCGGACAGACACACGAACAGACAGACGGGCAGGCAGGCAGACAGGCGGGCAGGCAGACGGACAGGCAGACGGACGGACAGACAGACGGAGAGACAGACGGACATACAGACGGACAGACAGACAGACAGACGGACAGACAGACGGACGGACCGACAGAAAGCCGTCGCGAATGTGTTAAATGTTAAATAAAAAACTGATAAACCTTGCCATTACAATCAACAACCCGTTCACTAGCATATCGAGAAGTGGAAGCATTTTGATGCGCGTCTCGACGGAAAATTCTAAAACTCAATTGTACTTTGGTGTAAACTCAATCAAATCTACATCATTCCATAAAATTTTTCCAGAAATTTTTTCTTCGAAAGCTCAAATATTTGTCGGTTCCAGACGAGCCCAATAAAGCTGAAGATAAAAAGTTGACTAAACTCGAAAGTTGATCTTTAAATTTTATCTTTAGCTTACAATGCCAATTGCACATTGATCACAATTCCCAGAATGTTGCGAATAAACGAAGAAGAAGTGGATGTGTGCAGTAGGTGCAAAATAGAAAACAGAATGTTGTTGAATGCAGTGTGGAGAATGTAGAGGATGATCACCTGATTAATAAATTTGGATCTAAAAAAAGCCTAAGCCTAAAACGAGAAGGCTTTCTCGTTTTAGGGTTTTAACATTTCAAAAACACTACCATAAAAACCAAAAACTCAATTCGAGACAAATGAAAAACGATCATCGCCGAGAAGGGACGGTCCTTGGGATTGCCTAGGAGGACTAAGAGGACAAGGCTCTCACTTGGAGTGCCAAGACTGCCTCAGTGCCTCATGCCAAGACTTGGAGTCCCCCTGCCCCTTTCACTCATTTGTAATCTGTTCGTCTTATCGTACTACTGTAAATAAAGATACATAACTTCCGGGTCTATGCAACTGCAGCCCAGGTCGGTCATTTCACAGCTCTCTAATTTCACAACTCCCCTCTAATACGTTGGAGGAGTTGAGTTGGGTTGTCGGGGCTGTTAGAGATGGCGGGATATCAAAAGGATCCACTCTCTTTAACTTAACCCAAATTCTAGTCCATATCCGTTTACTCCTAGGAACGAATATTTCTCACCTTTATTGCTTTCACATTGACAGTCAGCTGATATCTTTTATTCAGTGTATATCCATTCAAATGAAGTTCCTTTATCCGATTCGCATTGGCGTTTGATAAGAAATAAGTTCCCTGCAAAAAATTTGCAAACTAAAACTCGTAAAACTTCAAGGACAAATTGATTTTGCCAATTCATTTTTATCATTTCTAGCGATAAATCTAACAAATAAACACGAAATAAATGAATTTTCTCGAAAATAGTGAGAATAGTGAGAATAGACCACTATTGTTACGCCCCTCCCTTTAATTGAATCGATTGAAGCTCGATTGAATCAATCAGGTGCCTTGGGTCATTCCTGTTGGGGGATCTGTTTTGGTAAAGAGGAGCTCGCCTGAGGACAGGCGAACCCTCCGAACTAGGCAGGTCTTACTGGACCAACTAAACAACCATATGAGTCTCACAGATTTGTAGGTGATCAAGTCTATGAGGTGATCAAACGTGATGTAGGTGATGTAGGTGATCAAGTCTATGAGGTGATCAAGTGATGTAGGGGATGTGGGTGATCAAGTGATGTAGGTGATCAAGTCTATGAGGTGATCAAGTCTATGAGGTGATCAAGTCTATGAGGTGATCAAGTCTATGAGGTGATCAAGTGATGTAGGTGATGTAGGTGATCAAGTCTATGAGGTGATCAAGTCTATGAGGTGATCAAGTGATGTAGGGGATGTGGGTGATCAAGTGATGTAGGTGATCAAGTCTATGAGGTGATCAAGTCTATGAGGTGATCAAGTGATGTAGGTGATGTAGGTGATCAAGTCAAGTCTGTAGACTGAAGTCTTCTCTTACCACTCCACAACTGAAAGAAACGCTCATCTCAAGCCAGCCCATGAAGTCTTGCGTGAAAAAGGAGATGGCTGAAATTGCAAAAAATTGCAAGAATGACAAAAAGTGTGCGTATACCGAAAAAATAGCACGAATTGAGGATAAATGATAGGGGAATTCCAATAAAAATGAACCAGAGAAGCACGGAGCGGCGGTGATTGAATTCATAGGTGGCAAAGTATACAGTGGCCATCGATCGCTCAACCAGCACACCAATGAAACCGGCTACAACTCTTTTTGATAACTTAGTTCAGTTGTTTTATTCAAATTAATTCAAACTAATTCAAATTAATTCAAACTAATTCAAACTAATTCAAATTAATTCAAACTAATTCAAATTAATTCAAATTAATCAAATCTCATTTTTAATTAAACCTTTCTTTACCATTAAAAGCGATCAGTGAATAGCTGCGGAAAAACGAGGCTATCAGTAGTGCTTTTGGGCAAATTTCAAAAGCTGTAAGCAGGTTGAAGCTTTTTCTACTTTAACATAGTCAACTTTTTTGAAGAACAGGGCACTGAAGTGTTGGCTGACTTTCATAGAAAATCATCGTTAGACGAGAGATTGCATAGATATAGAAGTGAGGAAGAGCCTTACCGGTGATCAAGACAAGGTTCTTGTGGAAGACCTAAAAAAACATTTGATTTAGCGTTTAATTTTTTTCTCTTCAAATTTGGTTCGTTAACTCTCCCAATTTGGTTCCTTATCTCTCTAAATTTGGTTCCTTATTTCTCTAAATTTGGTTCCTTGAGTTTGGGGTGCGACCCGCTTTAACCTTATCAACGAGGATGATTCTGCTTAAGAATGGCCGAATAGCACAAAAGGTTAAAAAAGGTTTCCCCAAAAGCGCTTATAACTTATAACGTAACAAGAGCACGTAGTATCCAACGAGAAGAGTACGGATTGGATTGATACTACGTCGATGGTGACACAAATGTTAGTAAAACAGTCTCTCTACAATGTTAAACCAGTTATCTAAACAGGATTTAAAAGCTGAAGGGTAGCATAAAGTAAAGTGAATTTATAACGTTACTGTTTATTAGTACAGAACCGAAATGCAACAATACCTATTACAAAAACAGCATGCGCATCAAAAATGAAACAAAAAAGTCCCCCAAGAGGGAAGGCAAAAGCCCCCAGACCAAAAAAACAATTTCGGGAAGGGAGCAAAAGGGCGAAAAATGCGACGCGAATAATTGCAAAATAGCAACGCAAATAGGAAGGAAACGGACGCAACCCTTGTTTCTCTAAGTTTGGTTCATTATCTCTTCAAATTTGGTTTCTTAACTCTCCCAATTTGATTCCTTATCTCTCTAAGTTTGGTTCCTTAACTCTCTCTAACCGCGCATCTTTCTGAAGTAACCAATTTTGACCAGGGGTCAAAATAAACAAACAAATCCCAGAAATTTGCACTTTGCACCAGAAACAAACAAATCCCAGGGCTTAAAAGACTTTAGAATCCGAATCCGGCCTTAAATTTAGGCCAATCATAGTTTATTTTCAAGCACAAAACAAGGTTTTCCGGGTTTTCTTTCTTGGAATCGGCTTGGCAAGCTTGTAAACCAATAATAATCAAGCTTGTAAACTAATAATAATCAACTTTTCAAGAAAAATCAACAAATTTCCTTTCCAGCTTGGCATCGGTAACGATTCTCGGTAACGATCGGCATCGGTAACGAACGATAAGCTAATTTCTAATGGTTAACTTCTCGATAAATACGTTCTCTGTTCAGAATTTCCTTTAGAATTGTTTTGAGCCTTCAAAAATTATTCATTACCTTAGAAAAAACGCGATTTTTTGAAGCCGGTTTTAACTACCCAAGTCTCGATCCCATGAGCGTACAAACGCCGTTTTTTCCTACGAGCCACACGAAAAGAACGCACTTTACAAAACGCTTTTGTTAGAAAATTCAAAAACACTCATTTTTCAAAAATTCTTTAAGTTCTAACATTTGATATTTGTAGCTACTCTATTAAAGTATCTGGAGCTATTAGAAAAAAATTTTGCAAAACTTTCTCGCCCCGGGGGAGTCGAACCAACGTGACCCAGCATTGAATCCCGTGCTTCGAAGGGATAGCCAAGCGTGACTCAGCATTGAATCCCGTGCTTCGAAGGGATAGCCAAGCGTGACTCAGCATTGAATCCCGTGCTTCGAAGGGATAGCCAAGCGTGACTCAGCATTGAATCCCGTGCTTCGAAGGGATAGCCAAGCGTGACTCAGCATTGAGTTACGCGGTCGTTTATATGTTAACTGATTAGTAAATATTAGACCTGTTTCGGGTCGGATCGGTCCGGAATTTGAGTTTTTCGGATCAGGTAATATCGGGTCAATTTCGGGGCAGGCCCGACCCGAGGAACAGATCTAGTAAATATTTCGGTCTTTAGTAGGAGGTCTTTCAGTGTGCCCAACCAGACTCATCTGTTTTCTGTTGTAATTTTTTAATGTTATTATCTCAATGTTTTAATTTCAATGCTAGAAAATATGTAAATGTGATATGGTTATCATAAAAAAAGTTAATTATAACTGTTTTCAGTCTTTGCTTTTGGAGCCTAAAAGTCCTAATCTGTTCAAAATTGGTTGTGAGTTTTGGTTGACAAAGACAGACAGGTTGAAAAAAAACAAAGCTGAAATGGTGGCCTGGAATTCTAATTGAAAACAATTACCGAAATAGTCGAAAAGATATATAGCGAGATTGGGGCAATGATAAACATAAGCGACAACAACAGGATCTCGATACCGTAGCTCCACCAAATCACCCGCTCAATTCCATCATTATAGGCTATTGACATATTGATGAACATCAACAGTTGAATGCTCATTTTGTAAAAAAAACAAAACGATCAATTGACTGGCAAGAAATCACTGGCAAATCTTTGTAACTTTTTGAAAGTTGTAAGCTCCATTCTGGACAGGTGCTTTAAGGATCTCATTTCATCAATTCACATTTTTGATTAGAAATTTTTCCTTGATTATTTTAGTTATTTTTTCACATTTTCTATTTCTATTTTCTTTAGATATCAAATAGAACTTTGATGAGACACACGTCAGATTTATGGCTTAGTTAAGCCATTAACTGATTCGGTCACTAACTGATTCGGTCACTAACTGCTTCTTCTTCTAACTCATTCTGCTACTAACTGATTCTACTACTAACTGATTCTGCCACTAACTGATTCTGCTACTAACTGATTCCGCCACTAACTGATTCTGCTACTAACTGATTCTGCCACTAACTGATTCTGCTACTAACTGATTCTGCTACTAACTGATTCTGCTACTAACTGATTCTGCTACTAACTGATTCTGCTACTAACTGATTCTGCTACTAACCGATTTGGCCACTAACTGATTCTGCTACTAACTGATTCTGCCACTAACTGATTCTGCTACTAACTGATTCCGCCACTAACTGATTCTGCTACTAACTGATTCTGCCACTAACTGATTCTGCTACTAACTGATTTGGCCACTAACTGATTCTGCTACTAACTGATTCTGCCACTAACTGATTCTGCTACTAACTGATTCTGCTACTAACTGATTTGGCCACTAACTGATTCTGCTACTAACTGATTCTGCCACTAACTGATTCTGCTACTAACTGATTCTGCTACTAACTGATTCTGCTACTAACTGATTCTGCTACTAACTGATTCTGCTACTAACTGATTCTGCTACTAACTGATTCTGCCACTAACTGATTCTGCTACTAACTGATTCTGCTACTAACTGATTCTGCTACTAACTGATTTGGCCACTAACTGATTCTGCTACTAACTGATTCTGCCACTAACTGATTCTGCCACTAACTGATTCTGCTACTAACTGATTCTGCTACTAACTGATTTGGCCACTAACTGATTCTGCCACTAACTGATTCTGCTACTAACTGATTCTGCTACTAACTGATTTGGCCACTAACTGATTCTGCTACTAACTGATTCTGCCACTAACTGATTCTGCTACTAACTGATTCTGCTACTAACTGATTCTGCTACTAACTGATTTGGCCACTAACTGATTCTGCCACTAACTGATTCTGCTACTAACTGATTCTGCTACTAACTGATTTGGCCACTAACTGATTCTGCTACTAACTGATTCTGCCACTAACTGATTCTGCCACTAACTGATTCTGCTACTAACTGATTTGGCCACTAACTGATTCTGCTACTAACTGATTCTGCCACGAACTGATTCTGCTACTAACTGATTCTGCTACTAACTGATTCTGCTACTAACTAATTCTGCTACTAACTGATTCTGCTACTAACTGATTTGGCCACTAACTGATTCTGCTACTAACTGATTCCGCCACTAACTGATTCTGCTACTAACTGATTCTGCCACTAACTGATTCTGCTACTAACTGATTCTGCTACTAACTGATTCTGCTACTAACTGATTCTGCCACTAACTGATTCTGCTACTAACTGATTCTGCTACTAACTGATTCTGCCACTAACTGATTCTGCTACTAACTGATTCTGCTACTAACTGATTCTGCTACTAACTGATTCTGCTACTAACTGATTTGGCCACTAACTGATTCTGCTACTAACTGATTCTGCCACTAACTGATTCTGCTACTAACTGATTCTGCTACTAACTGATTTGGCCACTAACTGATTCTGCTACTAACTGATTCTGCCACTAACTGATTCTGCTACTAACTGATTCTGCTACTAACTGATTTGGCCACTAACTGATTCTGCTACTAACTGATTCTGCCACTAACTGATTCTGCTACTAACTGATTCTGCTACTAACTGATTCTGCTACTAACCGATTTGGCCACTAACTGATTCTGCTACTAACTGATTCTGCCACTAACTGATTCTGCTACTAACTGATTCCGCCACTAACTGATTCTGCTACTAACTAATTCTGCCACTAACTGATTCTGCTACTAACTGATTCTGCTACTAATTCTGCCACTAACTGATTCTGCTACTAACTGATTCTGCTACTAACTGATTCTGCTACTAACTGATTTGGCCACTAACTGATTCTGCCACTAACTGATTCTGCTACTAACTGATTCTGCTACTAACTGATTTGGCCACTAACTGATTCTGCTACTAACTGATTCTGCCACTAACTGATTCTGCTACTAACTGATTCTGCTACTAACTGATTTGGCCACTAACTGATTCTGCTACTAACTGATTCTGCCACTAACTGATTCTGCTACTAACTGATTCTGCTACTAACTGATTCTGCTACTAACTGATTCTGCTACTAACTGATTCTGCTACTAACTGATTTGGCCACTAACTGATTCTGCTACTAACTGATTCTGCCACTAACTGATTCTGCTACTAACTGATTCTGCTACTAACTGATTCTGCCACTAACTGATTTGGCCACTAACTGATCCGGCTACTAACTTTCCCTAGTCGCATAAAAATTTTTTTTTATTAATTTTCAAGAAATTTCATTGACAAAAATATAGCTATTTTCAAAGTAACAAAAAATTTTGAAAAGAAAAATTTTAGGAAAATCAACTAATGTTTTAAAAAATAAAGTTTAAAACATTATTTTTGAAAATTAAACTGACGTTTTTGGAAGCAAAAAAGTTAGAAATTTTGCGCGTTTGCGCCCCTGCAGGCCTGCAGACCATAAGCCCACTAAGGCTAGGGCTGTTTTTAAACCCGTTTTATTGTTATTTTGCAGAAAAATAGGTCGCCTTTCTAATGAAGCAAACCGTAGTTTAATTGGTGCATTTGTTGGTTTGAAAAGGAAGGACGAAAAGGAATGAAAAGACTTTCTGTACAGCTTAATATATATGTTGTGTCCGATTTAGATTTCCGTCCGATTTAGATTCAATCTAAATCGGACGTCCGATTTAGATTGAACTTATCGCGGACGTCCGATTTAGATTACAGTCTATATAGGACGTCCGATTTAGATTGAATCTAAATCGGACGTCTTATATTGATTGAACAATAATATAAACATGTTTAATATATGTTCTTAAGCGTTTTCTGTAGTTTTCTGCATTTTCAAAGGTCTTTTATTAATTACAGTCTAAATCGGACGTCTTATATAGATTGAACAATAATATAAACATGTTTAATATATGTTCTTAAGCGTTTTTTGCAATTTTCTGCGCTTTTCAAAGAAATTTTAGTGTCTTTTTTTGAGAATTTTTTGTTTTCCTATTAAATGCTGCTTTTTTACAGATGGAGGACGTTTTTGACCAAGAATTTGACGTGTTTTTACAAAAGAAGAAAAGAGGACAAATTCCAACCGCTGAAACCTACAATTTGATGGTTGAAACGCTCCACAATCATCGTGAAAACTGCGAGAAACCAAAACTACCTCAAAACTACCACGAAAACAACTTGCTGAAAAGATTTGCGCTCGTGATTGAACAAAAGGGAGCGCAGCTTTATCATGTGGGCGAGAAAAATGGCAGCGGAGAGATGCACAACAACGAGTGATTAAGCGAGAAGCGGTCTTTCAGCTCTTACACGAAACACACAAAAAACTTGGACACGCTGGAATAAACTTGATGTGGCAAAATCTCCGAGGATATTATGGTATATCAAAGTGGGTTTTGAACTTTATTATTTTATTTGCTGCTTACTGGCTTAAACTACATTTTTAGAGAAATCATCAGTCTCTACGTCAAATTGTGTGAAGAATGCGAATTGAAAAGAGGAAATTTAAAGAAAACGGTCGTTGTGAGGCCAATCTTAACGCAAAAACAAAACGAGCGTTGTCAAGTGGATCTTATCGATCTCCAATCAACACCGGATGGTGATTTCAAGTTCATTCTAGTATACCAGGTTTTTTTTTCTGTTATTTATTGTAATAAAAGATAAATTTTAGGACCATTTAACCAAATTCGTGACGCTGCGCCCTTTGAAGACAAAAACCGCAAAAGAAGTTGTAGAGAACCTTGGGATGCTGTTTGGAATCTTCGGACCACCGAAGATATTGCATTCAGGGTTTTTTTCCTTTTTTTGTTAGCGTATTCACGTTGAGTTTTTTGATTTTTGAGTAAGTTATTTTCCTTCCAGCTTGTCTAAAAACGTTCACAGACAACCGATTTATTTAAGTTAGGGGTCAAATGAAGAAAAATGTGAACGTTTTTTAACGAGCTGGAAGGGAAATAACTTATACAAAAATCAAAAAATCTCGTCGTGAATGTGCTAATCGGTAAAGTCTCAGGCAACGGCCGAGAGTTTGTCAACAGATGTATCGACGATTTGGTTGGTATGTGGCCACACTGCAGGATTGTTCATGGAAAACCTCGGCACTCACAATCACAAGGTAGCGTCGAAAGAGCAAACGCTGATATTGAAGTAAGTTAAAAGGAGCGAGTTTATTTCATTTCTATTACATAGGCAAACATAATTTGTTAATTTTGTTTTAGAACATACTGTGTACGTATCAACGTGATCGGCAAACTGCAAAATGGGCTGAATTTCTTCCGATGATTCAACTCATAAAGAATAGAAGATATCACCATGGAATCAGAAGAACTCCATTTGCCGCAATGTTTGGTAAAGACTATGATGATGAACGAGAAGTAAGGTATGTTTGAAATTATTTACCTAATAGATTCCAAACTATTTTGCTTAGTGATGATTCAAATGGGAACGAATTGAATCAACCGGAATTTGCGTCCGAAAATTTGGTTTGTTTTGTTTATTGTTTATTTTAATCTATATTTTAAAAATTTAGGAGCAAGTCTACAAAAAAAGTGCGGAAATTGGCGACAAAGATGAAAATAGCGATGATTCAGGTTTGTTTTATTTTTTATTTTTAACGCTATAAAAATAGGTAAAGGATTCAATTTTGCAGCACAGGATGCTGAAATACTTGCAGAAAGAGATAGTGCCCGTTCAAGTCTAATAAAACAAGCCGACAAGATGTTACAAGCGTCTAAAGAGAGGTTCTTTTATGATCGTTTTTCGGTTTCACCTAATGTGCACAATTAGATTTCAACCTTTGGATGTTGGAAAGAACGTAAGAATTCCAATTAATCCGGTTGATCGACCAAAAATTGGCCACCGAAATCTTTTGGGCGTTGTCACTGAAGGTTTGTTTCGATTAAATTCACTTAAACCATTTTTTTAAAGCAATCGATGGGCTTTACACGATTGGGACGGCGAATGGGACTCTACCACAGAAGTTTTCAAGTGAGACGGACTTCCTTGTTAATGCTGATGTGCCGGAATGTTCAACTTCCTTTCGTGCCGCCATCGGTGATTCTTCTATTCACGGGAAACAAAGTAAGTAACTATAACTTTATTTCATTTTTTGCGTGTTCCATTAGGCCATAAACATTGCTTATGTGCTGGAAAATGCTCATCCGATCGATGTTCGTGCAAAAAGGATGACCGACTCTGCAATTCAAGATGTCACAATAGCCTAAGCTGCAAAAATAAATATAAATTTTTAACTCGTTCGTTGTTGTTGTTGGTTTTTTGTTATTATATGTTGTAATTTTGCATCTATTCTGTTAACGCTAATAAATTGTTTCATAGTTGGGTTTTCTTTTCAGAAAAAGACAATAAAATTTCTTTGAAAAGCGCAGAAAATTGCAAAAAACGCTTAAGAACATATATTAAACATGTTTATATTATTGTTCAATCTATATAAGACGTCCGATTTAGGTTCAATCTAAATCGGACGTCCGATATAGACTGTAATCTAAATCGGACGTCCGCGATAAGTTCAATCTAAATCGGACACAACATATACAAGCTTTCGAACTAGGGCAAATCAAAAACTCGTACGCCGCTCGGACTCGAACTCGCTACCTTTCGCTTAGCGGACAACTGTGCTAACCATCACACCACAACACACTTAATCCCCTTACTCCAGAAGGGGTTAACTCGAGGGTTCGATTCCTCAAAACGAAAACTTTTTCCATTTCTTTTTTCTATAGTTTGAGAGGTGTCCAGGATTGATCCAGCTATAGTTTGCGCCCCTGTAGGCCCGCAGGGCATAAGCCCGCTGAGGCTAAGACTGTTTTTAAATCCAGCTTTAATGTTATTTTGCAGAAAATAAGTGGTCTTTCTAATGAAACAAACCGTAGTTTAATTTGTGCATTTGTTGATTTGAAACGGAAGACGAAAAGGAACAAAAGGACTTTCTGGACAGCCTAATATATATTCTAAAGTTCATACGTCCTATATTTTAAAAAGATGACTGAATTTCTGCAACTCAGTTTCATTTAGAGCAGAATCGAATTTAACACAGTCGACTTTGAACCCAATAATCAACGTTTAAACTTCTAAAGATCAGATTCAATTTCCCTTCAAGTGTACGGTGAGGTTTTTTTTTTTTTGCCTTTTTGCACTCATTTGTTTGTCCTCCGGCCGTTCAAGTGGTGCAGACTGGAAAACTTTTTACCACAATGATTTTTTTCCTCAAATTTCCGTATTGACTCTTCAAAATGTCGCTCAATCTAATCTTTTAATTGAAAATTTTTCTTGTCAATGTTGTTGGGATCGCTTTTTCTGCTTTTTCTGCTATTGTTTTCGAAAGTTTCCGGGTTTGAACCAAACTATTTGGAGTTTTATGAATCTGGTAAAGAGTAAAGATTGTTTTTTGAGGAAATTTTAAAGCTTTTCAGAAAAATACACAAATTATATGGAGTTAGCTACAAAATTGTATGATGAGTTGTTCACGAAGAGAAGTTACAATAAATATTTGTCACCGGTTTATGAAGAGCTGGGAAATGAAACAGGTTTGGCAATGAAAAATGCTCTGAAATAAATTTGGTTCTTAGTGTTGGAAGTATTTTGTATTTTGGAAGCTTTTTATAATCCATCAGTAGTTTTAGAATGTTCTACGTAAATGATAGAAGAATTTAGAAGCAGAGTCTCCACCACTCTCCGTCAACTTTGACCTCGAATACTTCAAACTGTTCAATTTGGTGAGAGATCGAGTTTTTTTGTGCATAAAACGGTTTAGGAAGCACAAAGCCAATTGTTGAGTATCTGTGTACAATTGAGAATGGTTTATTTACACAATAGTTGTTTTAAAGAAAATTTAGACTTGGTTAGATCCAAGATTATCTTGGAAACCCGAAGAATTTGGTGGAATGCAAAATTTATATGTGAATGCGGATATCGCTTGGATGCCTGACAATCAATTTGGGAACGTGTAGGTGAAATGTTTGAAGAAAAATGATAAAGATATCCTTGTTTTTAGGAAATCCTTGTTTTTAGAAAATCCTTGGACGACATTATGCCAGGTGCTGGGAAAGCGTTGAAGTTGTCTAGAAACGGGAGTGTGCAGATGATGAGCGTCTTCTTTGTGGAGATATCGTGTATTATACAGGTCAGATTTACTTCAAAGCCCATAAATACTTAATAAAAATGAACGATCGACTTGATAAAGAAAGAGGAATCGGTTTATCAATTGTTTTTCAAGTATTAAAAGATCAAGCTTTGCAGATCTTGCCTAGCTCATTGTCTGGTTACTATTACTATCTTGCAATCAGTTTAACAACAATTAAACCCGAGTTCCAATTGATCGACTGAATAAAAGAATAGCGTCAATCGATTCCCGGAGCCCGAAAACCCCTGAGCACAAATTTAAAGCCCAATATCTTCTTTTCACACCATCTACAAAGCAAAAGAAAAATCCCGATGTACACAGTGCATCATACAATCATGTGCAAGAGTCTTTTCACATTCAATTTTCTAAAAAGTCTCATCTATTTTCTTTAATAAAGTTCATGGCGCTCTTTAAGCTATTAATAGTTTTAGTTACACAAATATATGTACAATTTATTTACACAAACGTTATCGCTGTACAACACTTATTCATCGAGAATATATAATTGTCAAAACACCCCCGAAAATCGTGCAAAAGTTCGCACCGAATTTAAATGTTATCGAGAATTTATGAGCCTATTTGAAATCAAAATTGCGAGGAAAACGATTTAAGCTATTAATAGCAATTCTAAAGTCGAGCTATGGTTTTACATCAGAAAAATTTGGAGGACAATTGGACCTGGAATTCTTGACGAATTAATTGCATCAATGCCTACTCGTATTAAAGAAGTACTTTTGGCAAAAGGAGGAGCGACTAAATAAAGCTTAATTTCGAAAAATCACTCGGCCCAATCATCGATTGTCCAATTTGAATAGGTTCGAGCAAATTGAAGGCGCTGCCTCCTGTGTTTGACTGTCATCATAGACTTGAAAGCAAGTCTTCTAGTATACAATGCTGCTTGAAGGAAGCGTCGATGCAAGGTCCAGCGGGAAATATTCTTGTTTGAAGTTTATTTGAAAAGAATGACTCCATCGTTCAACGTCAAATTCGGATCCTTTTTGAAAGCTCCCGTAAGGAATCGGTCTTCATTTTTTGTTGTAATCCTTGGCCGTTCCTTTTTCCTACATCTGTGCACATTTCCAGACGCATTCATTTTTGCCATGACAAGAGAAACTGTTCTGGGCGTACATCCTAAGAGGCGAGCAACGTCTTGTCGTGGCATTCCTTCCTTCCTTGCCTCGACGATCCTTTCTTTATCCGGAGTTGACAAGTACGCTCCCGGCATCTAAAAAAAAATAAAATGGTACCAGTAAATACGAAGCGAACGAAAATAATAAAAATTTTTGCAAATGTGAAAAGACTTTTGCACCACGATTTTCGGGGGTGTTTTGACAATTATATTTTTTTTCTCGATAAATAAGTGTTGTATAGCGATAACGATTGTGTAAATAAATTGTTCATATATTTGTGTAAATAAAACTATTAATAGTTTAAAGAGCGCTATGAACTTTATTAAAGAAAATTGATGAGACTTTTTAGAAAATTGAATGTGAATAGACTTTTGCACCTGACTGTAATTACTCATAATCGAAAATAAAGTGGAAAATCTTTCGATAACGATATTTCTTTGATACATAACAACTATTAGAACACTTAGATTTCAAAAATATCTTCATCAGCTTTATAGCAAAAATCCAGACGTTTTGGGAACGCGTCTACGGGTTGAAGAATTGGATTGAAAGTCTTTTATGCGCTGGGCAGGGAATAGAAAATTCGGGTTGGCGTCTGGGTTTGAACTTGCGACCATTTGCTTACCGGGCTAACGCACTACCAATGAGCTACAGTAAAACAATTGCTAGCTGTCTTACAGGCATGAAACTTCGGCTCAAGGTTACTGTAGCTGAAGTAGAAGGGTGCTGTCGCTATTCTTTGTCAAATATGAATTTCTGGGATCATTAGAATTTAGCCATGTTAACTCCGCCCCTTTTTCGGTCCATTTGCCATTAGCAATTCACGTATTTTGCTCATACTAAACCGGGTTTTTTTGAAAAACGTTGAATTTGCTTTTATTCGACTCGAAATTAAATTTTCTATCGAATGAAGACAAATTCAACATTTTTCCTACAAACCCGATCAAGGCAGGAGCAAAAATTGTAAATTGCTAACGGCAAACGAACTGAAAAAGGATGGAGTTAACATGGCTGTAAGTAGGTATTGCCAAGGTCTGTCACCCAAGCTTGCTGCAGGCTTTCTACAAAAAAAAATCGATGCTTCTTACAAGATTTTGTCTCAAGAACTGACCAAACAGAAAAATTGATCGGATTGAGATCCAGAGAGATTGAGATCTGGCAAATCCATTGGGTATAGAGTGCTTCCCTTTTTTAGATTGGTATAGAGAAAGGAGCGGTGGAAAGAAGAATGAAAAGAAGTTAAAGAAAGCCAAAGGAATTACCCAGAGAAATCTATCAGATCTTTCATCTTTCAGATCAAAAATTTCCCATTTGACAAGCAAACCTGTTTCTTACCGATAATGTCCTTCTCTTACAATAGGTAAGTTGTAAAATGAATTTTTTTTTCAATTCTCCGTTTAGCAACCTTGTTGTGACGAATGGTTTCGTCAATCCAAACACAGTCAATCGTTTACTAAATGAATCGGTTAAGCATTTCGGATTTTCTAAATCATAAACGATTCAGGGCAATGGAGAATGGCAAGTGAAGCAAATTGGGCAACGATCTTATCCCTTTGGAAGGCAACAAATTGTGATTGTTCTCCATTTTTCCATATTTGCAATATTTCAGATGGAATTAGTAGTTGAGATGAAACGGGTTCCAAACTACTATGTGTATGTGATCGCTTTGCCTTGTTTCATCATCACTTTTCTGGCAATTATCGGCATGTTCTGGACAAAGAATTTTGAGTCGGAACAGTTGGAAAAGGTGGGTAAAACAAGGTTTCCCCGGTTTTCTTTCTTGGAATCGGCTTGTAAACCAATAATAATCAACTTTTCAAGAAAAATCAACCAATTTCCTTTCCAGCTTGGCATCGGACTGACAAGTTTGGTCTCAATGACGGTACTGCTGGAAATGCTTTCGAATTCGATTCCAAAAACGGCCGTGTTTCCTTTACTTGGTGAGTTGAAGATTTAAATCAACGTCGCGTAGTTTCTTGTTTGAAAAAGGACTGGTAATATACCGTCAAACCTTAATAATCAAAAACTCATAGAATTTCGTAAAAACCTTTTTATTATCGAGGATTATCGAGGTTTTGCCTTTTAAATGCTAAGAAATGCTCTAAAAACTAAAAAATGTAGAAAACTGTGCTTTTTTTGTACTAGCGATGTTTTCATTTACACGCATAAGATTAATTTGTTTCAAAAAAACAACATCTAAAGCAACCTCATCATAAAATCGACAGCAAACTAACTAAAAAAATTGAGAAATCTTAGTTCGTTTTGTTTGTTTGTTTGATTGATTGATTGATTGCTCGTGGAAAAATTCCTCGAGCTTGTGGCACGCATTAATCGCCATTCGTTATCGTTATATCATTGAGCAAAAAGCGTTGAAAAGTCGTGAAGGCCTCAATAAGCTTCTTTTCGTGTCACTTCCGGCTCAACCTGATTGTCTTCTTCATCGGTTGAAGCCGATCGTATTCTTTTCATCGTGACGAATTTCGAGCTACCTCTATAAGGTTTCACTTTGGAAAACAAGTTTGCTGGTGGCGTAGTGGGTAAAAGTCTTGTATAAAAGACGGCCTATCCGCTTTTTCGATCCTCCTTGTAAAAAAAGTCCTAAAATTGTAATGAGAAATGAATGAAAGAAGTGCAAATGATGAAAATGGGGGGGAGTGGGACAAATGCGACCTTTTTTTGCGCGCCTGGACATTTGCGCACCTTTTTTTCCGCACCTTGCCCATTAGCGCACCTTTTTTCGCGTTTTAAAAAGCTCTAAAAGGCTAATATTAACCAATTTCTATTCCAAAAGTTGTTTTTCTAGGTAATTTTAGGGCGTAGAATCGAAATTTTGACATATCAGAGCTTGTGGAAACAAACGGACGGAGTTATACAAAGAGAAAAATCGACAATTTTCTGTAATTTGATCTAGCCGTTTTGTCTTTCAAATTGGTTCCACACGCTCTGTTATGTCAAAATTTGAATTCGACACCCTCAAATTACCTAGAAAAACAACATTTGGAATAGAAATTGGTTAATATTAGCTTTTTAGAGCTTTTTTAAAACGCGAAAAAAGGTGCCCTAATGGGCAAGGTGCGGAAAAAAAGGTGCGCAAATGTCCGGGTGCGCAAAAAATGGTCGCATTTGTCCCATCCCCAAAATGGGTGAATAATGACAGAAAACGAATCATTTTATACGTTTATTCCTAAAAGGTACCGAATAGACTGAATAACTACGCTTTGGGGCGCATTTTAGAATTTATCTACTTAGCCAATGTGGAAAGACGTAAGGTTTGTTATCGGGGCTAAAATTATACTAATTTTACTCGCCGGGATACGGAAAAGTCTGTTTGTTAACGAGGTTTCTTTGCTATTGAGGTTTTTGTTATTAAGGTTTGACTATAATCTCTGCACTTACCAAGGTTTAAATTAAGTAATGCTTTTTTACCCATTGGTTACTCTAAAGTCTTGATTTCAACTCTGAAATTTGATCAGGCTAACTTTGTTCGAGTTCAACTAGATTATTTCAAAAGCCATCTCATCAGGTTTTAGTTAAAAATTTGTTTTACGATAATATTTGATAAATCTAGATAAATCGCCAGCCATTTTCAGGAATATATGTGGTTTGCTCTGTCGGAATCATTGCCATTGCTTGTCTCTTGATAATGGTGATTTCAAAAAAAGATCCATGCAAGAAATCGGCACTAGAAATGAAGAAATTACTTGAAGCTGAGAATTCCCTTTCAACGAGGTAGCAAAAAGCTTTAATTATGGAAACTGAAAGATTTAGAGAACGACAGCTCAAAGCACTCAAGGAGAAACTATTTCAAAATCATATCCTCCTACAAGCGATTCTCCAAGCACTTAATTGTATTGGTTTCATCGTTTTTCTATCGCATTGGGACTAAGATTGGAAAGAACTTTACCGTTTAATAAAATTTTGATCAATTTGATCTCGACTGGAATAATACAAAGAAGATTAGCGCCGGCCCCGGCGCAAGGATGACAGGCAAATTCGTAAAGCGTTCAGATTGCCGCATGGCCGACTGGCTAAGGGTCCTGTATCTTAAGTCAGTTAGTCGAGAAGTCACGGGCTCGTCCCTAGCGGCCAGAAAATTTGGTTCTTTCTCTCGTTTTGCTTTGCAACATCTTTAGGGGTATTAGGGCACTTTTTTGTGTCACATTATTCATGTTGAATAAGTGTATACGTCTTTGAATTCATTTCAACTTTTGAACATTATCTATGAACAATAGTTGTGTGGTTATCAGAAGTTCTGCAAATTCTATTCTCTATTCTATTCTATTCTATTGGGTTGGTGAATTGAAAACTGCCGAACTAAAATTTATTCAACATAAAACCATCAATTGATTCCAAATAATTTCCATTATTATTGACGACTTCTGCCCATTTTACAGGCAATTTGCGGATTCCTCTTTCGTAGTAGGGTTTTGGTTTCTGTGTGAGACAAGTGTGAGACTCAAAAATGGAGGACCGGACTTTGAGAATGGAGGACTGGACTCCCAGTTTGAGCACTTTCTTCAAAAGAAATCCATTTTGTTGTCAATAGAAAAGTTGTAGAGAATCAAAAATTAGGCTTATAGCCAAATTTCCAAAAAGATACACTTAGTAGTTTCGCTTAAAATGCCAGTTTTGTGAAAATTCGTTGATTTGGCATTTCTTGAATACCAGTTTTTGAATCGTTCTGAAAATTTGGCTATAAGCCTAATTTTTGATTCTCTACAACTTTTCCATTGACATCAAAATGGGTTTCTTTGGAAGAAAGTGCTCAAACTGTGACATATGACAATAGCCGGCAGTTTTCAATTCACCAACCCAATATTAGTGAACAGTAAAGGGTTGGGCAAAATTGCCCGGACAACTTTTTAGAAAAGCAGTTGTCGCATGCTTAATTTATTTCAAAATTTCAAGCGTTATATAGAGAATTGGAGCCCTTAATCTTGGCTACATTTATCTACTAAAAACTTTCCAATCGGATTCATGCAACTCATTTAACAAGTTTTTGAATGAGCACTGTCGTCCCTAGGCGATTTTTGACGATATCTCATTATATTAGCTGTTATAGCGCTATGAAAATGTTGGAAACAATTTTTTAAACAAAATGCACACAATGTTAATTGAACAAAGTCCTTTTTAGATACATTTTTTAGTAGAAAATCGCCAAAAATGGCAACGCGCTGGAGCGGGATCGACTAGTGCTCATTCAAGGACTTGTTAAATGAGTTGCATAAATCCGATTGGAAAGTTTTTAGTAAATAAATGTAGCCAAGATTAACGGGTACAATTCTCTATATAACGCTTGACATTTTGAAATAAATGAAGCGTGCGACAACTGCTTTTCTAAAAAGTTGTCCGGGTAATTTTGCCTAATCTTGTACAGGGTGCGTCATAATTATTGCAACAAGAGTTCAAAGACCGTTTGTGATGTCAAGAATGTGATGTCAAGAATGTGATGTCAAGAATGTGATGTCATGGGCGTGTAAAGCCAATAACACTCAAAATTGGACCTTCATGCAAGATGGAGCTCCCGCTCACACGAAGAAGACGGTCCAGGACTGGTGTGTGGCCAACTTTCCCTCAGTGATCACCAAGGATACATGGCCTCCAAACTCACCGGATCTCAATGTGATGGACTTTTCCATTTGGGCAATCTTAGAGGCTAATGTCTGCTCTCGAAAACACAAAGGATGATTTGACCAAAGGATGGAAGGCGACTCCTCAAGATGACATTCGGGCCGCAGTGGAGGCATATCCGAACCGATTAAGGGCTGTTATGAAGGCAAAAAGCGGTCATATCGAATGATATCTTGTTTCCTTATTTGTTACTGTTAAATAAAGCTATTTCTGTTTAAAAATCTTCTTCCAGTGAAACTTCTTGGTGTGTAATGCCTTGAGTATCTTGTTGCAATAATTATGAGGCACCCTGTATACGATTCAGGAGAACGATGAATGAATGAATTAAGAGAAAAATTTACGTACCTTCTCCACCTATTTTTTTTTTGATTCTTTTTACCGTACTCCTTTCCGCCTACATCATCGACCCTTATTTACCTTTTCGACTTTTTTCAGCTCTCAAGAGTCTCAGCTGAGGTCAATGATTGTCAAAAACTTTTCCTCCACTCATATTTCCATGTTTACTTACGCCATCAAATGGCTTTAGTTCAATTATTTGAATTCTTGTACTATGTTTTTTAATTTTATATTGTTATTTATGTTTTTGAGGTTTACTAGCTCGCAACAGAGCAATTCAACGAGTTTCTATCAGTCTGGTAAACTGATTTTTATTAGAAAGGATTGAAAAATTTAAATCAAATCTTTAGAACGATATCAAAACCATATCCAGCAAGCGTCTGATCTTTATGAGGAGCTTTTCACAAAGAGAAATTACAATAAATATTTATCTCCTGTTTATGGGGCAACTAGAAACGAGACAGGTTGGTTACTGGAAAAGTAAAGTAAAGTAGGAAAGTAGGAAAGACAAATTGCTGTACTTGCCGAAGATAAGTATTAGACAAAACGTTTCTAAATCAATTTTTAAAACTACCGGATTCTTGTCTTGGATCTATGCAGGCTTGGATCTATGCAGGCTTGGATCTATCCAGGCTTGGATCTATACAGGCTTGGATCTATACAGGCTTGGATCTATCCAGGCTTGGATCTATCCAGGCTTGGATCTATCCAGGCTTGGATCTATCCAGGCTTGGATCTATCCAGGCTTGGATCACCGGCTTGGATCATGGGCTTGTCTATCGGCTTGATCTATACGGCTTGGATCTATGCGGCTTGGATCTATACAGGCTTGATCTATACAGGCTTGTCTATCCAGGCTTGGTCCCAGGCTTGATCTATCCGGCTTGGATCTATGCGGCTTGTCTTGCGGCTTGGATCTATACAGGCTTGGTCTTGCGGCTTGGTCTATCGGCTTGGTCTATACGGCTTGGATCTATAGGCTTGGATCTATACAGGCTTGGATCTATACAGGCTTGGATCTATCCAGGCTTGGATCTATCCAGGCTTGGATCTATCCAGGCTTATTCTTTATGAATGTTATGATCTGGCAATCGTACTGAATTTATTCAGATCAGATTCGAATTGATTCAGATCAGATTCGACATCATTCAGCTCAGATCCAAACTTGCTCAGATCAGATTTTACCGCTACCCGTTTAGATGAAAACGCTCCACCCCCGTTAGCCGTTCATTTTGAGCTCGAGTATCTACAAATCTTCGGATTGGTATTTTCAAATAAATGCTTTCACTTTTCATTTTAGGATGCTCAAAGTCAACTAATCAGTGGAGCGATTCAATTTCGAATGGTAAGGTTTTATTAATGATCAAGGCTCTTATGGGTTTTACCCCCGCAATACACGATGCTACCTACTCTACTTACTCTACCTATTACTTAAAGCCTCCTATCTAGTCCAGCTCTTAGCCATCCCCTGCTTTCAGGGGATGCCCACTGCTCACCACGCGGTGGTGGCTGAACGTCGAGCAGCGCCCTCCCCCTGGGAGGGGGCTCGGGGAACTCAAAGCTTCTAAGCTTCTCAAAGCTTCTAAGCTTCTCAAAGCTTCTAAGCTTCTCAAAGCTTCTAAGCTTCTCAAAGCTTCTAAGCTTCTCAAAGCTTCTCAGCTTCTCAAAGCTTCTAAGCTTCTCAAAGCTTCTAAGCTTCTCAAAGCTTCTAAGCTTCTCAAAGCTTCTAAGCTTCTCAAAGCTTCTAAGCTTCTCAAAGCTTCTAAGCTTCTCAAAGCTTCTCAGCTTCTCAGCTCTGGGCTTCCTCAGAAGCTCTCAGGCTTCCCAAAGCTCTGCTTCTCCAAAGCTTCTAAGCTCTCAAAGCTCTAAGCTTCCCAAAGCTAAGCTTCTCAAAGCTCTGCCTAGCTCTCAGAGCTCTGAAGCTTCTCAAAGCTCTGAAGCTCCTCAAAGCTCGAGCTTCTCAAAGCTCTAAGCTTCCCAAAGCTCTAAGCCTCAGGCTCTGAAGCTTCCTCAAAGCTCTAAGCTTCTCAGGCTCTGAGCTTCTCAAAGCTCTAAGCTCTCAGAAGCTCTAAGCTTCCTCAGAAGCTCTGAGCTCTCCAAAGCTCTAAGCTTCCCAGAAGCCTTAAGCTCTCAAAGCCCTGAAGCTTCTCCAGAAGCTTCTGAGCTTCTCAAGCCTCTAAGCTTCCCAAAGCTTCTGGCTTCCCAAAGCTCTGAGGCTTCCTCAAAGCTCTGAGCTTCTCAAAGCTTCTAAGCTTCCTCAAAGCCTAAGCTTCTCAAAGCTTTAGCTTCCCAGAAGCTCTAAGCTCTCAAAGCTGTAAGCTTCAGAAGCCTAAGCTTCCCAAAGCTCTAAGCTCCTCAAAGCTCTTAAGCTTCTCCAAGGGCCTAAGCTTCTCAAGCTCTAGCTTCCTCAAAGCTCTGGCTTCCTCAAAGCTTCTAAGCTCTCAAAGCTCTGGCTCTCAGCTCTGGCTTCCTCAAAGCTTCCTAAGCTTCTCAAAGCTCTGAAGCTTCTCAAAGCTCTAAGCTGCTCCCAAAGCTTCCTGGCTTCCAGAAGCTCCTAAGCTTCTCCAAAGCTTCTAAGCTTCTCAAAGCTCTGAAGCTTCCCAAAGCTTCTAAGCTTCCTCAAGGCTTTCAAAGCTTCCAGCTCCTAAGCTTCAAAGCCTGAAGCTGCTCCAGAAGCTCTAAGCTTCTCAAAGCTCTAAGCTTCCCAAAGCTCTGAAGCTTCCTCAAAGCTCTGAGCTTCTCAAAGCTCTAAGCTTCCCAGCTTCTAAGCTTCTCAAAGCTCTGCTTCTCAAAGCTTCTAAGCTTCTCCAAAAGCTCTAAGCTTCTCAAAGCTTCTAAGCTTGCTCCAAAGCTCTAAGCTCTCAGAAGCTCTAAGCTGCTCCAAAGCTCTAAGCTTCTCAAAGCTCTAAGCTTCCAAAGCTTCTAAGCTTCTCAAAGCCTCCAAGCTTCTCCAAAGCTCTGAAGCTTCTCAAAAGCTTCCTAAGCTTCAGGCTCTAAGCTGCTCAGCTCCTGAAGCTTCTCAAAGCTCTGAAGCTTCCAAAAGCTCTAAGCTCTCCAAAGCTCTAAGCTTCTCAGGGCTCTGAAGCTCCTCAAAGCTCTGAAGCTGCTCCAGAGCTTCCTAGGCTTTCTCAAAGCTCTAAGCTTCCAAGGCTCTAAGCTCTCAAGCTAAGCTGCTCCAAAGCTCTGAGCTTCTCAAAGCTCTGAAGCTTCCTCAAAGCTTCTGGCTTCCTCAAAGCTCTAAGCTTCCCAAAGCTCTGCTTCCCAAAGCTCTCAAGCTTCAAAGCTCTGCTCCTCAAAGCTCTGAGCTTCTCAAAGCTGTCAGGGCTCTGCTCCTCAAAGCTCTGAAGCTTCTCAGAAGCTCTAAGCTTCTCCAGAGCTCTGAAGCTTCAGAGCCTAAGCTTCCTCAAAGCTCTAAGCTTTCAAAGCTTCTAAGCTTCTCAAAGCTCCAAGCTTCTCAAAGCTCTAAGCTTCCTCAGAGCTCTGAGCTTCTCAAAGCTCTGAGCCTCGAGCTCTGGCTTCTCAAAGCTCCTGAGCTTCTCCAAAGCTCTAAGCTCTCCAAAGCTCTAAGCTTCCTCAAGAGCTTCTAAGCTTCTCAAAGCTCTGAAGCTCTCAGAAGCCTGGCTTCTCAAAGCTTCTGAAGCTTCTCAGAAGCTCTAAGCTTCTCAAAGCTTCTAAGCTTCTCAAGCTCTAAGCTTCTCAAAGCTCTGAAGCTTCTCAAAGCTTCTGAAGCTTCTCCAAAGCTTCCAAGCTTCCTCAAAGCTCTAAGCTTCTCAAAGCTCTAAGCTTCTCAAAGCTTCTAAGCTTCTCAAAGCTTCTAAGCTTCTCAAAGCTTCTAAGCTTCTCCAGAAGCTCTTAAGCTTCTCAGAAGCTTCTAAGCTTCTCCAAAGCTTCTAAGCTTCTCAGAGCTTCTAAGCTTCTCAGAGCTTCTAAGCTTCTCAGAGCTTCTAAGCTTCTCAGAGCTTCTAAGCTCTCCAGAGCTTCTAAGCTTCTCAGAGCTTCTAAGCTTCCCAGAGCTTCTAAGCTTCTCAGAGCTTCTAAGCTTCTCAGAGCTTCTAAGCTTCTCAGAGCTTCTAAGCTTCTCAGAGCTTCTAAGCTTCTCAGAGCTTCTAAGCTTCTCAGAGCTTCTAAGCTTCTCAGAGCTTCTAAGCTTCTCAGAGCTTCTAAGCTTCTCAGAGCTTCTAAGCTTCTCAGAGCTTCTAAGCTTCTCAAAGCTTCTAAGCTTCTCAAAGCTTCTAAGCTTCTCAAAGCTTCTAAGCTTCTCAAAGCTTCTAAGCTTCTCAAAGCTTCTAAGCTTCTCAAAGCTTCTAAGCTTCTCAGAGCTTCTAAGCTTCTCAGAGCTTCTAAGCTTCTCAGAGCTTCTAAGCTTCTCAGAGCTTCTAAGCTTCTCAGAGCTTCTAAGCTTCTCAGAGCTTCGGCTCTATGAGCTATTCCGGCTATTACTAGGTACTTAAAAAAATCGGATATTTTAAGTGAAGTGAAGATAAGAGTTGAGATCTGATTGTTGATTAGAGAGAGAGAAAGAAGGTTATGCAAAAATTTCTTAGTATGTAAATTGCGGGGGGTAAAACCCACTGTTGATTTCTGCAGGGGTAAAACCCTAATCGATACCTGGGGGGAGGTAAAACCAATAAGTACCATGATCAAATTTATCTGAACCTAGACTTGGCCCGATCCCAGATTCACTTGGCGACCAGGTGCCTTTGATGGACTCACACAGTTACACGTGAGCACTGACGCCGTTTGGCTACCCGACAATCAATTTGGAAATGTGTAAGCGAACTCAAAATAGTTTTGGGTATTGTTTATATCTGTAACTTGGTTATATCTGTAACTTGATGTAACTTGATGTAACTTAAATTAAACTTAAAGAATTAGAATTCAACTTGGTTCTACCTAACGTACCAAGGCTTGGCGCTGTAATTCCAATTGTTAACGTTCCAGAAAATTGCTTGACGATGTGCTCAATGGAAAAGCCGTCAAAATCGACAATGAGGGCATTGTGGAAATAATCAATGTCTATTATCTGGAGATTGCTTGTCAGATAAACGCAAGTTCTTCTTGATCAACGACATATTCTCGTTTTTAGATCACCAAGTTCCCATTCGATAATCAAACTTGCGAGCTGCCGGTGATGTCATTTGCCTACGATAGGTAAATCTAGCTGGCTTCTAAAATCAATTGCATTATCTTGAGATTCCATTTTGAAATCTGAATTTATTTAGTAGTCTAATATCAACGAACGGCTCAATCGCACCGGATACGGTTGATGCACGGATGGGAATGATGGTGAGTAGAAGTTTGAGTAGAAGTTGCGGTACTTTAGTGTCAGTAAAGGTAGCAAAGGTTGCTTGAGTTAACTAGACCAGATCTTATGCTTTAAGTAAGTGTTTTAAGCTTAAGTTAAAGCTTAAGTTAAAGCTTAAGTTAAAGCTTAAGTTAAGCTTTAGTTAAGCTTTAGTTAAAGCTTAAGTTAAAGCTTAAGTTAAAGCTTAAGTTAAAGCTTAAGTTAAAGCTTAAGTTAAAGCTTAAGTTAAGCTTTAGTTAAAGCTGAAGTTAAGCTTTAGTTAAGCTTTAGTTAAAGCTTAAGTTAAGCTTAAGTTAAAGCTTAAGTTAAAGCTTTAGTTAAGCTTTAGTTATCGAGTAGTCGCAGTCGAGTATAGAGTGTGTTCCTTGCAGACAACGCGTTTTCTAAAAAGCGCTCGCCAAATATAAGCTACCGTAACCTATGCTTTGCATAAGCGATTTTTTAAAATACAAATGTACATTAAAACCTTGCGCTTTCTTTTCTACTACTCTTTCCTTAAGTTTTTGTTTTTTTTCTCTTTTTCAAACAGTTTAAATTGGTAATCCCAATTATTTAGAGTAACGCGTAGAAAACCGTGTGATTGTGAGAGAAAAATGGATGCTTCTCCCAGTAATAGGGTAAATTCTAGTGATAGTTGCCTTTAGGCTTATAAATCATTTAAGAATTTAAGAGTCCCAACTACTCGACTCGAGTAGTTCATCGCATAAAGTTCAAAGAAAAGTTCAGGGAAATGGTGAATGGCGAGTAACCGGGATCAATCATTTTCTAATTCCCTTTGGCCAACAACAAATCGTATGTCAAAGTTGTTATCAAGTTCAATTTCATTGAACTTTTAGTGGACTTTGGCTCTGCAAGTGAAACGAGTTCCAAACTACTATGTTTACGTAATTGCTATACCATGTTTTGTCATCACTTTGTTATCAATCATCGGCATGTTCTGGACTCCAAGTTATGAGTCAGAGCAAATTGGGAAGGTTGTTTGATTAAGTGAAAGTTGTAAAGTTTCAAAATTTAGCTTGGAATCGGTTTAACGAGCTTGGTATCGATGACGGTTTTGCTCGACCTTCTCTCGAGTTCAATCCCGAAAACAGCGATCTTTCCATTGCTTGGTTGGTTTTCATGTAAGGAATAGCAGTTCTTTTCTATTACTAGATACCTTAAAAGAACTGCGTACCTTTAAAAAATCGGGTACCTTTAAAAAAACCGGGTACTTTAACCGTGTAACGGATAGACATGAGCGCTCTAAAAGCGTGCCAGGGTCTGGTAGAATTGTGCTCATTTGAGGGTCTGCAAAATGGGCTGCAAAACTCGAATCAAAGATCTTTTGGTACAGAAATGTAGGCAATAATCCAGGCTTCAATTCTCTATACAACACTTAGGGTTTTTGACATGATTGCGTGTAACGGATAGACATGAGCGCTCTAAAAATGGAAGCGTGCCAGAGTCTTGTCGAATTGCGCTCATTTGAGGGTCTGCAAAATGGGCTGCAAAACTCGAATCAAAGATCTTTTGGTACAGAAATGTAGGCAATAATCCAGGCTTCAATTCTCTATACAACACTTAGGGTTTTTGACATGATTGCGTGTAACGGATAGACATGAGCGCTCTAAAAATGGAAGCGTGCCAGAGTCTTGTCGAATTGCGCTCATTTGAGGGTCTGCAAAATGGGCTGCAAAACTCGAATCAAAGATCTTTTGGTACAGAAATGTAGGCAAGAATCCAGGCTTCAATTCTCTATAAAATACCTTGGGTTTTTGAATTGCTTGCGGCGTTTGGCATCCAATCTGCTAAAATATGTAGCCTTAATTCTGGCGCACCGGGTATTCAGAAGAGCTACTCGACAGAAACAAGTTTTTTCAAAATTTGTTGTTGAGAATAGAAGCCGCCTATCTTTTACCATAAAAAGCTCAGTGATGGTGATGTAATTTGCCTACGATAGGTAAATCTAGCTGGCTTCTAAAGTAAATTGCATTAGCTTGAAATTCCATTTTGAAATTCCATTTTGAAACCTAGATTTATCAACAATTCAGCAGTCTAATATCAACGAAAAACATCATAGACATAAAAATAAACATTAACGCTAAAGCAAAACATCGAGTCACTGTATAAGGTTAAAGTATCCGATTTTTAAGTACCTAGTAATAGGAAAGAGCCGGAATAGCTCATAAGTTAAGCACAACAAACAGTTTAATCTTTGATTTTTAACGACAAAAGGCAACTGAACTCTTTCTCTCATCTCCCCAGACACACTTGAAACTTGAATGATCTCAATTTCTTCATTCACAGATTCACAGTTATTCTGAAACATTGCCAAAACCCAATCTAGGAATCTACGTGGTTGCTTGCGTGGGTTTCATCGCAGTTGCTTGCTTGCTGATTATGGTTTGTTCGGCAAAAGATCCTCGAAAAAGATCGGCTGCTGAAGTGAAGAAACAACTCGAAGCAGAGAAATCGTTACCCAAAAGGTTTTGACATAAATGAAAAACAAAAAATCATCTCTTTTTAGAGAACAACTTTGGAATCGAATCCGAAAAACGCTTTTCCATCGTCATGTTTTGTTTCAAATTCTTTTACAAAGTCTGAATTTAGGTGGATTTTGTATTTTTCTTTCGTTCTGGAAATGATTTGAATAAATTTTTGAATTTTGAAGTTTATCACAATCGATTCGAAGCTATTTGATTGTATAAGAATTTAGTAAAAAGACCAGTACATAACAAGGAGATCACAAGAAAATTCTTTACAAAAGGAGCAATCAAGGTAAAGCTTTAGTTTTTTCATTCGTTGAAATCTCAGATTGTATAACTTTTGCTTTTGCGATTCGGTGCACCAACCAGAAAGCAATTGTGGCAAAGATTGAGAGAGTCGACGTGGCCAAAAGAGTCCAATAGAGTTCAAATTGTGGAGCGATCAGACATCCAATACTAGTCGAGAAAGCCTTAAAATATTGCACTTATTTTAACTTAAAACTTAGAATGCTCTAAAGTTTATTTCACTCTAGAGCTATTGATGATTCTATGAGAAGATAGCCCAGAGAATTTTGTGGAAAATTTATGCATCCATGGGGTTGGTGAATTGAAAACTGCGAGACTTTGAACTAAAATTTATTCAGCGCAAAACCATCAATTCATTCCAAATAATTTCCATTATTATTGACGACTTCTGCCCATTTTACAGGCAATTTACGGATTCCTCTTTCGTAGTAGGATTTTGGTTTGTGTGTGAGACAAGTGTGAGACTCAAGAATGGAGGACTGGAGATGTCAGCTGTCAGCTCAGTTTGAGCACTTTCTTCAAAAGAAACCCATTTTGGTGTCAATGGAAAAGTTGTAGAGAATAAAAAATTAGGCTCATAGCCAAATTTCCAAAAAGATACACCTAGTAGTTTCGCTTAAAATGCAAGTTTTGTTGCAAGTTTTGTGAAAATTCGTAAATTTGGCATTTCGGAAAACCAGTTTTTGAACCGTTCTGAAAATTTGGATATAAGCTTAATTTTTGATTCTCTACAACTTTTCCATTGACACTAAAATGGGTTTCTTTTGAAGAAAGTGCTCAAACTGTGACATATGACACGAGCCAGCAGTTTTCATTTCACCAACCCAATGATTTAGCTGTCAAAGGCCTAATTTAATTCAAAACTAGTAAAGTGTTATATAGAGAATTGAAGCGCTGAATCTTGGCTATATTTATCTACTGCGAAACATTCAAATTAAAAAAGTCGATTCAATTACCAAGCTCACAAATGAGCTCTAGCCGCTGGAGACACTGGACAAGATGAACTGCACTCTGGACGATCGAAAAGACTTATTTGCCGACTTATTAATACAAATGATTAATCAGATCAATAATACAATTGATTTGATCAGTTCAGTTCAGAAATAATACAAATTTCATTTAAGAAAGCCTTTCTAAATAATTTTTTGATAAAAAAATTCTTCAAAAATGGCAGTTTGAAGAAAGGCCGGTTAGAGCTCATTTCCAAGTTTTGCAATTGAATTGAATTTTATAATTTAAAAGTTTCGCGGTGGAAAATGTAGCCAAGATTCAGGGCTTCAATTCTCTACATAACACCTAGTACTTTTGAATTGAATTAGGCCTTTGACAACTAAATTACGCCCATATTTTTCAGCAGCCTTTCCAGAAAGTCTTTTCAGTCAGAAAGTCAGAAAAATCAAGGCATAACACATTTAAAACCCGTTTTAATATTTTTTTGCGGAAAATAAGTGGCCTTTCTAATGAAAAAACAGTAGTTTAATTGGTGCATTTGTTGTTTTTAACGGATGTACGAAAAGGTACACTACTGGACAATGAAATATCATATTTGAAAAAAGATCGTCACTTTCGCGCGTCTGTAACTCCCTTGTCTTTACCGTATTTCTAAATATTAATATTACCATTGTGTAGCCCTTGAAAAGAGCTTTCAGAAAATGTATAACACTATGTTTAAACTTAAAGACAAGGGAGTTGCAGACGCGCGAAAGTGATGATCTTTTTTCAAATATGATATTTCATTGTCCAGTACTGTACGTAAAGACTTTCTGGACAGGTCATTGAGCTAGGCTAGGCAGTGAGCTAGACCAAACCTGGTTCTAAGTTCTAGCTTCTGGCCTTGCTTTGCCTGGCCTGATCTGACTTGTTCAGAAGGTACGAGTAAATCAGCCAGTTCCCTTCTTAAAGTGCCTTTTTTCCTTTTTTCCAAACCTGAAAGCATCTGAAGATAGCGAAAGCCGGTGGTGAGTCTTCATCTTTATACATTCCACCAAGAATCGTCAAGATTTGTGTCTGCCAACAGCAATCCGACAATCCGAGTAGAAAAGCTCCAAACAAAGCCAAGGATAAGCTAAACTTTCTCAGTTTTCATCACTTTTCTCTCAGATCTTTTCATCTCAATTTTCAAAAGAGAAATAACTTCGCAATTCACTTAAAATTCCTTAGTTGTTTACTCAAAATATTCGCGCTCAAGTTTCAAGTGGTTTACGCAAACGCCTAGGAAAATGTCTGAATCATTTTCTGAGTCAAAATCATTTCAAAAGGGACCAATTTTAAAGTAAACTATAGGGTTTTCTAAACAAGAAATCTTTTGAATAAACTATTCAACGTTTTTTGAATGGTAAAGCTAAAGTTAAAGCTTGAAAGCGAACCAAATTCAGCTCATTAAACTTTGAAAAACAAATAAAACCTTAAATAATACCAACCTTGGCTCAATGAAAGCAATATTGTAAGTGTCGTGGAGTGGGGCGTCAGCTGGGAGATTTATCAGAGACAAGACATTGGCCACAAGGAGAAGAATCGCCCCAAAAGTCGCTATTCTCCTCTTGCCAAATTTAGAATCGGATCGACTACCAGAGAAACCAAAGAAGATGCCACCTGTAAAGCAAAGAAGTCTTCTGTAAGGTGGCTAGTGATAGAATTGACTGAAGATCAAGCCTCAAAAGGCTCGGAAGAACTAAATTTAGATGAAAGCCTAATTTCAGTAGGCGTATTTTCCCTAATAGTTTCCCTAATATTTTCCCTAATCACATAAATTGCACGAAATCTCAAAAAGCGCTTATCAGAACTTATTGATGTGAGGTCGGAAAATGTAGCTGACGATGAGATCTAGTGGGAGATTAGAGTGTTGAGCTTCTGGGAAAGCTTGGAAACCGTAAAATAGTCACTAACTCGGCTCACCGGGGTGCCGCTACTATTAGAGAAAATACGATAATCTCATTTGTCGTATAAGCTAACAAAATGCCTGGTGTAGTTAATAAATTATTTGAGGTTTTGAACAATTTATCGTCTCTAAACTAGCGTCAAAACAAAGACATCAAATCACTTTAAAAAGTGGCTAGATCTAGTGGGGGATTAGAGTGTTGAGTTTCTATGAAAACTTGGAAACCGTAAAATAGTCATCAACTCGGCTTCGAATATAGATTCGAACCTAGGATAGCCTTTGTTCCTTAATATTCAGAATTAACATTCCCGACGATACGGCCACCGATGGACCGTACGTAGATTTATCACTTTTTTTGAGGCTGACTTTGCACCAGGGGTTTTCCGGGTCAAGGAATTCAAATCCGTACTTGATTTCTAAAGAAAGCTGCTCTATTTTTGGATATTTCTTTCGGTTTAATTACTCGAGTGCGACTCTAAATCCAGGGCTTTGTCGTGAAAGCTTTAAAAAGGTATCTTCTGAATCTTCAGCGTTCTGTCATGGACTCTTTAGTAAGATAATAGTAACAGTAAGATAATAGTAAGAGCTAAAGATTAGTAGGAGCTAAAGATTAGCAATCTTGCTGATTTTTAGATCTTGCTAATCTTTAGCTCCTACTAATCTTTAGCTCTTACTATCTTACTGTTACTTTCTACTATCTTACTACTAACTCTGATGCTACTGAAACTCACCACAAATCTCTCCACAACCGATAAAAAGCATTGCATAGGCAATCGCCGCTTCATTATGGGGTAACCGTTTGGTTGCTGAAGATAGAGATTTAGCTTTTTTAAAAAGTGACTAGTTTTTAAGCCTAACCTGCTAATGAAGCTGTGTACATGGCGCCAAAGAAAACCGTCTGAAAGCCATTATAGAAAAAGATCACGCAAAGGAGAACCATCTCTTTTGTGCGAAGGAGTTGGAAAGTTCGGTCTAAACAAAATAATCATCTAGCTCTTTGGCTAGTCCTACTCACCAAATGCTTGCCAAATTGATTGGCTCGATTTCTCAGAGTCAACTTTTGAGTCTTGATCACTTTTCACTCCTGGTATGCTCATAGATGAGTTTTGCTTGGGGTAACGAACCTGGCGTCTTCATCAAAGACACAATCACAATTCCAAGGACTCCAATGATCGCACAAAAAAGGTATATCAATTTATACGAGGAGACCAAGTCGCTAAATTTTCTTTATTTGTTATTGCTTTTCAATTAAAACCTTGTATTGAGGATAATCATCAGAAAAATTGATCCAAAGATCAATGACATTTGAATAGACGTCCAGAGAAAAGCACTGTTTCTCGTGAGGTTCTTTTCTTCAGAGATTCTCACCAAATTCACCCCGACACTTGTCCAAAGCACTAAAAAGTGAAAATGAACAAAAGTTTACTGATTCTGGAAAGATTGATTTGGTTTGATTTGATTTGATTTTGATTGCTGATTTGATTTGATTGGTGATTTCATGTCTGACTTCATTTCATTATTGATTCAATTTGATTCGATTTAATTATTGATTTGATTGGATTGGATTGAATTCCTAATTTGATTGAAAATAAATAAAATCTACAATCTTGTTACCAAACAAAATTTTCCTGAAAAATCAAAAAAGATGCCCCAAATCGGGATCGAACCGATGACCTTTAGATAACTGAACGCTTCTTCAGTCTAACGCTCTCCCAACTGAGCTATTGAGGCATGGTGCTGCGGGGAAAAGAAAGGCTTTTTCAAGTCTTTCCATGGTTTCAAGTGCTTCAACTATTACCCACAAAATTTTCCTGAAAAATCAAAAAAAGATGCCCCAAATCGGGATCGAACCGATGACCTTTAGATAACTGAACGCTTCTTCAGTCTAACGCTCTCCCAACTGAGCTATTGAGGCATGCCGATGAGGGGAAAAGAAAGGCTTTTTCAAGTGTTTTCACGGTCTCAATTGTTTTCACGGTTTCAAGTGTTCTACCAGTCCGGGAAAAGATAAGCGAAGCTCATTTTCGATGATTTTTTTTATATTATTATAAAAGTTGAAGATTTTCTTCATTTCAGTTTTCATATATGAATACTTTGTTCAGAAATAAAGTGCGGAAAATGAAAAAACGACATGAAAACAGTTTAAACATCTCTAGAAACAAAAATCTAAGCAAAGTAAGTAAACTAAAAAGTTGCAAAAAAAAATAAATAGCCTTTTAGAATTCATAACTAGAAAATGTTCAATTTTCTTGAGTTATCTTTGAAAATCCAATATTCCAAACGACTCTCTCGTCATTCAATGCTTGATACTTACTAGCTGCTCCAAATCCAAGTAGAGCCGCCAATGCGTACAGAATCCAAGCTTCAATGTACAGAAAACTAAGCATAAAAATAATGTAGCAACTCATTCCAATAAGCATTGACCACTAAAAAGAAAATATTGAATCTTTTGTCTTTTAAAGTGCCATCTTTTTTCTGCTATAGTTGATCCAACCAATCTTTGATCTAAAGTTCTCCGAATTCGACTCACTTTTGAACCAATCCTTGCAATAATCGGTGGAACCAAAAAGTTCATGAAGGTATAGCTGAGATAAAGGATTGTATTTCTAAAGGTATGTATGGTATTAAAAACAAATTATTGTTTACATATAGTATCCAGATTTTTCCGTCACTCCACGATTCTCTTCGTTAGCGATAATTCGGAGGACGGGGATCTGAAAGCTCGAATTGGAACTAGATTTGCCATCCGATTGATCGAATCCGGATTAGATTGAATCGAATTGCCTTGGATAATCTTCCGATCCGATAGAAGCCTCTATCGGATTGAATTCGATCCGATCCGATCCAATCCAGCCGACAGAAAGCTTCCAATTAGCTCAAAATCATACATTCTTTACTTTTTTTGGTTTTAAATGCAAACTTTGTATTATTTAAAATGCAAATTATTTGAAATATTCAGTCAATTCAGTAAAGATTCAGTTAAAATCAGTTTTTAATATGTGTACCATTCATTCTTTATTAACGACTTTCTTGATTGCTAGAACATAAAAAAAAACTTGTGGCATCACTTCGTTTATCGCTTGAAATCGCTTGAAATACAGAAATGATGATTTTTGCAGAATAAAGAAATGTTTCCAGTACTCTACGCAATTGCCGTAAACAAAGGGTTTAACATGAAAGATTAAATCACTTTTGGAGCTGTCTCCATTGTCTGGAATGATAAAAGTTAAGCAAAGTTGGTCCCCCTAATCATAGACATAATGACTTAATGACTTAATGACTTAATCAAAGGCTCTGGCTCAAGAGGTTCTGGCTCACTTGATCGACTCGAGTCAAAGCGGACAACGACGCAGTTGGCGACACTGGTTGGCGACACAGGTTGGCGAATAGCAACTCACGCTAAGCCAATGCCAATCTTTTAGTTTTTCGGACTTTGGTTGGGTTTTGATCAGGCTTGGAAGCTAAGAAGAAAACGGAAAATTGAATATCTTTTAATTTTCAAAGAAGAACTCAACAAATGGTGCAGCTACGCACTACGACGGAGGGAAAAACGTAGCTGCCCCATTGTTGAGTACTCCTTTGAAAATTAAAAGATATTCAATTGGATAAAAGATATTCAATTGAATAAAAGATATTGAATTCAATAAAAGACTTTACTTTGAAAATCAAAAGATCCTTTATCTATCAAAAAACCGATAAAAGTCATTATCAAGGTCTTTATCCGATAAAAGTCTATCGGATTGAAACCGATCCGATCCAATTCTACAGAATAACATTCGATCTCGATCGGATAACAAATCTAAGCGGAAATCTAATAGGAACCGATCCGAGCAAGGAATTCTTAGAATTTGCTTTAATTTTTACAACACTTCCTTGCTTTATTGAACAAACAAACATTTCCCTATTTTGTTGATCTTTTTCTACTCACCAAAATCTGTGCTTGGATCTCAAATGCTGCACAAAGCGTGAGCATTCCCATACTCAAATTCACCATTCCAAGCAGGTCTGACGATCCACGAATATGTTGCAAAAGGTTCATCTGTTCTAAACTCATCTAAAGGTCGTATTTAGAAAGAAGAAGCTTTGACTTGTTGCCAAAATGAATAAGCCAATGATAAAATAAGAGAAATTGTGCAAAAATTGAAATTTATGGATAAGCAATTTAAGGAATTTGAACAATTTAAGCAATTTGAGCTATTTAAGCAAGCAATTTAAGCAATTTGAACAATTTAAGCAATTTAAGCAATTCAAGCAATTCAAGCAATTCAAGCAACTCAAAATTAGATGGACAAAATGGTGAGATTTCTTGAATCAAACAAGATTTGAACTGCTCTTGAACTGCTCTTGAACTAGCCAATCTAAAAAATTTCGTTCCTCTTTGCTCGTCTCATTCTTATCCTTCATCTCAATAATTTGTCAAAAATTACACAAATTCCCAAATTGAGTCTAAGTGGATCGTTCTTTTTTTTGGATCGAAAGAGGTTGCACTCAAAAAAAACTCTTACATCTTAGAGAAATTTCAAGTCAAAATTTGACTTTTGTTTTAGTGAAAGTTTTTTGAAAGCAAAACACAAAGCTTGAAAACTGAAAAAAAAACTAGAAAAATAGAAATGAAATGAAATGAAAATGTTTTCTTTAGGTGAAAATTAGATATACTCATTGAGAATCGATTCATTTTAAAAAGTTATTTGGTTTTCCAGAACTTTTCGTTTTCTTTCGTCCTTTCGTTAAAAACAACAAACTTAACTAAAGCTTATAACTGGGTCTATCCCAAAACAGCGCCGCCAAAACAGCGCCGACCAAAACAGCGCCGCCAAAACAGCGCCACCCAAAACAGCGCCAATGCAAAAACGCCCAAAAGAGCGACGAGCAAAAAAAATTATTTTATAGATTTTTGCTTTTGCTTTTTCTTTGCTGTTTTTAACTTTTTCTGTCCACTTTTTGTGTTTTCAGGGTAAAAAAAAGGCGGAGAATCCGATTTTTTAAAGCTTTACGCATAGAAACCTGCGATAGCGTTTATAAAATTGATTTTAACCAAAAATAACAATTTTTTTCCTTTTACGACCTGTTTTTTAACATTTTCACTAACTTTTTATTTCTACTACGGATCACTTGAAAGCTCTAGCCGTTTATGTTCATCATCGCTAGTGTTATGATGTTTCAGAGTCTCTTGGACTATTAATTTCATGCTATTTTAATGTTTTTTATGCATCGTTTAATTGTTATCGTTTATTGTTGTTGGTCATGTTATTTTTTAATAAATTATCAAAATTAAAAGCTGCTCATAAAAAAAATGAGTGTACATTATAAAAGAAAAAAACTTTGTTTTGCATCGGCGCTGTTTTGGGCGTTTTTCATTGTCGCTGTTTTGGGTACGGCGCTATTTTGGGTGGCGCTGTTTTGGTCGGCGCTATTTTGGCGGCGCTGTTTTGGGATAGACCCTTATAACTTAATTTACTAAAGCTTAGGCTTTCCAGAAAAGCTTTTCGTTTTCTTTCGTCCTTTCGTTAAAAACAACAAATGCATCAATTGAATTACGGTTTTTTTCATCAAAAAGGTCAATTATTTTTCTGCAAAATAAGTTTCAAACGGGTTTAAAAAGATTTTTTTTCGCACAGACTTCCATCAAGTCCACACACCGAGGGCTACCCTTGATCTCGAATCCCTCGTTGGTGCAACTGATCGTCACATTTGGGCAGTGCTCTGTCTCGCTCACTCTTTTCGGTGCTCTCTCGTAGACCGTCACATCTGTCACTGCCCAAGCTCGCATCGGGATTTCTCCTTGTGGTGTCTGCAAGAATGCGTACTCGTGGTGTGGCAGGAGACAAAACCTCGTTCCGTTCGGCGCACATGGGAATTTTTTGCAGTAGTCAATTGATCCCGTGATCTCCCCGTTCCCCGTGCAGAACGGCTTGGCAGCTTGCCTTCTCACAATTGAAAATTCCATGTACTGTTGTACTGTTGTCCATTGAACAGCTGTGAAGTCGGGTAGTCAAAAAGCGTGAAGGCTCGATGCTGCAAACACTTTAGCTTTAGAAAAGACACACTTTAAGCTAAGGAAACCTATCTTGATGTCAATAGGTAAAAGATAGAGCAAAAAAAAGTTTGGTATAGAGCCAAATTTTCAGAGCAACCTGTTTAGCCGATTTCTTCGTAGAGGTTTTTATAGGTTTCCTCGAAAACACTCGAAAACACTCTCGAATTTGCGTGAAAGTAAAATCAAAGATTGACTTAAAAAAATGGAAATTGAACAGTAAACACTTTTTATTATCTAAATACCTGAGCTGGATGAATGCCAGGAGATCGGTAAGAGATTGGTGTAAATGGCAGGTATAAAAACGAATAAGGGCCACCATTGCTCTTTAGCTCTGAAAAAACACACTTTCACTCATGAAATTTGCTTAAAAGTGAACCCAAATTGACCTTAAAAAAAACCAAATTGACTTTAAAAGATGGAAAATGTTTTTACCGATGTCAAGCCAGATGTGCATGAGAAGTTCATGCTCTCGTTGTTCAGGGATTTGGAAGAGCCTATCTACTGGAAACTTTTAGATATCAAGACAACACTCGACTTAATCAAATACTTGGAGCAACTTGACAAATCAACCAAATCTTTGCCAAAGAAAGACCTGAAAGAGAAAAATCATTCTTCAACATGATAATGCTAGACCGCATGTTTCAATGACTCGTTCTACACTGCGGATGAATCTTCGAAGACAAAGGGAAGGGTCATCCAGCAGTCCAACTAGATAATGGCCAGTTCCTCGAAATTTTTCAAACCAACAAAGACTGTCTTTTTGAGAAATAGCAAAAGAGTTATCAGTTGATTATACAATAATACTCGACCATTGCATACACTCGGATTTAAATTGAAATTATGGACTCGGATTCCACATGATTTAAGGAACACCCAGAAATGGTAGCGTGTCATAAATCAGTGTCGCACATCTTTCTCGATACGAGCGCAAATCTTTTTTATTTTGTATTGTGACGGGGGATGAAAATGGATTCTAACTGTCAACTTTCGGAATCCCGGAATTGGTTGCTGAGGGGGAAAAGCCCGAACCCGACGTCAAGCCAAATGTGCATGAGAAGAATTACTCTTGTTGTTCAGGGATTTGGAAGCGCCTATCTACTGGAAACTTTTAGATATCAAGACAACACTCGACTTAATCAAATACTTGGAGCAACTTGACAAATCAACCAAATCTTTGCCAGAGAAAAACCTCAAAGAGAAAAATTATTCTTCAACATGATAATGCTAGACCGCATGTTTCAATGATTCGTTCTACACTAAACTCACCTGGATGAGAGGTGATGACCCATCTGGTATACAGCGCTGATCTTGCACCTTTTGATTACTACTTATTCCGAGCGATGAGCAATCATTTGGCGAACAAAGACTTCGATTCCAAAGAAGAGATCAATAAATGACTGACAGATTGGTTTGCGTCAAAGCCGAAGCGTTAATTTTTAGAAAAAATAAAACCTCTCATATATTCTGTGGCAAAAACACTCACGATTGTCCACTGGGTAAAGACATCTCTCTTCGCTAGTTATCTGCACAAATCCACTCGGATAAACGATGCAATAGTGCGACGATGCAATGATGCAATGGGCGACAACGAAAACAGAACAATCAATTTCTCTAAAATTCTTGTAAAATTCCTGTAAAAATTCCCTGCGAAATTCCTGTAAAAGATCCATCGTTGTTTTAAAGCTTTTATAGCGAGTGCTGAGAAGTTGATTTTCTGAGGACACTAAACGTCACAAAAATTTATCTTTCACTTTGAATTGGCTCGACCGAATGAGCTAAAAACTTGTCACCTTCTTCACTAAATCGATCCCTTTACAACTCGATCCCTTTACAACTCGATCCCCTTCAACTCGATCCCCTTACAACTAGATCTCCTTACAACTAGATCTCCTTACAACTCGACTTCCTTGCCAATCGATTTCCTCACCAATCGATCCGCTTACCAATCGATCCCGTTACCACTCGATCTTCTTACAAATCGATCTCCTGTGTCCTGATCGACCAAAACTCGGTGTTTTCAAAATTTTGTATCAAACAATCGCAACAGTCAGCTTTTTTTCGCAAATATTGTCGATATTGTTTTCAATTTGACAACATTGTTTTCAAAAGCAGTTTCAATATGTAAAAATTTTGTCGTTGTTTAGCTATACACCTTGATACCAGCAATCGGGTTTTCTTACGTAAATCGGTTGGCGAAGTTCACAAAAAGTCTTATCACTAAAAATTTTCGAAGGGTTTTAATCGGATTTTTAATCGGATCTTTCTCAAAATACTTTCTGAACTCTGTTATTGCAAAAATTTGAACATTTAAAAGCGTGTGAAGTTTGTTTTTTCTCGTTTTTGTTTGATCAATTTTCTCAATCAATTAATCGGAATGCTCGTTTTAATCAATTTTTCATTTTTTCTTTTATCACTTTAACTATTGAACACAATTTTAGTGAAGCCGTTTTCTTTTTCAGTGTTCAATTGAGTCATGCCGGAAGAAGTTTTGGGACATGGAACTTTTGGAGTTGTTTCAATAAACCTTACCGAAAACCCGTAAGTTTGAATGCTACCTTTGAATGCTACTCTTTGAGTCATTTCAATCATTTTTTTAAGAATCATCGCAAGAAAGTACATTCCTCGATATAACAATCAACATTTTGATCGTCAATTCCGTAAAGAAGCAGAAGCTTTGAAAAGACTACGACACCCAAATATTATTGAATATTATGGATTCGAAGAAAAGGGAGACTTTTTTGTGATAAGCATGTTCTACTGCCAAAGGGGTAGCTTGCGTGGAGGTTTTTTTTACGAAATGTTATTGTAATTTTGTGTGCTTTAGTTATTGATGATCCAACAATCATCTACACAATGACAACAGTTTTGTGCTGGAGCAATCATTTGCTTTCAGCGTTGATCTCTCTGGCTTCGAACGAAAATCGTCTGACTCATCGAGACATCAAACCGGCAAAGTATTGATTTGGCGGGAAAGTCTTGTCCGTCTTTTCGAAATTTTCTTTTATAAATGAATAATTAGCCGGTCAATGTGTGGTTTACTTTAGATTACCGTATTTTCTCTAATAGTAGTGCACCCCGGTGAGCCGAGTTGGTGACTATTTTACGGTTTCCAAGCTTTTGCAGAAGTTCAACACTCTAATCCCCCACTAGATCTCATCGTCAACTACATGTTCCGACCCCACATCGATAGGTTCTGATAAGCGGTTCTCGAGATTTCGAGCAATTTAGGCGAGGTTCAAAGTGCACTACTATCAGTGAACTATTTCATTTAGCTCATTTTTAGACAAATTTGAGTCCCCTTTGAAGCAAATCTAAACAGGAATTCTTGTTTTTCCTTAAAATCTTTACAATGGACATAGAATGAAAATGTGAAATGTTATGAAAATTTGTCTATCTTTTGATCTTTTCATTCTCTATCTTTTGTAAAAGACAAAAACGACACCAAAATAGATTTTTATGACAAAAGGTACTCTGTGAGTTTCATCGTTTTTGACTACTCGACTTCACACCTTTAAAAATGTTAATTAACGCGATCTTTCCAGAATTTCTTAAAGAACAATTTATAAATAAATAATAGGACTTTCTGATAAAACAAATCATACATTGATTGGCTCATTACTCGTCTAAAAAAACGGACAAGACTTACCGGCCAATCTGATGAAAAGTATTCTAGTCAGCAGGGTTTATTTTGTGAAAACAACTAGGAAAAGCCTTATGCTTGAAAAAAAAACAGCTAAACAGAATGTTTACAACCTTTGTTTCTAGCATTAGCGCTTTTAGCTTTTAGCACAGACTTTTAGCGTCCTGGTAACAGAAGATTTCACGCTAAAACTGGCCGATTTCGGGCTAGTGAAAGACTTAAATTCACAAACCACGAGCGTAAGTCAAATTATGGGAACATATCGTTATATGAGTCCCGAGGCTTGCGGAATCAATGGTCCAATACGGGTTTGTAAAAGTTACACAGAAATTTAACTGCTTTTGATTTCAGGTGACAGAAAAAAGTGATTTGTATGCTGTTGGCTTGGTACTTTGGGAGATCGTTGAACGAAAGTAGAAATGCATAAAATTTGTTCTAGAAACTCAGGATTCATATCTTAGATTGGTTTTTCTCAAACATCACCCGGATTTCCCAAACCAGTCATCCTTAGATTCTCCAAATTGTGAAGAAGCTCTAGCTAATGCTATTATGCGGTTGAGTTCAAAACATTCGAAAAAAAGACTCTAAAACATTTTAGTTGTACCCATTTTGATAGTGAACAAAGGCCTGTTGCTATTGATGTTCTAAACTCAATAGAGAACTTAAAACCGGTACGTTAACGTAAAAATTATTTTGCAAAGTTTGAAATCTAGAGTTATACTTCACTTCCATTTAAACCAATACAACGAGACGAGCAAGAAAGAATTATTCGCCCAATAGGCTTCGACAAAACAAATGATGAAATACCATTGGAGGAGGAAGTCACAGAATCAAGTGACCTCGTTGTCCCTAGTCTAGGTGATTCCTTATGGAAAAGTGAAGTTACATGTCTAGCTTCTATACAGAATGTCCCAAAATTATGGAGTGGATCCTGTTTTGAAAGATTTTTTTGTTTTATCTTGTCCTTTTTTTTTTTCTTACTCATGACAAAAAATTCTTTTGTATTGTCTTTTTTAGGATGAAATCACTATTGGATTTGTGATCAGCAAACAATGGAGATTTCAAAAGCAGACCTCAAAAGCAATCAATGGAGACTTCAAAAGCAAGCAATGGTTCGACTCTCACAGGATGGCAAATCGGTGATGAAGATTTTACAGCTTTTGCACGTGCCTCACCATACTGTTTCAAAAGCAATCAAGACTGGGACTGGGACAAAGAGACTGGGAAATTGGAGGATTGGTCAGAAATTGGTCGAAAGAAGATTGCCAACAATCCAATCAATCGCCCAAAGACCTTCAACGAATCCAAAGAAACTCGAGATCACAGAAAAACTTCATTTGAAAGGTGGCTGCTGCAATTGGAACCTCAAAGACTACAGTTGACTCAAAAGACTCAAAAAATGAAGAAGGCACGAAAAGATGGAAGCAAACATTACTTAACGGAAATGAAACGAAACGCAAGATTGGAAATCTCAAAGAATTTTCCTGATTGGATCACAGTTGATATCCAGGAGAACGGCCATCGAACTCTCCGGATTTGAATGTTTTGGACTACAGCATTTGGCCGATTTTACAGTTCATGGCTTGTTGAAAGCCTCACACATCAATTCAGTCTTTGAAGAAGGATTTGAAGAAAGTTTGAGACGATATTGATATGGAGGTCATCAAAAAGGTCATGGATGACTTTCCGAAACGTTTTTGAAGATGTATTCAAGCTAAAGGAGGAGCACTTTGAACAATAATGGGTACTTATTGATTAACCCGTTTGTTTATGCAAATTTAAATTCGTGCATTGTTTATATATTAGTTTGATGCAAAAGTCTTTTTCATTTTTTTCGTCTGCCGTTTCAAGCCAACAAATGCACGAATTAAACTACGGTTGATTTCATTAGAAAAACCAATTATTTTTCTGCAAAATAACATTAAAACGGGTTTAAAAATATTTTATGCCTGGATTTTCTTGAGAGTATGAAGTCGGGTAGTCAAAAAGGGCTAACTCGATGATGCGGTTTAGACACGTTAGCTAAAGAAAACTTATCTTCGTGTCAATAGATAAAAGATAGAGAAAAAAAAAGTTTGATATTTCGCCAAAATTTCAGAGAAATTCATTCAGCCAATTTTTCCGTAGAGTTTTTTATAGATTTTTACGAAAAAGGCGTTTTTCACTCTCGAATTTGCTTGAAAGTGAACCGAAATTCATTTAAAAAGATGGAAATTGAACAAAAAAACACTTTTTTTATAGAGCAAACTATAGATTAATTGGTGAATTTGTTACTTTTTAACAGAAGTACGAAAAAAATGAAAAAGACTTTTGCATCAACCTAATAGCTCGTTCATCGAATTTTTGCAAATCATCGAATTTCCACTTAATAATTTTAGGACAACCTGTGAACTAATCTTTTCAAAACAAGAAAATTGCTATTTTTATAGGCATGGAACCACTAAACAATTATAATGACTTGTCTCCGTTGTTGGAAGCGGAACGAAATCCCTCGATTTCGAGTACAAGTACAAGTCCGTTGTTGGAACCGGATACAAATAGTCAAAGAACACAAAGAAGAATATTTCTTAGAAAGACTCTAGTAATCCTTATCACCGCTATTGTCGTTTTCCTTGTTATTTTTGTGTTATTGTGGGCATTATACCATCCAAGCCCATGCCCTGCTCCAAGTTGTCAATATGGATGGAATTACTTTAATGGAAGCTGCTATAAGGTTGGTTTTGTGAAAGAAAATCACTATTTGCAAAATGAAACGACTAATTTCAAGGTGTCAATTTCTGAAAAAAAAATAATTCTAGCTGTACTCAAAGAAAGTGGAATACGATGCAGCAGAAGTCGAATGTCGAGCAAATAATGCAAATGTTGTCTCAATTCACAGTGAACAGGAGCAAAAATTTGTAAATGGTAATTATTTGAAGTGAATGCTTTAGTTTCTGTGCTATTTTTGGCATTATATCATCTAAGCATCGAAGTAATGAAAAAAGATTCATTTAACCTTAAGACAATAACAAAAATTCGATGTTCTTGTTGAACTTATCATTATAGATAAAACTATTGAACAATTCGACAAAATAGGGAGCTAAATTTAGCTTCCCAAAAAGCAAATTCACTTTCTCTAAACGAAAAGAAAACGAAAAGAAAACAAAAAATTAGCCATATAAAGTGAAAATCAAAATCAAGATAAGAATTAGCTTATTAACGATTAATTACTTGAGAAATGCGAATTGTCATTGAAGTGATGAGGTTTTGAAGAACAGAGACAAGTTTTGAAGACGTCGAGATAGCTCCAGGCTAAACAGATCGCTGCTTTATGTGCAAAACGTCTTGAAACTGATGATGACTCTTGAAACTGATGATGAAACATAGACAGCTTGTGGGTCTCCCTTGACGGCTCGCCAAATTGTCGACCGTGAAGCGTCGATTTTCAGTTCCGTTTTCACTCCATTTATCGTTTTTCCGTGGATGTTGTTCGTGGGCGTCTAGCTCGTCGTTTTAAGCTTTGGTTTTGGTCCTGGCTTCATCCGACTTGAAACCATCTTCAGAGCGACCGTGTAAATGGTAATTATTTAAAGTGAATGCTTTAGTTTCGGTGCTATTGTTGACATTATACCATCTAAGCATCGAAGTAATGAAAAAAGAGTAATTTAACCTTAAAACAATAACAAAAAAATCGATGTTCTTGTTGAACTTATCGTTAATAATATATTGAACACTTTGACAAAATAAGGAACTAAATTTAGCTTCCCAAAAACAAATTCTTTTTCTCTCAACGAAAACAAAAGATCAGGATTTTCACTTTTAACACTGCTTTTCTTATTTAGTTAAAATTTTGCGAAAAAATATTTTCAGGCTTGCGAAAGGGGAGTTGGACCTGGCTTGGGCTGAAGGTTTGTTCAAAACGCGAATTTTTCTTTAGTAATGAGAATTTTAACGGACGAATAGATTGAGTGTTTCAAGAGGCCAAAAAATGTCAGACGAAATCAGAAATGTTTTTTTAAGTACGACAGTCAATGGTCATGGAGTGACGGAAGTGACGTTGATTATACGAATTGGGAGGACGGACATCCTATCTTGACTAGGAGCTTGGCAAATGTGAGTTAAGATCTTTATGATATTATAAAGTTAAGGGACGCGGTACACCTGGCAAAAAATCCAATTGAAGCTTTTTGAGAGCCGTTTTTGAAGTTTTAAGGAATGAAGTTATTTAATGAATATAGTATGTTTCAAATTCTTAAGCGCACCCTCCAAAATAAAGATTTTTGCATTTTAAACAACGTTGCAACTATTATTCCTTTTCTATTGGAAACTGGAGTGACAATAAAAAGTGAAAATCAAAACTAATAATCTGTACACGTACCAGAACGATTAATTACTTGAAAAATGCGGATTGGCATTGAAGTGATGAGGTTTTGAAGAACAGAGACATCGAGATAGCTCCAGGCCAAACAGATCGTGCTTTAAGTGCGAAAACGTCTTCAAACCGACGATGGCTCTTGTAGACAGCTCGGACAAGTATTCCTCATAAATTCTCTATCGAATTGAGATCAGAAGAACGGGCCAGTCCAAAGTTGCGATGTTGTTGTTGTTCAGCCAGTCTCGGCTGTTTCCGGCTCGATGAATTGACGCGTTGTTGTGTTGAAACACATAGGGAACGGTTGGATTTAGGAGCAAAAACGGCAGCAAGCAATCGTCTAAGACATCTATATAGTCAAAACGATTCATCCGACTTGAAACCATCTTCAGAGCGACCGTTCATTAGCACAGAAGAGCCCTAAGCTCAAACCACCGCCAACAGCCAAACCACAGCCATAGTTTCGAGTCCCAAACACCATCGGATCATGTCGAAGATCCTACTACTAGTCAGCGCCATCGGAAGCATCCAAATTCCGTTCCTTCTCATCGGAAAAAATCACCTAAACGAGAAAAATTAATAGAACATAAGTTGCTTTCTAACCTTAAACCAATCCTGGTTCATGAGCCTTGGCAAAATCCAATCGGGCTTTCTTGCGCAAAAGCGTCACAGCCGTTCAACAGTTGCTTGTTCAACAATTGTCGATTGGTATGTGGGTCTTTCTTGACGGTTCGCCAAATTGTCGACCGTGAAGCGTTGATTTTCAGTTCCGTTTTTACTTCATTGGATTTTGTGGATGTTGTTCACAAAATGGCGCCTAGCTCGTGTAAGCTTTGGCTTTGGTCCTGGCTTCTGTTTTAATGCAGAAACGGCCTTCGACTTGATACAATTTCGCACAGCACAGTCGGACCCAATTTTGCAATTTTCTTTATTGAGTTTGTTGCTTTGCCAACCTTCAAACGCGAATGGATCTGGCTTTTCTCATAATCCATGAGCAGCTTTCCTTGTGCCATTTACCTAGAAATTGACAAAAATTATAAATTTAATAATAAAATATGCCCAACAAAAGGGAAACGTTTAAACAAAAGCAAACACGGATGCGCTTAAGAATTTGAAACGGTTGATACCAATAAAAAAGGAATCATAGTTGCAGCGTTGTTAAAAATGTAAAAATCTTTATTTTTAAGAGTTCGCTTAAGAATTTGAAACGCAGTGTATAATCCTGGCGCACCTTGTAAATGCCTGAGTCAAGAGAATTTAGATGCGACGCGACACCGGGAAATGGGAATCGAAAACATCGTTGGATAGCAACTTTTTCATTTGCAAGAAACCAAAATGATTGAACAAATAACTATTAATCTATTCTACAAACTAAGCCCATATGTCCTGTTTCTGGAGCTATTGCCTTCTCCGTGAAGAGTTTTTAGCTAATGAATTTCTTTTAACTATGACAAATACCCCAATCAAATCAGAAAGGCCAGGAACAAAGAAGAAAAATCTTCCTTTGATAACCAAAATTTGGTTCCTTATCTCTCTAAAATTGGGTTCTTTTTCTCTCTAAATTTGGCTCCTTATCTCTACAAATTTGGTTCCTTTTGTCTTTAAATTTCTAAATCCCTTTGATAACAGAAAGATCCTTTTTTCCTTTCACAACATGTTTCTGTATTATCATCAGCAAATTAGCTCAACAAATCAACAGATCTATTAATAAATCCCACTCATTTTTACTAGTTTCAAAGAAATTTGATCTAGATTTTGATTTGTGCAGCTGTTGTTTTTTGGCTAACCAGCTCACCCTTGAAAAACTGTTATAAATCTGTTATAACTGGGAATTTCAGTGAGTTTTGCAGTAGAAAAGAAACAAGTTTCGTTTAGCAAGCTTGAATACAACTTTAAATGTTTTATCTAACAGTGAAATCAATTCAATTGATTTAAAAAGGGTTGACACATGTTTTTTTTTTGCTTGACAACTACCGACGTTCACAGCAAAAGTGCACAGGTTTAGTTGGAAGTAAAAACAATGAATGGAAAGAGAAGTATAAGGAATTGTTTAAGTGAACCAGAAAAAGCTTATTGAATTCTCAGGAACCCTATATGGACGTGTGCCTCTATTGGATTGGTTGCTGAGGTTGCTGAGGGCGAAAAGCCCGAACCCAACGTCAAGCCAAATGTGCATGAGAAGAAGTTTATGCTCTCGTTGTTCAGGGATTTGGAAAAGCCTATCTACTGGAAACTTTTAGATATCAAGACAACACTCAACTTAATCAAATATTTGGAACAACTTGACAAATCAACCAAATCTTTGCACAGAGAAAGACCTGAAAGAGAAAAATCATTCTTCAACGTGATAATGCTAGACCGCATGCTTCGATGACTCGTTCTACACTAAACATACTTGGATGAGAGGTGATGACCCATCTGGTATACAGCTCTGATCTTGCACCTTTTGATTACTACTTATTCTGAGCGATGAGCAATCATTTGGCAAACAAACACTTTGATTTCAAAGAAGGAGTCAAAAAATGGCTGACAGATTGGTTTGCGTCAAAGCCGAAGATTTTCTATGAGAAAAGCATTCGACTTCTACCAGTAAAATGAGCACAAATCATACAAAATAATGGCAAATATCTCGCATGATTTGAAGTTATTAACTCAAGACTTTGCTATCAGTCTACAACTTTCGTCAAAGTTGATCAACTCTTCCAGGTAGGTAGTTCAACCTTGACACACACTTTCTCCCTGTTCTTACACTAAAGCGTACTAAGTAAATTGTGGTTTTCTATAACCAAATTTCACAAGGATCATTTTAAGATCAACCACAGGTCGATCTGATAATTGGAGGTCGAGTTATAGAGGAAAATAGAAAAGTCTTCAAACTCTGATAGGGTATACTAGTACACTCTATACTTTAGAAGGTCAACTTTGGCACTAATTTTCTCTATGTTTTTATCGGTAAGTCTACAAAACAAGTTTTACTCTTCTTTAGTCAAATTTAATGAAAATTCCAATAAAACCAACCCTAAGTTGATTGAGTTTCTATATCAAGAGTTATAGACCATCTAAATTGAATGACTTTTTCAGGTAGGTATTAGGTTGGTGGGAAAATAATCGAAATAAACAAGACTCAAACTTTGTCTTTGATTTTAAAAGTCCTTTTGCGTCATTGATACTAAACTTTTAGCTAATTGTGATTGATATATATTCTTCTCTTTTATGTTTTTTTTTTACTTTACCTCTTTATTTTGTCTTTATTTTGAATAAAAATTGAGTGTTTTAAGAGCATGGATAAGGAACAATTTCGGACACTTTTTTTCTACGAGTTCAAGCTTGGCCATCCAGCAACAGAAGCGACTGGTAATATCAACAGGGCATTTGGCGAGAGAAGTGTTTCTTATGGTATGGTCGCTTTTTGGTTTTGGCGATTTCACTCGGGCGATGAGACGTTTCATGACAAAAAACGCCAAGGCAGGCCTCCCAGAGTTGACGATGCAGAATTGGAAAAACTGGTGGAAGGAGATTTGACCAAAACATCTCGAGAATACGCATAGGACATTCAGGTTGATCATTCAACAATTTTGGCTCATTTGAAATCAATTGGAAAGGTAAAGAAGATGGAGCAATGGATCCCGCACGAATTAAGCAACTCGCAGAGGCCTCGAGGCTTCTAATCCGCAATAAAAAAGATTCATTTCTGAATCGGATTGTCACGTGTGACAAAAAATGGATCCTATACGACAACAAAAAAGGAAGATTCGAATGGCTCAGCAAAGATGAAAAGCCCAAACGCACTGCAAAGCCAGAGATTCATCAAAAAAAGGTGATGATTACTGTTTGGTGATCCATGAAAGGAATAATACATTTTTCTTTCTTGAAAACAGGAAATTCTATGAATTCGGATCAATATATTTTGAAAATAGAAAAAATGCATACAAAATTAACAATTTTGGATCCAGGTTTGCTGAACCGGAAAGGTCCGGTCTTGCTTCACGGTCTTGCTCGCCCGCACATTTCAGCCAAAACCATGAAAAAATTGAGCGAGCTGGGCTACGAAATTCTTAGTCACCCACCTTACTCACCAGATCTTTCTCCTACGGATTTCCACTTTTTCAAGCATCTGTGCCATTTTCTAGAAGATAAACAGTTCAAGAATCAAGGTGAGGCCAAAAACGCTTTCCAGCAGTTTATCGACCCGAGAACGCCAAATTTATATTCTGATGGGATTGGAAAACTTGTTTCGCGTTGGCAGCGTTGTATAGATGCTGATGGTTTTTACTTTGGATCAATTCATTTGTTATTGACTTTTATTTTTGGACTTGAAGTTAGAGGCTCCAAATTTCGATTATTTTTCCACCAACCTAATAGTTTAACTTTCACTCAAATTTTCTCTATGTTATTACACTAGAATCTATCAAATAAATTGTACATTTCTATAACCAAATTTCACAAGGATCATTTTAGGATCAACCACAGGTCGATCTGATAATTGGAAGTCGAGTTATAGAGCAAAATAGAAAAGTGCGCTAAAGTGCCATTTCACTATAGAAAATTTCACTAAAAAATTTCACTATAGGAAACTAGAAGAGTCTCCAAACTCTGATAGGATATACTAGTATACCCTATACTTTATGGTTGGTTCAATCAACTTATGGTTGGCTCAATCAACCTTTACATTTTGAGTTATGTGAAAGTCTAGATCTTCTGTCTAGGCTTATTTTTAAACTTTAGAAGACAATTGCATGTGCTTGGCTACATAAACCGACATTAATAAGCCCTTTTATGCTTTATAAACTTTCTTTTTGTTTCAATTAATCATTAATGTTTAAGTTTTGCCAAATTTCGTTCTTCTCGTTCTCGTTCTTGCACCCATTTTCAAGTGGATTGGAGTTGACTTTCGACCAAAAGTTTTCCCTTTTTTCAACACTCAAATTTCAATATTGACATTTGTGTCAAATCATGAGTTATATGTTTTGTTGATGCAGTTTTTTTCGCCTATGAACTCATTGATTTGTTTCTTTTTGGTGGTTTTGATTCTAGTCAATGGAATCGATTATGGTTTCTACAAATCAGGTAAGAATCGGGTAAGAATCGGTTACAAATCGGTTACAAATCGGTTACGCTCATTTCTAAACTTTAGAATACAATTACATGTGCTTGGCTACATAAGCCGACATTAATTAACACTTTTATGCTTTATAAAATTTCTTTTCGTTTCAAATAAACATCAGTTACAAATCGGTTACAAATCGGTTACAAATCGGTTACAAATCAGCAGTTACAAATCAGTTACAAATCGGTTACAAATCAGTTACAAATCAGTTACAAATCGGCTACAAATCAGTCCCAATCGGTTACAAATCAGTTACAAATCAATAGCAAACTAAAAAAAGGTTTAGAAAAGTTTCTGAACTACTCAGCAAATGTGGATAAATTGTATGATGAGCTTATCAATAGACGAAAGTACAACAAGGAATTGGCTCCAATTTATGAAGAAACTGATGAAAATTTGAGTTTTGTTAGCTCAATAGGTTTGTAGAGAATTGTAAATGATTAAAGTCTTAAAAAGTCTGTAAATGACATTTTCAGACAACTCTTCGACCGCTTTAGAAGTGTATTTTGTTGTCGAATACATTCAAATCTTCGACTTGGTAATTGCATTTTTACTCTTAGATTGTTTTTCTGTACTTGTTCGGTTAAATTATCCTTTAGAATGCTCAGTCACAGCTCATCAGCGCATGCATGCAACTTCGGGCTGTAAGAATCTGACATTCATTACAGACAAATGACACAAAATGTTAGACTTGGTTCGACTACCGGTTGACTTGAGATCCGAAAGAATTTGGTGGCATCAAGAGGCTTCATTTGAATGCGGAGATGCTTTGGGTGCCCGACAATCAATTTGGAAGTGTGTGAGTGAATGTTTACAATACAATTGTCTACAATTTATATGGATAATAGGAAATTGTTACTATTGTTACTATTGTTACAATTGTTACGATTGTTACTCTTGTTACTATTGTGACTCTTGTTACTATTGTTACTCTTATTACTATTGTTACAATTGTTACTATTGTTACTCTTGTTACTATTGTTACTATTGTGACTCTTGTTACTATTGTTACTCTTATTACTATTGTTACCCTCGTTACTATTGTTACTCTTGTTACTATTGTTACTCTTGTTACTATTGTTACTCTTATTACTATTGTTACCCTCGTTACTATTGTTACTCTTGTTACTATTGTTACTCTTGTTACTATTGTTACTCTTGTTACTATTGTTACTATCCTTACTATTGTTCGACTTCTAGAAAAACACTCGATGACATAATGCCATCTGCCGCAAAGACACTAAAGATCACGAGCGATGGAACGGTGCTGATGGCCACACCTTATTATTTCGAAGTATCTTGTGAAATCGATGTGGGTTTGAATCTGATTTTGAACTGGGGGTAGGCTAATTTCTGCCATTTTGTTTTGCGCAACTGGGTCGTTTGCGCAACTCGCCATAACGCTCTTCTAAGTCAGCCAATCTTTATGCTTTTGGTGCCATTTTGTTGCACTTATTGAGATCTACAAAATGAGAAGAAATTTTGTAGGGATGGGACTTCCTTTAGGGAGAAAGGGAAACGCTCTCTTAAGCACAGTAGCTTAGGTTTATTCTAGAATTTACCATTGGAAAGTTGTCAACCCGTAAGTGCGAGAATCGGGAGTTTTACTGGCGTTTAGCTGGTGTTAGAGAACAAGACAATAACAGTGATATAGTGATTGATCGACTTGGACAAGTCTTTGATTTCTTGGTCAAGATCGAATCGAATTTAATGAGTAATCGAAGTGCCTTTGATCTTAAACACCAATTTATTTCATTTCAGCATTTCAGATCACCACTTTCCCGTTTGATAACCAGACTTGTCTATTGCCAATTTTGTCGTACGCTTATGATTCGTGAGTTTAATGTCGAAGTCGAAAGAACAAAGAACAAATCGAAATAGAGATATGTTTAGAACCGTGATTAAGTCGAATGGAACGATAAATCAGGAAACTGTTGGCGAAGCTCTATCCGGAATTGTAAGTGACAGCTGGAAAGCTTTCTTAAATGTTAAACTCAAAAATCGTCAGGGAAACGGTGAATGGGAATGCACAGGGATCTCCGAATCCTCTTATCAATTCGCTGATCAACAAATAGTAAATTAGAAATTTCAAAAGCAAGCAATCAATTCAGTTTCAATTATCTCTTCAACTAAAAAGAATCCCAAACTACTATGTTTACGTGATTGCCTTTCCCTGTTTCATCATCACTCTGCTCTCGGTTTTCGGAATGTTTTGGACTCAAAGTCTTCAAGAGGAACAATTGGCAAAGGTTAAAGCTAAAAGTTAATAGTTAAAGTTAATAGTTAAAGTTAATAGTTAAAGTTAATAGTTAAAGTTAATAGTTAAAGTTAATAGTTAAAGTTAACAGTTCAAGTTAACAGTTAAAGTTAACAGTTAAAGTTAATAGTTAAAGTTAATAGTTAAAGTTAACAGTTAAAGTTAATAGTTAAAGTTAATCGTTAAAGTTAATAGTTAAAGTTAAAACTCAATAGTTAAAGCTGTTTTATTGAGCAAATCGATTAACTAGGAAGTATTTTAGCTATTTTATACTGAAGCTATATTCTAGCTTGGTATCGGTCTCACGAGTTTGGTTTCAATGACTGTTTTGCTTGACCTTCTTTCGACATCAATTCCAAAAACCGCTGTGTTTCCATTGCTTGGTAAGCTTTATCAATTAGCTATCAATAGCTATCAATAGCTAGTAATTAGTTATCAATTAGCTATCAATTAGCTATCAATTAGCTATCAACTAGCTATCAACTAGCTATCAATAGCTATCAACTAGCTATCAACTAGCTATCAATTAGCTATCAATTAGCTATCAATTAGCCATCAATTCACTATCAATTAACTCTAATTCACTATAAGCTATAATTCTCTATAAATTTCCAGGAATCTACGTGGTTTGCTGTGTGGGAATCATTGCCGGAGCTTGCATCCTGATAATGGTTCTCTCAGCCGAAACCCCGCAGAAACAATGTCCAGAAATCCAAAAAGCTATCGAAGCCAAAGCTTTATCTACCGTCAAGCAAGAAACTCCTCATTTTAGTCAAAAAGTTTGGAGAATAATCAAAAAAAAACTCTTTCACCGTCACATTTTATTGCAAACTCTTTTGCATCTTCTAAATCTGATAGGATTTATTGTGTTTTTGTCTTTTTGGAAGTAGATAAAAATTATATTAGTTCAAGAAACGGTAAAAAAACTTAAAACAACAAAAACATGTGATCTGACATGCTCGATGATGCGATTTAGACACTTTAAGCTAAAGAAACCTATCTTGATGTATAGATAGAGCACAAAAAATGATAAAGGATAGAGCACAAAAAGTTTGTTATATAGCCAACAAAGAATAACAAGAATAACGAATAACAAGAATAACGAATAACAAGAATAATGAATAACAAGAATAAAGCCAACAAGCCAACAAGCCAACAAGCCAACAAGACACCAAGCCAACAAGCCAACAAGCCAACAAGCCAACAACCCAGCAAGCCAGCAAGCGAACAAGACAACAAGACAATAAGGGAACAGGCCAACATGCCAACAAGCCAACAAGACACCAAGCCAACAAGCCAAGAAGCCAACAAGCCAAGAAGACAACAAGCCAACAAGCCAAGAAGCCAAGAAGCCAACAAGCCAAGAAGACAACAAGCCAACAAGACAACAAGCCAACTTACAAGACAATAATGTCTTGTAAGTTGATTGCAAAGTTTTTAATCCAGATAAATCACTAGCGTAATTGAATGTAGTCTTAGTACGCTTGAATTTGACTTGCTCATTGCAGTACACTGTAATAACAATTGTAACAATTGTATCTATGAAATGATGCAAACAATGACACTGAACACTTGGAATTTTTTCAATTGCTAATAAGATTTGTCGATTCTCATGCAAAATTCAAAATCACCAGCATTAGATGTTTGTTTTTTTGACTTTTGAACCATTTTTGCGATCGGATTTCTGTATACGGATCTGTAAAAATGATTTCTGTATACAAATCTGTAAAAAGACATTTAACAAACCATCTATCAACAATCAGAATATCAGAATCTAGGTGGAAAATCGTTCACTATGAGGCAAGACGATTCTTTGAGCCACTTTGGCAAGACGATTCATCGCACTAGTGAGTTTCTCGTTTCTCGGAAGAGTGAAGAGTTGTCTTCTTGAGAAAAGAAAAAAGATCCTTTAAAGCATTTCGCAAAAAAACGAAACAAAAGCGATTTTTTGGTACATCGTGAACGACGCTTTACAAGTGACCGTTATCAACGATTTCCACACCGATCAAAGCGGAACGATCGAGATTTCCATGCTTACCTGGGATTCAAATTTTACGGTTTGCCTTTGTGGAGTTGAAAGTGATTGCACTTTTCCACAAAAACAATGAGTTCCTCGTCTTTCTCTCAGTCAATCTCTCCATCTTTGGCATCGACCCCATACTAGCGGCTAATAAGCGTTCATCGGCGAGGAAAAGAGGGAAAAAGGAGAGAAAGATGGCCACGAGATCCCCCTTCTATTTCCATTTTCCATTTCCACTTTCACTTATTTCTCTTTTCTTTCTCCATCCACTCCCACTTCATCGATTTCCACACACACTCTTCACTCTCCCGTGTATAACGGGACGGCACACTCACACCCGAGAAAGGGAATGCCCCAGGCAAAGAGAAAAGAGAAAGGAAACCAGTGTGACTTGTCAACAAATGGGGCTTCCGACTTGGGCACGGGGATATTTGACATTTAAATTCTATACATATTTTTGAATGCCTCAAAGCCTCACTTTTCAAATCCTTTATCCAATTTGAAATAAACTTCTTTGAGTGTTTATAAATCTGCATATTTATCTCTCTTGCGTCTGCATATTTATAAAGTCTTGCGTCTGCATATTTATAAAGCGCTTTCTCAAAAAAGTGACTCTTCTTTCAGGAATATTCAAAGTTTTGGCTCAGCTGAAACCCGGGCATTTTGCTGATTAAGGCTTTATGAAGAAAATAAAGAAAGGGTTCATAACCTGTTCAAACAATTCGTTAAACAAGGCTTATTTCATTTAAGAGACTTTGAAAAAGACAATCAGCTGGGTGAGCATTTCTAAGCATTTAAGATGGACGAGAATCTTGAGTAGCTCCAAATGTTTGATAGAACTTTTCAATGCTTTCCAAGTAGCCACGACTCCTTAAATACGTAAGGAACGATCTGTGGGATTCACAAAGTATCTGAAGTGATTACTTGATGACTTATCTGAAGTGATTACTTGATGATTACTTAGTTACTTGATTACTTACAGTTACTTGATTACTTACAGTTACTTGATTACTTACAGTTACTTGATTACTTACAGCTGCTTGATTATTACAGCTTCTTGACTACCTACAATTACTTGATTACTTACAGCTTGATTACTTACATCTACTTGATTCCTTACAGCTACTTGATTATTTACAGTTACTTGATTACATACAGCCCACCCAGTTGATTGTTTTTCTCAAAGTCTCTTGAATGAAATAAGCCTCGTTTATCCAATCGTTTAAACAGTTGCAGACCTTTTTCTTGATAAACAGAAGTACTTTTTTTTTAACCAAATGTTTTTCTCTTGATTTCTTTTTTAAAAATGTAAAATAATAATAATAAAGATATCAAGTCTTAATCAGGAAATTGACCGGCAAAATGCCCAGTTTTCAGCCAAGAGCAAAAGTTTTTGAGTGATTCTTATAGAATTTTTTCTCTTGAGCCAATCTCCTGGTATAGCCTAATATCTCAAACATCTTTCGTTGATATGCGAACTGTTGAATGATTTTAACCAGATTGTTAGACTTGATTTTCAATAGCAAGCCTTGATTACGTACTTTAAACGCTATTTAATCAAATATCCAAAAGAGAACTTGTATATTCTTCTCTAAAGGGAATCTATTGAGAGTTTGTTTTTAATTGTGGCCTTTGCAAGTGCTTAAAATGATTTATTAGAACTAAAACTATTTATGCCTCGAGATGATTTAATGCTCTTCTGTCTTTGTTTGAGGTCATTTTCTGGCCTAACCAAGTTCGAGATCACTTTCTGGCCTAACCAAGTTCGAGATCACTTTCGGGCCTAATCAAGTTCGAGATCACTTTCTGGCCTAATCAAGTTCGAGATCACTTTCTGGCCTGATCAAGTTCGAGATCACTTTCTGGCCTAACCAAGTTCGAGATCACTTTCTGGCCTGATCAAGTTCGAGATCATCTTCTGGCCTAATCAAGTTCGAGATCACTTTCGGGCCTAATCAAGTTCGAGATCATCTTCTGGCCTAATCAAGTTCGAGATCACTTTCTGGCCTAATCAAGTTCGAGATCACTTTCTGGCCTGATCAAGTTCGAGATCACTTTCTGGCCTAACCAAGTTCGAGATCACTTTCTGGCCTGATCAAGTTCGAGATCATCTTCTGGCCTAATCAAGTTCGAGATCACTTTCGGGCCTAATCAAGTTCGAGATCATCTTCTGGCCTAATCAAGTTCGAGATCACTTTCTGGCCTAATCAAGTTCGAGATCACTTTCTGGCCTAATCAAGTTCGAGATCATCTTCTGGCCTAATCAAGTTCGAGATCACTTTCTGGCCTAATCAAGTTCGAGATCATCTTCTGGCCTAATCAAGTTCGAGATCATCTTCTGGCCTAATCAAGTTCGAGATCACTTTCTGGCCTAATCAAGTTCGAGATCATCTTCTGGCCTAATCAAGTTCGAGATCACTTTCTGGCCTAATCAAGTTCGAGATCATCTTCTGGCCTAATCAAGTTCGAGATCATTTTCTGGCTTAATCAAGTTCGAGATCATTTTCTGGCTTAATCAAGTTCTTGAAACTACTACAAACTCATCGAAAAAGATGAGATAAATCAAGAAGTGGGTAAAAGAGTGAAATGGGGTGAAATTTGGGGAACAGGGGATGAGATTGGGGTGAATCAAGGAGAGATCGAGTGGGGCAACAGCCGTCTCTCCATCCTCTCCATCCTCTCCACCCCAATTCCGTATGTAATATCGCATAATCTGTGCCCTGTCGGTCTTTTCGTCCATTTCAAACCAAATCCCCAATTTCTCTTGGATATCTGTTTCGTTTTCAATTCAACTCCACTTATCCATTTCCACATTCTATCTCTCGATTGCCTTTTTGCCAATTGATATTTGAGAGCTGAAATTTGAGCAGCTCCTTGCTTTTGAAAAATCTTGAGCTACAATAGCTACAGCTTTTTTTTTGTAACTACAATAGCTGCAACTTTTTTTTGAAGCTACAATAGCTACAGCTTTTTTGGAGCTACAATCGCTACAGCTTTTCTTGGAGCTACAATAGCTACAGCTTTTTTGGAGCTACAATAGCTACAGCTTTTCTTGGAGCCACAATTAATCTTACTAGACAATTTACTTTTATTTACTTTTGTTTGCTTTTACTAAAGACTCTTTAACTTTTTTCTCTTCTCATTTGCTAACTTTTCAATTTTGAGTCAATAGATTTTAACAATCACTCAAGCTATTAGGTTGGCAAAAAAGAAATGAGCGTCGTGTTTGTTGATTTGTACTTTATTCACAGTAAAAGATTTTTTAAAATAGTTTATTCTATTCGAAAGAGCGTGTTCTTGCGCATCGTTTGATATATAATTTGTCTAAGTTTACTTTGTATTTTTGCAAGAAAGAGTGTTTAGAAAATGTCGGACCAAAAATTTAGTTTGCGGGCCTGCTTGTGGTATGAATTTAAGCAAGGCAAATCGGCTGCTGAAGCTCATGGCGCTCTATCTCAAGTGTTTGACGAAGATGCTTTATCCGAAAGTCAGTGTAAACGATGGTTCCAGACGGCGACGAAAGCTTGGAAGACCAAAAACACGGGAGTCGACCTCAAATTATCGACCACGACGCATTGAAGGAAGCCATTGAGTCGGATCCACGCCAAACCACTCGCGACCTGGCAGAACAGTTCGACTGCACTCATGTCACCATTGAGAACCATCTGCATGGCATGGGCAAGACGAATAGATGCGGAAAATGGGTACCGCATAAGCTATCCGAGGCAAACAAGGCGACACGCATCGCAATCGCCGGAATTCTCACTCA